TCTGAAATGTACCGGAGTAGTACATTTGAACCTGCTGGGTTGTTTTATATAACTTTATTTTCTTGTACATACATAGAAAATTAAGTCACAATGGCATGCAGGCGTTTCCAATCGCCCAGACATCCTGTCGCCGATGGTTGTCTTTGGCACACTTAGATTTCTAATCAAACACCAAATCGTCTATGATTCTCAAGCATCATGTCGAATGGACCAAGAAGCACGCGGGCATGACGCGATCTGGGCCAAAGAACTCTTTCAATACACTCAGTTATCCACTCAAACATAGCCTGGCTACTCAGATTTGAGGGTGAAAGGAAAGACTCCACGCCTCTTGCGCTTTTGCAGGAAAGAGCGTTGGATGATTAAATCAACTACTCTCATCTCTCCAGGTGAGTATCAGAAATGAGACAGGCCATCGATGAGCTCTCCATCTGAAATTGGTTTTTGAAACTGCACTTACGATCAGCATTATGTTGAAAGTTTCTTCAAGTCTGGCATATACATCTAAGTTCTTTCGACGAGATTCTAAGACAACAATCCAAAGCTGCGCTTACTGGAAGATCGAGATACTATTCACAGATTGAGCGGAAGCGAAGAACAAGCGCATGCGCAAGCCATGAAATATGTAATGATATCTCAAGAGTGTATGAGATGAAGCTTCGTCACCGTCTTATCTGAGCTTCGTAACGCCAAATCGTCAGTCCGGAAATGAGATGAGACTCCCTCAACCCCCATTAAGCAGCCTAAAACACGTACAAATCACGATATGGATCAACATACTAGGTAGGATAAAATCTAGTTTTGTAAAATAGGGGAAAAGCGAGAAACTACCCGATTTATGACAGTTCAGCTTACAGTCCAACAATTGATCGCTTCATGATTCATTCTAGACTCTCCAGACATTCAGCTCATTGAGATATTCGCTTCATTTGAACGATTCAACCTCTTCGGAAATCATCTCTCCTAAAATTATTGTCCTACAATTCGAAGACGTCGCTTCCTAATTGAACCGCATTTCACCCGGTATCTCACGAGGAATGCGAAAAGGTTCCGGGAGAAAGTCACACCGCTGACTACTTCACCATGAGATGTAGTCAGATGGCTGAAAGACATTTCAAAGATTCTTATAGTTGATTTTATTTAAATAACTACTTCCTTCTGATTTTTGGATAATCATCTCGATATCTTCCTTCCTCCGTTTTAGTCACATTCGCCTGTACACAATTACCCCTTACCTTATTACTCCACAACAATCAAAATGTCCAACAAACCAACACTGATCTTCGTTCCCGGAGCATGGCACCGCCCCGAAATCTGGGAAAAGGTAACTTCGCTCCTAGAAGAACAACACTACAAATGCATCCCCGTAGAACTCCCCTCCACAGCCGGCGATGCCACGATAGGTTTTGGCGACGACATCACAGCAGTACGAAATACTATATCGTCAGAAACCAAACAAGGACGCGATGTGATACTAGTTGTGCATTCGTACGGCGGCGCAGTCGGTCAAAGTGCAGTCAAAGGACTCACCCGTCGCTATCCAGATGATCTCTCATCTGCAGTTGAGACGCCAACTGGCCATGTTATAGGTCTCGTTATGATGGCTTGTGGATTTGCGCAAACGGGGATAAGTTTTATCGATGCGATTGGTGGGACACCTCCACCATTATGGAGGTTTGATGATAGTGGATTTGCGATGTTGAAACTTCCTGCTCGAGAATCCTTTTATCATGATCTTCCTGAAGAAGAAGGTAAACATTGGGTGAGTAGGTTGAAGAAACAGTCACAGAAGGTTTTGAAAGAGGGTGGGGAGTGGGCTTATGCGGGCTGGATGGATTTGCCAGTTTGGTATTTGACTACGATGGATGATAGGACGTTTCCAGTTGAGGTGCAAGGAATATTTATGAAAATGGCGAGGGATGCTGGAGCCGATCTTACGGTTAGAGAGGTTGTGAGTAGCCATTCGCCGATGTTGAGTAGACCGAAAGAGACGGTGGAATTTATCGTGGAAGCGGCGGTTTCCCTGGCTCATTGATTTGAGGGACTTTTCAGTCGGAAGGCTGTAGCTTCGACTCGAAATTATGAGAAAAAACTGTAACAATGTAGCACAAGAATCTCAACTTCGTCCACTAGCAATGCTTTAATTCTTGTATGGTTCCTAATAGTCTCAACGCGCCATAAACAATGCCTTGATTCTAGTGCGCATCACTACCAAATAGCCTAGCACATTCAAACACATCAAGGCTTTTGGTAATCATTGTAAGTAGTAATTCAAGGCCAAGTAATGCAACAAAACCGTAACAGTTTGCAAGAAATCTGTCCATAGGAGAATCACGTGCGGCATGTAATTTAGGTTTCTAATACGCAAGTAGTCCCAGCACTAAGGAGAGTTTAAACCTACACAATAACGAGAAATGTTATAAAAATATGTAGAAGCAGCACTTCATACCTTGAAACCGAACGACCACAAGAAGGATTCTTGACCATATGCCAAACTTCATATCACGAATTATTCCATTCAAACTTCTCAACTATATCTCACACACCAACCTTAAATAAACTACTCACCATGCCCAGAATTCCTACACGAGTCATGGTAATTTCTGACACTCACGAACATTGTCTCAAGGGAGCGAACATGCCCGAGGTTGACGTTCTCCTCCGCACAGGCGATTTAACCAATTTTGGTGAATTGGAGGCCTTGAAAGAGTCTGTCAAAATGATGGGTACCATCGAAGCCGAGTTGAGATTGGTTATTGCCGGGAATCATGACATATCCCTTGATGCGCAAAACCGGGTAGAAAACATGTCTGACGATGAGTATTCAGAATATCATCATTCCGCCCTTGAAATCATGACGGGTCAATTGGCGAAAGATGCTGGTGTTATCTATCTTAAGGAAGGTACTCATACATTCTCACTTAAGAATGGCGCTAAATTCACAGTATATGCTTCACCCTACACTTGTGGATCTATGGGCTTTCAATACCAGATAAATGAAGACTGTTTTAATGACGCAACTCAAGTCGCTCCAGGCCAAATCTCAATTGCCACCAATCCTATTTCTGAAGGTGTTGATATCGTCATGACTCACGGTCCTCCACATACGATTCTGGACCAAGTTGACGGCTCTTATAAAGGCTGTCGTAATATTATTCGTGCCGTAAGCCGTGTTCGACCACTTATGCATTGCTTCGGACACATCCACGAAGGAAACGGTGCGAATCTTGTAACCTGGAAGCCAGATGGTAGCGTAAAGGATCCATCATCAGCTATACCGATGGAGACAGAACAGGTTAACGAGTATCCCTATACAAATGAGTGGTCAATTCAACCTGGAAAACAAACTCTTATGGTAAATGCAGCAATCATGATGAACACTGCAAAGGGAATGCGTCCAAATGATAAGCCATTCGTAGTATCACTCGAACTGCCTCGTCGCCATTGATGTTTGTTAGTTTTCTTGTTTATTTCTGTGTTCTGATGGTTTTTGATAGGATTGAAAAACTGCGGATCCGGCGTTCGTGGAGATGTGTTGTGGGATTTTGAAGTTGTTGATGACGCAGATAGTAAATCTTACCTACCTTTATGTATTTAATCGCATCTTTAAATCTAAGTATCTTGATTTCTCCACGTGATATTTTCGTTTCCGAACCCCCAGAATCGTATGAGCAGTCTACACCGGTGGCAAGTGATAGACACAAGCAGTTCCGATATACGATGTCATAATCCTCCAAGTCGTTCCCACTGGTTTCTTGCGCACTTGTTCGATTTGAAGTTGTCTTCTAAGGAAAACGCATGCGACCTCTAATTTTAATCGGCATTTTGAGCATGTATAGTGTTTGAATGAAATGCGTTGTTGACTCTGCGAGCTTATTTGGAGCGCAGAGGATATGGATCCAATAATGGAGTCGAACCTCTTGGATTGTAGTAGACATTGCAGTCTTAGATATGCAGCACCTTGTATCTTGGGTATAGTGAAATCTGTCGAGATTCGAGTCTTCGTGTTGGAATCAAAATTTGATCGAAAATATGGCTTCATTTAGAGGGACACTTTTCCTCCACATTCAGAGCAGGATAGGTATAGGTCGAATGCGCGTGTCCATTCTCTGTCGCTGGGCGCAAGAATCCAATTCCTCCTCTAATCCAATCTCTACTAATGTAACATTTGTTGCTTCTCAGTTTCATGACTGCTTCAGAGGTGGCTTGTTGGTCGGGTTTCGATTTGTCAGTAGTATGCTAAACAACAATGTTAGAATCAAGTGGACAGCAAGAGTGTAACTTGCCGCACAAAAAAATGTATATCAAACCTTGCATCAAAGACACAATCATCCCGCAGAGATCCATCTTGCTTCCTTCTGGGCAATGAAGTGAGGATGATAATTGCAAGACTCAAAAGTGTCTGCGATATAGATGTTAGGAAAAAACCCGCGGTGGATTATCGCCGGATCTTCTATGCATCAGAAATTATGTATCTTCGCCTTGATCTTGCAATCTGCCCAAGAAAGTCGTGCAGTGGTATTGACCATAACAGTTATCTTGCTTTCCTTGTAGCGAATCTAAAAGTATTCCTTCCCAGCCCAATAATTGTCGAATATATTCACTCCCTTCAACCATTCCTCGCTCATGTATTGTAGATGGAAGTGCAGGTAGCCATTTTGGCGGCGCGTGCAGAACAAAAGAGTGTAGTCTTCGCCGCAGGTCTTTTCTCACAATAAATAGGCTTGTCGTGGTGATCAATCCTTGTGACTCGTATGCGCGAGAAAAAAAATGATACCTTGCGGGAGGATTTTTTGTTTTGGGCTTCTGGATGTCAAACTGGTGCAACACTCTCGGTCGCGAGACTCTCTTTTTTCATGGCGCAACAACAACTCTCAGTATTATTGATCGCAGTTGAAGTAGTCATAGACTAGTCCATGTTCTAGTTCCCTCCTGTGCTCGCCAATAACTTTGGAGGTCGCCTGCGTGCAGAAATCAAATCACCAGAATCCACGCCGACATCACTGCAAACCAATTTTCTTGGAAAAAGTGTCTTTAAAGACCTGGCGCATATATCTGTAATGGAACTGAGTTTCTGTTCCAAATCTCAGGGTCTCAGGATCATTGTCGGTGTTATAATCGTTAATTCCATTTCCGCTGATGTTGAAAGTCGTCAAATTGTTTGTCGCACAGTAGCCCAACGAAACGGCGATCTTAATAACACCGAAACCTGATCTTAGAACTTGACCAAACTCTGGCATAATACTAAGAGGTATCTTCTCAAGGTATTATTAAAGTTTCAAAAACTTCTACCGCGCAAAACTCTCACAATTCCCAAATGACTAATTTTGGAGCTTTCTTGAACCAATGGGAGGCCTTCCACGTGATGATTTTTGACCGACAAAAGGTTTTGTTGCACGTCTATGGGCCTTTCTGAAAATGGGGCTTTTTGGAAATTTTGCAATTTTTTTGCAGATTTACACGGCTCTCAATTGCGCCATTTCAGGAAAACTATCAGCGTTCGATTCTGACAAGAATTGGGGACGGTGTTGTTGGTTCTCGTTTTTGACGGTTTTGACGTTGGGTCGTTTACTTCCTCGCAAATTCTTCATCTGATATCACTTCAAATTCACTTTCATGGCCCGATTCGGTCATCCTCGGTATTATTTATCCCGTGAGGTTTTCAAGTTCGGGAATGGATTAACTACGGTCGACATCACTCATATCAAGACTCGTCGCCCATCATACCACACAATTTTCATCCGTTCAGACTTCACTGAGCAATTCACTCGGCGAATCACTCAGCAAATCACTCTTAGTACTTGTGAATAATCTTCTGCCCTCAACCTATGCAGCCGACCCTTATTCATCATAATGCGTATGGTCGCAATTCTAATGAAGCACTGCGATTATCTCATCGGCATAGTAATCGTTTGCTTACTGCTACGATGTTACGCACATAATGGCCAGCATATCTACCTACATGGGAAATACTTATTAATCACTTCTCAACCATAAGCAGTGTTCTAGAGCGATTCGATCTGCAAAGCACTTGATGACAACACTGCGAGCACTTTCGAAGGATGCTTCGTCTCGTATTGGTGACTGGGGATAATAGCTTGGGCTGGTGAATACTTTGTTGCGGTCGAATGGCTTTTCTGTTGCCACAATGACTAGCACAATGATACTGGCACAATGATCATATTGAAGTTATCACATCTTAGGTTGCCTGTTATGGTTTATTTGCTTCAAACTTGTTCATGTAATTTGAGTCGTTGGGATGGAATTTGTCGTCTACCACTTGAAAAGTGTTGTTTGAACCCTCGCTGTTGAGGACCGCCATTGTTGGAATAGAGGTGGTGACATTAGATCTTGGCTATCCTCCAATATATATTGCTGACCTCGAAGCATCGCGTTGCGAGGGTCAGGCTGATGCTGATTGTTGTGACCTTGGACCTGAGTCTGGATTTGAAGCCGTAGCCGTGGCAGATGTGATGGATGGGGTTGGGAGATTGCTGTTCAAGTTTGAATATTCGATATCTTTAATCTATCTGAAGAAATCATGTTTGACTGCTTAATTAGGATAAAAGTGATTTCTTAAAAAAATCGCCGATAGGGTGCTTCTACTATTTCACTTCACAATGATGACAGCAATGTTCCAGTGAAGTATGAAATATTTAAATTTATAGACCATATGCACCTAAACTCCCAAGACCCCCAAAACCTTTTAAGAATGTCTAAGAATCTATCTAAACAATTTTCGCCGTATAATATTTATGCGCTCTTGAATCTTTAAAACCCACTGAGACTATCTACCCTCTTCCCAAAATAATTGGTAGGTGTGACTACCATTCCAATATTCTCCCTTTCAATCTCCCTCTTCTTGATCCCCAAACTCTTCTTCACTTCTCCCAAGCTCATTCCTCCAATCAATCCTCTCACAGCCTTAAAAACCACCGCCTCAAATGCCACAATCTCTGTTTTCGACACACAATTCGTATCATACTCCAATCTCAACGCAATCGCATCGTCAGAAAGTACTGAGAATTCCACCAAGAGTGCAAATTTACTTCCTTCGGTATAGGTAATCAGAGGATCCACACCTTCGATCATAGTCTTGGGAGTACGATTGTCGTGGAAAGTTACCATAACATCGAGCAGTGGATGATTTGGAAAGCGCGCTTTTGTGGAAGTAGCGCTGAGTATTTGGTCCCAGGGCATAGCATGTGCAATTGCTTCTTGGCTGGAGGTTTGGACAGCTCGAAGGAATGACGCGGATGATGATTGAGAGGTTGAAGGTTGGCGGATACGAATGGGAAGAGGCTCAAGGAATAATCCAACGGTTTCAAGATCTTTAGCTCCGCGGTTGAAATAGGGACCACCCAATACGACGTCGACATCGTTTTGATTGTGCTGGAGGGAAAGAGCAACAGCACCCAGTGCCATTTGGTGAAGTGTAACTTTTTTCTCATCCGTAAATCTGAGAACTTGGCGGGTGAGATCTTGTGGAAGCTTGGTAAGACGGGTACGACCGGTATATGTGGCACGTTCTACGATATTGGGGAGGGTGTAAGTCTGCGATGCTCCGTGGAGATATTCTTTCCACCATTTCTGCTCAGCTGGTGTGGCTGTGGTGCTCCATTGTGTGGTGTCCATATATGTATGCTCGACAAGTGGCAGTGAGTTACCGCTGTAAAGCGTAGTAACCTCCTTGAGAAGAACTTCAAGGGAAGTCAAGTCTGCGATTATGTGGCTCATCGATGCAAGCATTGTGTTTCTTGAGAGGAACACTCGGATAGGATGTTGACGTTCCAAATCAAAAGGCCGATTACATTCTCTCCAAAGGCCAAGTTTGTTGACTGTCTTGATCTGAGGTGGGAATCGATCATAACCTCTTTGTACAACACCTTTTGGCCCGTTTCTTATATATCTGCATCGAAGAATGCGATGTCGTGATAGTACTGTATTCCATGCTGAGATTAACTTATCGGTGTCAACAATACTGGTGTCGATTGCACAGGCGTAGGTAACATTGAATGAAGACGTTCCGACATTCAATCTATACTTCTCCCACCATTCACGCTCGATAGGAGATATTCTGTATTTTCCTAGCGGAACCAATGCATCGTCGACGTCATTAGGTTGAGATTGAGCACGGAGATTCTCGATGATCTTTGCCATTTCGAGTAAATTAGCCGATTGCATGATGTGAGAAACCGTCATCCTCACATGGAAGATTTCAGAGAGTTTGCTCGCAAGACGAAGTTGCATAACGGAATGACCCCCAAGTGAAACAAACTCAGAATCTCTAGTAATCTCCACATTGGATTCGAGCCCTAACAATTCCTTCCATGCTTCAGCAATCCTAACTTCGGTCGAACTCTCGATCTTCTTTGGAGTGGATTTCTTTTCTGCCAAAGTCATATTGGTAATAGCCTTATAGTCTAGCTTTCCAGCAGGTGTCATTGGAAATTTCTCCACGGCCATGAATACTCTAGGAACAGCATGAACAGGTAGTACTTGAGTAACCTTTGCTCTAACTTTTCCGATGTCGAGTGTCTCAGGTTGGACCATGGCAACAAGGTAATCACCCTTTTGACAGATAGCAATACCAGAACATTCTGGGATAGCTTCCGCTACACGAATTTCCAAGTCATTGAGGTCAAGACGGAAACCACGCAATTTGATTTGTCGATCATTTCGTCCCAAGCATTCGACTTCACCAGCTCGATTGAAATATCCCCGATCGCCAGTTCGATACATCATCTCATCTTGACGATTGCAGATAGTATCGGGAAGGAATCTTTCGGCAGACATTTGTGGCATACCGATATATCCTCGAGCCACTTGTACACCGGCAAGATAGATTTCTCCAATCACACCTGGTGGAAGAAGTTGTTGGTTTCGGTCGAGGATGTAGACGCGAGTAGTGGGGTTTGGTGCTCCTATATTAACTGGCTTTCCTGGAAGTAGACGCTTAATGGTAGCTCCACATGTGGCTTCGGTAGGACCATACATATTGTACAGATTCTTAACACTAGACCAGACATCATTGACATGTTGTGGAACTGGCTCGCCGACAAGATATACATTTCGCAGCATTGGGAAGTCCTCTGGGTCCAAGATATTGGCAATAGAAGGTGTCAAGATCGCAGCTGTGGATTTCTCCAGGTGAGAAAATGGATGTATGCCATCGGCTAGCACAATAGTAGCACCGTAGCTTAGAGCAGAAAATATCTCATGGATACTTCCATCAAATGCTGGTGACATCAATTGAGAGATTCTTTGACCTGGAAGTGCGAAAAGTCGAACAGCTAAATCCTTTTGAAATGCTACCAGGCCTTCATGGCTACACATCACACCCTTGGGTTTACCAGTAGAACCAGATGTAAAGCAAAGATAAGCATTATCCGCAGGTCTAGGTGTTTGTCTTGGGGCGACCGCCAACGAGCTTGGCAAAGGTAATTGAACCAAATCTTCAACCGAAAGACACAATTTGCATGATTCTGGCGCAATGAGTCGTTGAGATGATGCCGGTGTTAAAAATAGCTTTCCGCCAGCAGTTTGGAAATTGGCTTCCCGAATGTGACCTGGCAGGGCAGCATCCTGTGCAGAATATACCGCGCCGGTTTTGAGGATACCGTAAATAGCAACAAGCCAATTGATACTTCGATCTGCATGAACGCAGACGATATCCCCGGGTTGAACATATTTAGAGAGTTGGGCTGATAGTTTGGTGGCCATTTTATCAAATTCTTGATAGGTTAGACTGTCTCCCGCTTTTTCGACAGCTAAGATAGACGGGTTCTCCACAGCCGCGCGCTCGAATAAAGTGACCAAGTCATCTTTGATTGAAGCTGGTGATGTTTCATCTGTCAAGCAGTTTCCCATCTTCATCAAAGTTTCATGAGATTTGAAAGAGAGTAGATTGGATAAGCATTCGCCGATAGACTTTGTTGGCGACAGAAGAGACAAGATAGCACTTTGAAAGTTCTCGGATAGTAATTCGATATCGGACTCGGTGAATTTCTGTGTTTGATATGACATTCTGATGGTTCCAGTTGTAGACATGAAGATACTAAGTGGGATATCGGGCACCACTTTGAACCATGATTGACCAATAGGACGAATCTTATGATCATCGGTAGGCTGCATATCAAACTCCATAGCCAATGCTGATGCAAATTGTCTACTGTATCCATCTTCTGGAAGAGAATGTTGGAATGAGCTTAAGTCGACCGAGTGTCTGAAGACAGATTGAAGATATTCCAAAGTCGTTTGCTTGCGGTCTAGCGAGACATGAAATGGCAATGTGTTTATCAGAGGTCCAATTGTGTCATCCATCCCAGCTATCGACAAATTGCGACCGGAAAGAACAGTACCAAAGACTACAGTATCGGAATCAGCGTACATAGATAGTACCAGACCCCAAGCTGCTTGAAACCACGATGCCAATGAAATGCCAGCCGATCTCGCAGCTTCGGCAATGTCTTCAGAGGGTATCGTGAATGAAACATCGGCATTTCGAGATAATTTGGAGGGTGACGATGGAACTGGGAGAGCTAAATCACCAACTGGTGATGGATGCATCTCCATTTGTTTTCTCCAAAAAGCTCTGCTTACATCTCGGTTCATCTGTTGATGTGTGTGTACTTCGTGAATAACATTCGAGAATGGTGTGCCTGTGGTGATATTCTGACCCATCACAATCTTTCGAACCTTCTCGTACAGTAGATTTGCAGAGTATCCGTCAATAAATGCATGATGAACTCTCCATATTATTGTGCTAACGCCAACATTTCCGGATCTTTTCGTTCTTGGAGTAAGAACTGTGAAAGTAACCTCCATCTTCTCTGGCACAATCTCCTTTTCTAATTCCGATATATATGTATCGGTATCTTCAACAAAAACTTCATCCCAGATGAATGGTAATGGTTGTTTCGAATAAGTCGCTGTTACTCTATCGTGATCGAAAATCGTCCGGAATACTGGTTCCGAATCTATAACCGTCTTCCAAGCCATTTTCATTGTTGGAACGTTGGCGGAACTGTAAGTTTCATAGAAACTAATGATGTTACTACCAGGTTGTCTTTGGTAGCTGTGCATAAATGAGTGTTGCATCTCTGTTAATGAAAGATTGGAAGTAGATGTTGTATATCCATTGGATTGAACTGGCTTAGAGAGTGACATGCGGCGTTCATGACTCAATCGTGTAGGGCTGACTAGTGTATTCAGATCACGAGTATTCTTCAGGATGTTTGTTGAAGGAGTAGATCTTGTTTCGGTAGCCGAATCGATAAGTTGTGTAAGAGTGGTACTTAAAAGAATGGAAGGTATTGATAAGACGAGACCATCTCGCTTGCAAGCTTTGGAGAACTTGATAGCCATTAATGAATGGCCACCAAGACCAACAAAATTGGATTCCAGATCAACTTTTTCTGTAGGGAGCTCGAGTATCGAGCATAAATGACTGAGAATAAGGGCTTCTTTCTTTGACGGTGTCATACTGGAAGTCTTTTCGACCATGTTTCGTTTCGTGTAACCATTGTTACCAATGATATCAATGAATGGAGACATTGTAGATATTGATCTATGCTGTCGATGCTGATCTGTGAAGTGAAAGTACAAACGAGAGAGGATAAACCGGTCATACATAAAGGAATCTTGATGATAGATTATCTAAAGAAATATTCAAATGAAACATAAAGTCGCTCTTCCGGCTCCGAAAAGTTGACGATATCTCGACTAAGATTTCTCCTCCGCTATTCTCATCAACGCATACTACAAGCTCCAATCTTACATATCACGGCTAGCGAAGTCCGAATGGTAGCTTGTCAGGAGTTTTTCAGTTCACATCCTATACACTAGCTAGAACTGAGCTTTCAGTTTCAAACCTATGGCAATTGTGAGCACTTGGATACGTGAAATTGCGTGATATGCATCCACACACACTCTTACTTTTGTAAGACAGATGGTGGTGCACTTGCATGTTTGCATCTAGCATTTGAATTTACAAGCAGGCACGTTTACTATTCATGAATAACTATGGGCCAAAGGAAAAGCTTCGGACGTCAATATCAGCCTCCTAGGGCTATGAGGCTAGTAAACATTAGATATTGGACGCGTACGATACTTTAGCTTATATTCGAAGATCCGTTCTCTGATCCATCTGCAAATTTAGGAATGATTAAGGTAATGCCAATCAATGAAAGTCTAAAGAAAAGCGATATGTTGTTAATATTCGCTTGATCGCGAGCATCTCCGATGGATATACGGATATCCGAGAGTAACCTAAACGGTTTCGTTATTGTGTCTCCACATTCTTACTCGCAGGCTGATAAAATAATTTAGTTTGAGACTTAGTCATATTTATTTTTCAGCTTCCAGTGACCTTCTAGTGTGCGTAGGATTTAGTCTGTGCATCAATCCTTTCATCGCTTTCGTTTATGGTGAGAAATAAGGAACGTTGTATCCTCGGCAAATATGCATGTGGGTTTCACGGGTCCGCCATCTCAACATTACAGTAGTACCGGATCCGAAAAAAATCCTGTCAGCACGTTATGAGCACGTTTTTACAGTTTGAAAGGGCTTCATATTGTGGGCTGGATTATGTATTAATCCAGCTCATTCAGCGTCAATTGTAGCATTTCAAATCATCATCTTCTTGAAGCTTTAAACTTCTGACACCATTCTCTGTCGATACATAGATTTTCTATAGTTAAAACGAATTACTTTTTGATCGATATGTCTTTGCCAAAGATTGCTGTCATAGGTGGTAAGTCATTGCCATAAATTTTGGGTTTCAAAAGAAATTTCCGATTAACAAATCATAGCTGGCCCTGCCGGGTTGACCTTTGCTCGTCTTATTCAATATAATGGCATTCCATGTACCATATTTGAATTAGACAGTGACCGAAATGCACGAAGCAGAGGAGGCTCACTTGATATCCACGAAGGATCAGCTCAAGTTGCACTCCGGGAAGCTGGATTGTATGAGAGATTCTTGGCAGTTGCACGACCGGAGGGGGAAGTTCTCAAGATCTACGACCCTTCTGGAAATCTCATACTTGATGAGAGCAAAGATGTTGGTGAAAGCAGACCAGATTCTTTCAAAGGACGTCCTGAAGTGGATCGAGTACAGCTTCGTAATATGCTTTTAGATTCTCTTGAGCCTGGAAGCATCAAGTGGGGACACAAGCTACAACGTGTCGAAACATCCGCTGATGCAGCATCTCTTACGTATGATTTACACTTTCAAGATTCTGTCGAGAGAGGCTTTGATTTAGTTGTCGGAGCAGATGGGGCTTGGAGCAAAGTACGCCATATAATTTCCAACACGCGGCCACAATTTGCTGGAATCACGGGAGTGGAAGCCAAAGTTTTGAACATCGATCAGAAAGACCCAGCTCTCGCAAAACGAGTTGGCTTGGGTATGTGCCTCACCCTCGGCAACCACCAAACTGTACTATCACAGCGTAACGGTGATGGGTCTGTTCAAACGTATGGATTCTTCCGAAGACCTGAGAACTGGCAAGAAACATGTGGTATTGATTGGTCCGCGCCTGAGGTGGGACAGAAATTCGTAGATAAATATTACGAAGATTGGGACCAAGACGCGAAGGATTTGATTATCAAGAGTGACGAAGAAGCAATTCCAAGGCCAATGTATATGCTTCCGATAGGGCATAAGTGGCTTCACAGAGCAGGGTAAGATACCTTTTTTAAAATCCATCTCTTGCATTCAGCCTTTGACGGCCTTCCTCATTTTCCCACCTCTGAAAGCTCAAAACAATTAGCTGACCATCTTTCTAGTGCAACCCTACTAGGTGATGCAGCTCACCTCATGACTCCATTTGCAGGCGTAGGAGTAAATGTTGCAATGGAGGATGGAATGGAACTTGCAAGAGCTGTGATTGCTCGTAAACCAAACTGGGCAGGAAAGGATAAGTTCGAAGATGCTGCCGGTTTGTCCGAAGCTGTAAGAAATTATGAGCTGGCTATGTTTGATCGTGCAGAGGGATATGCAAAGGAAACTTGGATGTATCTAAACCTCTTCTTCAATGAAAGAGGAGGACATGCAATGGTTGAAAGTTTCGCGGAGCAAAAGAAGCAGCAGAAAAAGGAAGCTGAGTCAAAGGTGTTGGAAAAGGAGACTGTCAATATTGAGGTTGTAAGCGTTTAAACATTTTTGTTGTTTTTCGGAGTTCTGATTGGAGTTTATGAGAATAGATAAAAGTCTAGGTCTCGTTATATTGTCTGTCCCGGATTAAGAACAATATCAATACTTGGCGAGTTCTAGTCTCAGAGACCCTTCAATTTTTGAATCTAATCATAACATTCAATCGAGCTAGGATACAGAGTTAGTCTCGAATTTTGAGTTGTTCCCAAACATTGAGAGCAACAAGGACTATTAGAACTCGGTAATGTGACCACTTGGTGATTCAGACGTCAACTATTCTACTGCTATTTAACACCCACGTAGCACAGTCATCTTGTAGCCAGTTTCCGCGTCTGGATTCTTGGATCAGCGTCTCAAGACGAAAGGAGATTAATGTAAGACAAAAATATATGTATGACAGCACTGTTCATTGGATAATTCGTAAGAAAGAGCCGGGTCCGACCGGCTCCGGATTTCATAAGCATTACCTTCAGGAACAGAGCGAAGTATATAGCTGAAAGCATTGTTTGAAGGAGCTCAAGAGGAACCATGATTTCATATAAGGAAACAGAAATATCGTCTGTTAATTGCATTGCCAGCTCTCCCCTCCTCCTCATTATCACCTACCACATATTACACAACATTTCTATCCTTAATCGAACTTTGATAACAAACCAAGAAGACAAAAGTCAGCTGAAGGTTAACGTTCCATAAGTATGCAGCTTTTTGTGATTGGCGGTAGTGGAAGAACGGGTAAGATGGTAATCGAAGAAGCATTACTTCGAGGTACGTATATGCGTATATAGTAAGAATGCAGTAGCATACCAAGAGATCAGCGATGTCGCCATTTCTTATGCTTCCGACATCCGATAGCTGATATGACGATATTTAGGTCATGATGTGACAGCCTTAGTTCGAGACCCCTCTTCCATGGAAGCCAAGGATGGTTTGAAGCTTTTCAAAGGTAAGAAATATGATCTTATCCTCAAATGCCGAAACTAGTCACTGCATCCAAGCTAGATGTCACGAAGTACTCTGACTAATTCTCATCAATACAGGTACCCCTCTCAATAAGGCTGATATCAAAGCTGCATTCGAAGCAAGTACCAATATCCCATCCGTTGTTATTGTTACTCTGAGCGCCCCTCGTACATCCGATAGCCCTTTCGCTGCATCTATTTCTCCACCAAGGCTTATGGCAGACTCAAATGCCAATATAATTGCCGTTATGAAGGAATTTGATGTACGCAAGATTGTTGTGATGCAAGCGTTTGGAGTAGGAGATAGCTGGCCGCATATGCACTTCTTACTTCGAATGTTGATGAAGAAGTCAAACATGTATCTGCAATACGATGATCACAACTTGGTGGACAAAGAAGTCAAGGCTAGTGATATTAACTATGTTCTCGCTCGGCCGGCCAGACTGGAGGAGGGCGAAGCAAAGCCCGTTAAAGTGTATGGTAATAAAGGTATGGGGGTTGCCATGATGGCTAGTATCACACGAGAAAGCGTAGCCAACTGGCTTGTCAATGCAGCGGAGCAAGAAACGTGGGATTCGCAGACTCCTGTATTGGCGAATTAGAGTTATCGAGTGGACGTAGGCTGCACTATTTGCTTGAAGGGTGCAACGGCGTAATTAGCATTTTTGCCAGATGCCGAGCTTATCTTTTCTTCATGTCTATGGATCAAAAATGGTGGTATCAGTAGGCTGACGGTAGTACAGATGAGATGACTCCAGGCACTGGCCGCTGTACAATATATTATTCATCGCGTACTTCTCATCTCATCATGCGTTTTGATTTGTGATTATTCTTCAAACCTTGTGGATTGATTGATTATACAGATATGCAAATATATCAGCTCCACGTCCTCGTTTACAGGCCCACATGAATTAGCCATCGATATTTACCCATATTTACCCGCAAAATATGTTAGAGGTATATAAATATATGCCTGTTTATTGGTTAGTCACATATTTTTTAGTGGACACTGACATGATTCGTGGGTATTCCGTATAACGATGAATTTAATAGGTAGTCTCGCTTTTCAGCCCCTTCATTTCCTCCGCATCCGAGCTTAGTGCCTTTACACAACGACACAGGCCGAGACAGAATATCACTATTGTTCAAAGTCAGCTAGAGGAATTGGGTAGTAAGAGGCGAAGGAAGCTGCATTTACGTGAGTAGGCTCACCATCCTGGTTAAAACTGCTCTTTCCAGGCTGCTGCAAAGTTTCTAGCCTTCTAGCCACTGCAACCACCACTCTCGTGCTCGTCGCGAGTAAGCAATATACTATACAACTATGGAGTGCTAAACTCAAACAACCCTTCACCTCTTTCCAAAACAAGAGTGAGCACAGTTCCCCGGTCGATCGTACGACAGGCTATTACGCAAAGCTTACTGTACTATACATATCTTGTGTTTTATTCCATACAGCATTGCACATATCAGTCGTGGGGTTTTTGGCTTAGCCGTCACGAGAATCTGACTACTGTTTTTTTCTGCTTCAAGGGTTCGTGCCTACCAATCTTATCCCATGCAAACGCAGGGAATACAAACAATTTAATCCTCCGATTTCCCCTCTCTTCGTAAGATCTTTTCCAAATCGAGGTATCACGACTTCCACGAGTATTGGCAGCATTGCATCGTGTTGTACTCCGTACCTCCATCTATCTTTTTATATTCGCAAGCACCGAGCACAAAGCTTTAGAAAATGGAGGATACTCGATTTGATTCTTCTCGCAAACGGCCCCGACCAGTTGTTTCTTGTTTACGATGTCGTGAAAAGAAATTGAAATGCGACCGACTTTTACCGTGTCAAAATTGTACCAAGATACCTAGTGGCTCAGCTGAATGTACTTACAATCACGACCCTACAAAATCCATTTCAAAATCCAGACCTTCAACACATTCACCAGGAGATCGTACTCCTGATCTTAAATTCACACCAAATATAGGAAACAATTCAAACATCGTTCAGGTGAGTTTATTATATAACTCAATTGCTGCAAATAGCTTCAATATAGCAAATACTGATTCACTCCCAGGGTAATGGTGGGGTCGGCGTTGTTGAGGAGCTTCAATCCCGTGTCGCAAGGCTTGAAGAATTACTTCAAGTCACTGGAAAGTTATCGAACATTCAAAAATTGACATCACAGCCATCACCAACTCACAGAGTTTCGAAACGTACAAATGCTCCCTCAAGATTGATACCGGGGCTCTGCACCTTGATTGTGAAAGGGTCGAGAAGTAGATATCATGGTCAAAATGATCGAATCACCTTATTGAATCAGGCATGTGTTCCATCTGGATCTCTTCCTACTTGTTCTACCAGATGTATTGCTATACTAATATCATTCGAAGTTTCCCGAGGCAAAGGACTTCATAAACAAGAGTGCAACAAGTGATTCTTCCATCATCAATCTTGCTAAAGATGTTCAATATCTACAGCAAAAATCCCAGAGTCATTTCAGGATGCGAAAAGAGACATTGAGCCAAGAAAGTGCTGCAGTCCTTTCAAAACTTCGAGAATTTCTTCCTGGAAAACCTGTCTGTGATAAATTATTGAAGATCTATACTGAAAATTTCGAAAAGAGTTCAAGGATCCTTCATGTGCCCTCCTTTCTTCGGCTCTACTCACACTTTTGGACTTCTCCCGACGATAAAATATTCCAATCCTCACCATTTCTACCTCAATTGACAGCCATACTAGCGATCTGTTACAAGTTCCTCGATAGCGATTCGGGATTTGACGATGACCAGAAAACATATTTGGAAATGGCATCACTCGAGCTTGTAGCGGCTTGGACTGATACTCTAAGTAGAAAGCAGGCAATCGATATATCAACTTTGCAAACCGAAACGCTGCTTCTACTTGCTCGACAACTACAACTTATCTCTTCAGATAAGCTCTGGTGTGCCACCGGGGCTTTGGTTCGTTCTGCCATGGTAATGGGACTTCACTTAAGACCAGCGGACTTCAAAAAGATCTCACCGTTTCATGCCGAGTTAAGACGAAGACTTTGGGCAACAATCGTTCAGATGGATTTACAAGCATCCATGGCTGCGAGCATGCCCAGTATTGTTCCTGACATAGACTTTACTCAGTTGGCTCCAGCAAATCTGAATGATGCGGATTTTGACGAATCTATAACTGAACTTCCTCCTTCAAGGCCTCTATATGAATGGACCGACTCTCTCGCCCAGGTCACATTAGCCATGTCTTTGGCGCAACAACTCAAGGTGGTTTCACTTATCAGAGATATTAGTCCCAACATGGATCTTACAGAAGTTGTTCGAGAAGGAAGGAAATTGGAAGAACTTTTACGACGTGTTCCAGTACCACTCAAATTAGATGGAACACTTCAACGCTCTCCTTCTCATTTATTAGATTGTGTCTTATTAGATATATATCTGAGGAGACCTTTTCTCAATCTTTACCGACTGCTCTTATGGGAAGAGCGACAAGATGATCCATTATTCAGAGAGATGCAACAAATTTGTTTGGAATCGTCAGTTGCCATTGTTTCTTATCAAGATTATTTTGATCCCTCGGTGGCAGACTTGGATTTGTTGAGTACAAACTTGCATTGGACAATGTTCCAAATTTGCTGCAAGAACGACGTTTTAGCCGCTGTCTTGAGCATCTGTCAATATATCAAAGCATCCGCATCAGGGTCTCAAAGCAATGAGCCTAGTCCAGGATTTACACCCAATCAATTCCCAGCAACCTTACCTAGCCCTCCAGCAACAAATACACATTTTTCAAAAGCCAGGCTTACTAGGATAGTAGAAGGTACATTAGAAGGCTTCACCAAGAGAGTGGGGGAATTTGGTAGTGATCTCAAAGATGTTCTCATTCTTTCTGTGGCGATGCAATCCGTACGAGCGAATGGTGCATCGAATCTAAAAGAGAATTTGATGCACGAAGGTGCCAAGAAAGCATTATCAGCATGCAGGCAGACGCTGCTACAATCTTTTCCTGATGAAGAAATGAAACTTCCATCCAACAATCCAGAACCGAACGAGGTAGGCATTTCCTATTCATTATGCAAGCTGGAAAATCAGACTAATTCTTTTACAGGATGGTAAGCATAATATCAGAGCAACGCCTGCAGTAGATATCTCAATGTCTACTGTAGACCAAGCCATATATGCCTCCCAACCAGGTTATGTAGATCAGTTAGCCACTTTTGCGGCTGACGTGAATCAGGTAAATAATTTTCTAGTTAACTTTTTCGTTGAATTTTCGTGCGCTCTATATAACATCAATGCTAATTCGGTTATTATCAATTTAGTTTCAGGGTGACATCTTTGACTTTTCAGATGCCGGCATATTCAATGTGGATAATGATTGGAGTAACAACGAATTTTGGCAATAAAAGTATTCAAGTCATATTAGAATAGGAATGGGATATATTCCTCCTAGATTACCATATTCCGCTTCCTGGCCATGTGAATAATTTCATCACTCATTTCGATAAATACATTATTCTCCATTTTTCGTACAGATGCTATTTCAAGCACAGATCAAATACTACGGGGCCAAAAGAATTCTGATTGAAAGATGATTTGTATATTCAATGTAGCTTGAAAGACACCCGCCAAGCCATATTTTTCAATGTCATATCGAACTCTATACATTCAAAGTGGCTATCGGGAATACAGTACACGCCGCCAAACAATGCAGCTTAGCTGCCCAATCATCGAAGCACCGATTTCATAAAGCTCATTCTTCTCTTTTCACACACCTCAACTTCATATCCGGATGATTAATCCAAATCTCAGGATTCCTCTGCCACTCTTCGGTTTTCAACAATGACAAATCATACTCTCTTACCAAATGTACCAAGATATTTCGTATCAATGTATCTGCCACAAATTTCCCCATGCATTGTCTTGGACCAAATCCAAATCTCCAAAAGTTATATCGTGCTTGAGTTGCGGTTCTTTCCATAAATCGACTCGGGCGGTATATGGCTTTATCATCCCCCCAAAATGAGTTACGGATATTCAAAGCATATGAATCAATTACAAAATTTGTTCCAGCAGGAAATTCGTAACCTCCGACAACTCTTGGTGTGGGAATACTTTGCGGTACAGAAAATGCGGCGAGAGGGCGTAGGCGAGAAGCTTCAGACACACAAGCGGCGAGGAAGGTTGTACTACTCGACAGGTATTTCTCTAGCGTCAAGCCGTTTTCGTCAGCTTCTTTTTGCGCTGCTTGATATTCCGCTCGTAACTGATCCTGAACGGATACGTTAGATGCAAGGAACACAAGGTTCCAGCTCACACCGCCAATTGTGACATCAAGGTTTGCATATAGCATCTCATCAAGAGTATGCAGCATTTCATTCTCAGTTAGTTCTCCCATTTCTTTTGCTGCGAATAAGTCTAAGATGGGGGCGTTGAGGCCTTGTTCCTTCGCTCTTCGGTGAGCAAATTCGTTGAATGCAATCCATCGTTCTTTAAATGCTGCAAGGTCTTTGTTGGCTTGTGTGGGAAGGTAAGCTGACCATTCAAAACGAGTTAGCCCCCCCGAGATAACGTGCTTGAAGAAGGATTCTCGGATCGGAGCGAGGGCACGGAGCTCGGACTCGACATCTGGAGCTAGCTTCCCGTAAACGACTTCCGCCACAATCAAGAATGGGAGAAGTTTCAAATCATCTGCTGGGTCGATAAGTCCACGTGATAAATCTTTAGAATCCCAAAGTTCTTGAAAGAATGAAGTTGTTCTTTGTTCAATCATTGGAACATATCTTGGAGTGACACTGCGATGGAATGGTTTTTCAACAATAGAGCGAACACGCTTCCATTGCTGACCACTGATCAAACCAACACATTGACCAAGTATTTGACCTAACAAATATCCGGAATTGTTGTTCACAGCTTTAAAATGTTTGTCTGAATCACTGAAGACGGCTTGGATATCGGCAGCTTGAGTGAGCACACTGTGATTCATATTAGAACTTGGCTCTCGTTTAATTTTGGGTCCCGGATAAAAATGCAAATGGTGCACTCACATTTCTGGTTTATGACCTGACCAGATTTTGTAGATAGAACCATATTTTGATCCCCATAATTCGCTGTTCTCTTTTCCATAAAGGAATTTTGCACCGTCGCCTTGACCATTGGGGAACTCATAATCGCAACCTGGAAGTCTATGTCCAAATTCGACATGCTTAACAGGATATCGATATGACAAGTATAACTATTTTTCGATCAGTCTCATATACATGACAAATAAAGAACATCTGATGTTATGAGGGCGCAGCAACTTACGTTGAGAATCCTTGAAAGGATATTATTACATGTCGCCGTCAAAGGCTTCCTGAAAATAAAACAGCCGCATAAGACAACGGCGATGACAAATTGCCCTGCAATAAGAGTATTTGGAAACATTTTGTCTGCTGAATGATCAATAGTGATGATGAGAAGACCAGGAAGGACCAAACTTATATGCCATCTGTCATGATATTCTCAGTACCAAGAGAATATGGACATATCTAATCCGACGACACCGGAGCACGCAGACCGAAATCCAGTGCTTATCACCTTGAAATGGAGTCAATAAGATTATAATAAGCTACATAGTAAGATGCGAATCCACATATCCGGTCGGTCGATAGATATCCGGACACCGGATCCGACAAAATGGTGTCACCCCTTCGCTTACCTGTCAGATGAAGAAGCACTAGCGATGTCATCCCCTGGCAAGACTCACAATTAGACGACAGTCACTCGTAATATTGGAACCATTAGCTTTGAGGCTCAATCCTTCCAATCTTCCAAGCACCTGCGTCTCGGATAGATCTCCGAGTCATGCTGCATGCAGCGTCCGATCATTCTCACAATGCATCTCAACCACGTTTTCAGCCTTGCTACCATTCCTACTTGAGTAAAATACGACGTGCAAGTTTATCCAGCACATGGCTTTCAGAGTGGTTGTATTCTTGGCTGTGGGATTTCAGATTCAGCACCGAATGAAAGAGTTGACACCTGTAAGGTACGATCAGAAATGCAGTCATCCACGTGAAAACCGAGATCTCAGCCCCTGTTAAGCTGCAATCAGAGTGGCTTTGCTATCAGCAAGAACCTAAAGTGGGATACTGAACCAAGGATTTGGAATTGTAGGATCTATTTTGATGCACTCCACAGACTTACATCGCTGTCATCCACGTGGGGCACAGTTCTCGAAAATCTAATTGAAGGATTCTCTGCCGTTTGAGCTTTGAGCTTTGAACTTGAGGGGAGACTTTTCGGAGCCGCCAGTGAATGCTATGAAGTCGTGAGGTTTGGGAAGGCTAATACAGCTTATGGCTATGGGATTCTTGTGTTCGAAAATGTATAAGAAGATCTTGATTGCCAGATGTCAAATTCCTTTTCATCATCATCATCATCTCAAGCATCATCATCTCAAGCATCAACAGCACAACAATACAACAACACAGCAATACTAGCAATACCATCAACCAGAACCATCTTCAGATTACCTACAGAATTCACTACAATCAATCAGCACTTCAAAAGTCTTCTACAAGTCTCTTCATACAATCTTCACTAAAGTAGCAATCAAAAAACAATCAAAATGCGTTTCTCTATCCTCGCATTCACCCCTCTCATTGCTTCCGTCCTAGCTTTACCAGCTGCGACCACTGTAGACTCCTTATCCAAGTCTCGCCCCACCCCTTCACCACCCAAGCTTCCTACTTGCGGACCAACTCCTCAACCTTGCTCCTGCCCAGCAGGGACCTACTATCAAGTCTCTACTTCAATTGTCATCATTCCCGCCTCTGTTTCCGATCTCAAATCCATCATCGGCGACTTTCTCGTAACCTCCTGGTTCGGAACTGCTCCCGAATCCGTCACCGGTACCGGGTTCGTTTCCGGCGCAAAGCGCAACCTCTTAGGTGGTATCCCCGGCGCCGGCGTCTACCCCATCACCGAAGAACTCACACAATGGACGACCTATCCTAACAATGCTGGATTCTTCCAGAAGTTTCAAATGGCAGACGCACCTTTCTATTTCAACTTGACTACTGGCGCGCCAGGAATTCTTGGAGGAACTTGGGATATCATGGATATTCATGCTATTGGATCCAGCTCTAGCAGTTGGTTGTGGAATATCTATGCTTGTTTCAGTGTGGATTTTGATTTCCAGGAGTTTCATGAGAGTGCGATGAAGAATGTTAGTGCGATTTTGACGAGTCAGGGAAAGTCGCATGGGAATCTTGTTGGTCCTTTCTCTTACTAAGTGGGAGCAGTTTAATTGATGGGGTTCGATGGGGATGGGGGAGGATGTGTTCTTACTGTGCAATATCTAAGGGAGAGGATTTTCGTTGATTCTTTGAGGGGTGTTTGTTTGTTTTCATTCTCGTTTTGTTGGGGAGAGGGGATTTTGCAGTTGCTTTATTATACCTTCTTGCTTTGCTTTCTTTCTAGAAGGCTTAGATCTTACTGCTCACGCAGATTGTTTTTTGGTGTTTGGAGATGTGGTTTTGGAGATTTTCTTCTTAGATTTTAGATTTGGGGGTTTGTGTGTACTATTAGCTTATTTGAAATTTATACCTATCTACTTTGAAAACTATTTTGCTATCTAGAGTGATTTCTGGATCGGTCAATATATAGGTTGTGATTTAAATGATCTCCAGTGGCTGCATTCACTTTGACTACTTTGGTTTCGGGAGGATTAGCTAGCCATTTGAATTAAAGATAATTTCTAGTTGTAGTCTGGCGGGGAAACTAAGTACTACTGGCTTTACTTGGGATCCAACATAAGTGATGCTTCATAGTAGCTCATAAGATTGCTATTGTCAATCTACACAACCTTAAATCTTTAACACTAGTATGTTGATGATTGACTATCAATTTTCTTGACGTGTATGTCATCTAATATTGCCTGTGTTATCCAAACTAAGTCTACATCCGAGAAGTAACGGGGTTCTCTGTAGTAATTAGACTTAGCATCTGAAACCACCGAGGAAGAGAATAAGACCTCCCCCCTTTTGCTACCTTGAATGCTTAGCATCAGTATGTCTCGCCTCCGCTGATGAGCTAGTTGTCTTACGTTGCTTTCACCATAACGTTCAAGGATTTTTGAGAAGAATTAGTCCTATTATGTAAATTTTCCCTACACCCCATCGTAAATGCATGTCTTAACATAGTAGCATAGCGTCGAAGAAATCCTGCACAAATCTAGAAGCTTATTTATCGCTTACGAGTTTAAGGGATAATTTTTCAAGTACCGAGGGAAGGCGGGGTAGGACAAACAGATCTTGGCATTGGTAGCAACGTTGTAGCTAGGGTTATTTTATAGGAAAGGTGTCATTCTGTTTGCCACCTTGGAGCTTGGGTGACACGATTCCCGAAGATTTGATATATGAGTAAGCTGACTTTTCGCTGATGAACAATCGGATTGACTGGGATATATATTGTTTGTAATCTGCCAAGTGCCAAGTGCTCACGGCAGAACACATTTGTTCACCAACCCAACGCAACACTAATGCATGCACCTTTACGGGACATTGTGTTGGATGAACATTATTCATCAAGTGCATACCAGTCAAGTTTTAACGGTGAACGGTGAAAGATTCTCTTAGTTGACTGCCTCTCCTTGGCTAACTGCAAGACGAATTTTTAATTACGCTAAAGGATTGTGGCTACCATCCATAATCACTCGTAAACCATTCTCACATGATTAAAGCCGTTCTTACCATCTGATGGGTTTCAAGCTGACCGGTAAATATCCACTTGCAAGGGCATTGCGTAGGCTTCTGAACCTATTCCAAGCCGTCGCACAGCGGCAGCACCGATTGGTTCATGCAGATGACATTCCATGTTTATATTGATTACATTCTAGAAGCTCTTGTGGTGGCTTCCCTGGCAGTGTGGCTTCATTGCACATATACTGACACAGCAGTTGGTATCGGCCCAGGAGAAGTCATGCAATGCAAGTGTGGTTGCGCAACCTATATTATGATCTCACTTCCAGACAACGTTAGTAAATATATACCCGTCCGGCTACATTAGAATTGGTGGAGTGATTATTCGGATAAATAGATCGGGTAGCTTTTTGGTATCCGTTAGTACCCGGTGATGCAAGCGTTTTCTCTTAACCGGGGTAGTATTCATGTCTCTTTCCGTTTACTTGACTATCAAGTATTATAGATGGGTAGTCACAGGAAAGCTTCAATGTGCATTGAGAGCATGAATGACTGACATGGTCCAAGATACTAAATCCAATACTCGCCATTATTTGGTTCCATATACAGATAGTCAGGTTCTCAGTCTTCATAGCATCATAACACATTTGATTGCTTAAATGTGAATTCGACAATGAAAAGTATTGTCAGGCCCAATAGCGTTATATCACTTCCCACTGTTTGTCTCTGCTCTAGAGTCTAGAATTGGACAATCAAACATCGTAGCAGATTTGAGAGCTGTATGTTTGAGGCTCATCGTTATTGGATCTAGACTTGATCATCGAATAGACAGTTAGGCCTGGATACTTGTGACAACCTCTCTTGTTTGAGTCTCTTTCAGATAATCTTCATTGACTGATTCTACTTTCAGACAATCAAATAACATATTGTGTTCAGACATCTCGTACTACTTATGGGCTCTTCATTACATGCATTCATGTGCTATCTTGATATGATACTCAAGACCAAGATACGAGCTGCGCAGTTAAATACCTACTCGATATCATATATCTAATTATCATCATCGCAAGCATTTGATAGCCTTATCAAAGTGGCCTACCATTGTAAAGTCATGAAGTGTTTCAAAGGATTTCATACTACCAAAAGGTTTTGAACAATACGAGAAGCTGGAGGTCATTGAAGATTATGATCCTCAGTAGAATGGCCTTATGATTAGCGTATTAAAATACACTGCTCTATTGAAGGATGAGTGAGTTTTGAAATTCTACATCAGTTAGTTGTTGAGAGCCAACTGGAAAGAGCGAGATAGCAATTGCCGTGTTCGTGTATTTTCTTTTCACCCTGATCATAATATATAGCCCTAAAATATCCCGATCAGTAAATTAAACTCAGATAGTCTTGATTCGGCTAGATTAAAAAAATCGTACTTTCGTGAAATTTTGAACATAGAAATTTGATAATTGTCGTCGCTCTTGATATTTTCTCCCATAAACATCATCATCATGATCACCATCACCACCATCACCAATAATTCTCCCAACTCCAAAACGGGGAATTTTATACGCCGCTCTCATCAACCATACAATTTCGTCTAAACCATCAATTTTGTGATGCAAGATGCCGCCAACTCCAGCTCCAAATCGAAAACGTCGAAGAGCATCCAGCACGTCTTTCGATGGCGCATCTGAATCAAAACGAGCAAATGCTCAATCTCAACTCGATTCGGATGACTCAGATAATGATACTGGGTCCATTCAATCAATTTGTTCATCATCATCATCATCATCATCATCATCATCGTGGTCCGCAGATGATGAAGTACTTCTTCAAAGAACGACCAATGCAGAAGAAGTTCTTTGGAAAAGATGCTTGGAGATCCACAGCATTACACCATACGAATTGATATCACATGGTGAATACGTTGATATATCCACCAATCATGAGATAAATGGCAGCGATGGTTCGAAAATTCCAAATACCAACTGGAGCGATTCCTTCATCACCGAATTGACTTCTTTGGTCATATGTCCAATTTTTCATGGGAATATTCCACTTCTTCACCATGCCATCCGATCGGCCACATGGCACAGATTGGGTCAACAACATCGCCAAGACCCGGGATATTATACAAATGGTTCGAGCAAATCTAGGCTTTTGGGGGAGCTCGAGGGTTCATTGGACTCTGAATTGTTCACGGAAATTCAGACAATCATCAATGAAAGAATTCCAGATGGATTTTTAGACCATTTTGCATTCATTGGAAACATCAAAGATTATGTTGGCAGATTCGCCAAGCCAAAAACGATACAATTGGGAGTTTCCAACCGGGATCTCGAAGCCATTGCCGATGCATGAAATCAATATGTTGAAGAACAAGATGATATTAAGATTGATCTCTTGTTGTCTTCGGCTAAAGAATATCGCAAGGTCTATAACACTAGAAGAAAGGCCTTCGAATCCCGAAATGACATCATTTCAATGGACAGAGACACCATATTGTCCATGAAGAAATCGGCAATTCTCGAATCTCGAGCTTCGGACTCATCATCATCGCATGCAGAAGACGACGAAGAAGAGAACGAGGAGAATGAAGACTCTTCTACCAAGCAGCTACCCGCAAAGGCGCTCTTTTTGTGGAGAGACGAGATGGTCTGATTGGATCTCACTCACTGCTCTACATAATACCCATAGGTTTGAGCATCACATGTTTTTCTTCTCCATGTTCATTATATTTCGGCCCATAGGCCATAATTTTTAGGCTTATAAGCCACCACCTAAGTATAGGTTTAACTCTATAGAGTCCTGTTATTTCTTTTGTCAAATATAAGCCCATAGGATGTAGTGTATTTGCAGATTCCATAGAGTCGTTGTTTTTGTCATCAACTACAAGCCCATAGGCTGTAGTTTATATCCAGATTCTATAGAATCATCATTAGCAAGGTAGGTCTATAGACCTTTTCATTTTTCATGTATTTATTTTCTCGTTTTGAGATTACTTCGAGATCATGTCTATAGACCAACTTGTACTTTATAGATCAAGCTCAATAGCGGAGATCTCACCAACCTCTATTTCTTCCTAACCTGCTCTTTCAAGCGCCACTTCTTGGTTCTACAAGCATGAATGTGTCATTCTCGAGGCACCTAAAGGTATTTACTTTTGGGAGCAGCGACGCATAATAAAAAGCGTTAAGTATTGGACATTGTGCACCGTGGAAGCTTTCTACCAATGACCAAGCTGTAGTAGAAAGAAGTCTTATGGGAAGAAGCTAAGTGAAACTGATAGTGTTATGTCTAATAGTAAGTGTTTATTGGAAGATTCGACCATTCGAACCCTTCAACTCATCTTGATCACTCAGCCCATTTCAAACATTCGATATATTTCAGACATTCAATTTGTCTCAATCTATCAATCCATTTCAATCATTCGGTCCATTTCAGATATCCAATTCACCTTGATCATTCAGCCTATTTCAGTTACTCAATCCAAATCAATTACTCAATATACTCCAATCACTCGACTCATTTCGATCATTCAACTCATCTCAATCACTAAATCCATTTCAATCACTGAATACAGTTCAATCACTCAAGGCACTTCACTCATTCAGTCCATTTCAAGAACTCAATACATCCCAATTCATCACCTCATCCCATTGATCAACACAAACTAAAATAACCAAATAAGTTCCCAAAAGCCAAATCAAGATCCAAAATTCACGAAACCATTCACCCAAGCTCTCCCGACATACTCTCACCCCTCACTCAGACAATTCACATCTCTTCTCCATCTTGAATAAGCAGAGAAAAGTGTACGGATTTGTTTATAGAGCCTAGCCGCAAGCATGTGCGTATTTGCATCCTTCTAGAACGACCTGGTACTCTATTCTCATCACTTTTCCCACAATCATATCCCCAAGGGTAAACACACAAATATACGGCAAACACATACAGCATACACATCTCCTCATCTCAACTCTTTCAGAGCCACTCATACACCCCGCAATAAAAACCATCACAACATCCTAGATCTTTCTCATTCCTCAATTACTCTATCCTGTATTCCTCGAGAGATCTCCATCAAACAAGTGAATTGCCCGGTTTTTTTAATTATATACCTGTCTACTTCCCCCAATCTAACCCACACCAACCCAACCCATCCACGCAGCTCGCATCTTGACTATGATTCTATATAATTCCCACTCCTGCGATTAGTACACATATCATGATACCACCAAGACAATCACCATCCATGTACCCATACTCATCCACCCCCATACCATTATATAAAGAGAACACAACCTCTATCCTCAATTCTCACAATCCACTCACACACACACGCACAAATCCTCTCCCTTCCCTTTTCGCATGCTATCTGACAACCAAACAACACATCCTCAAAGTTCCCACAAACATACATGACGTACACAAGTATCTCCAGTGGGTCCTTCTTCCCAATGATACATTATACATCATACCTCTCATTCATACCTCTCATTCATACCTCTCATTCATACCTCCCATTCATACCTCTCATTCATACCTCCTATTCAAACCCTCCACCATAAATCCAAGTTCTCCCCCTTCTCGCTCTCCACTCCCACTCCACCCCACTCAAGCCCATCGAAACTACAGACTCTCTTCACCTTCGCCAATAACCGCAACACTCTATTTATTCCATTCCAGCCCACCATCTCTCAATCCTATCCCATCTCATCTCAATCCTATCCAACCTATCCAATCCATTTCCACCTATCTCCACCCTATCCAAGTTTAATCAGTCCTATCCCATTCCATCACTACCCTATCCCAATCTATTCAATCTCAAAATGTTCTACTCTTTATCTCTCTTCATCCCAATCCCAATCTTAACTGATCTCAACTCACCTCAACCCATCCCATTCCATTCCATCTCAATTCCATCCCAATTCAATCCACCCAATCCCAATCTATCTATTTCCATTCTACTCTATCCTATTCTATTATTTCTCAATCTATTCTAATCTATTCCAATCCTGTTTAATTTTATTCTAATTCCAATTCTATATTATCCTAATCTATCCCATCCCAATCCATCCCAATTCAATCTACCCATCTCCATCCCTCCCATCCCTCCCCCTCCCTCCCATCCACCCAAAACCACCAACCTCCCTTCTCCACCTCCACTCTAAATCTCATCATCACTTTTTCGCAAAACCTCTAAATACTTCCTCCCCCTTCTTATTCTCTCAAACACTTACTCGCTTACGCTTACTCGCCTACTCGCCTGCCCATCTACCCGTTTGCCCTTGAGCTTCTCCTCCTCTTCTCCTCTCCTCCTCTTCTCCTCTTCTTCCTATATCATATGATTGATATATGATACATAAAACTTACTCATGCATCCCTCCATCTATCCCTCCATTCATCCCTTCCTCCATCTCTCCATTTACACAAATAAACAATCAAACAATCAAACAATCAAACAATCAATCTACATAACCCCCAGAACTCAGAATCATAAACCAAGAATCAAAAACCAAGAACCAAACATACAAAAAATGCCCCCCAAAATCCCATCTAAACATAAACATATTCACACAGTAATAATCCATATATATTGATTCGTTCATTCATTCATTCGTATGTATGTATGTATGTATGTATGTACATAGTGTATGGTCTATGAATGCATCCACACCATCCACACCACTATACCATCCACACCCATCCATCCATCCATGCATCCATTCATTCATTCGTCCATGCATACATAAATCCGATTTTGATCTCCGATTTTCTTCGCCAGAATCTAATGCCAAAGTCAAGAAAGGTAATAGATCCCAATCTCTAATGAACCATGCATCATATCATCTATCAAACCCCCTCCCCTAAAGATTTAACAACTCCAAATTCCCACTACACCACTCTTCCTTCCCTCAACCATATACCCATCCTTAACCCTACATTTCTCTACGATGTTTTTCTCATCAGCTTCCGCCATATCTCCTTCTCTCTCAGCACCAAGACCACAATCCCAATGTCTACCATCAGTTTTATCATACACCTTAACCACATCTTCTCCAGCAGCCGCTACAATACGTCTTGTATCAAACATCATACTTGTAATGGGTGAGTCATAAGCATATGCATCATAGATTGCTCCTGTTCGGAGATCCCAGATCTATTTAATTGTTAGTTAGTGATACCCGCAACATTCTCCAAAATGTGAAAAAAAACAAGAAACTGAGAAATCAAAACTCGGATAACATACCCTAATACTCCTATCCAAACTACCCGTAACCAAATGAACATCATCAAATTGCAAACAAGTCACAGGACCTGTATGTCCCACTAGACTCCTATGCACCTGGCCACTTCTCAAATCCCATAAACGAACCATTCCATCAGCAGTACCACAAGCAAGTGCCGCATCAAAAACTTGTACCGCACCTACGAAATCCGCTGTTGCATCTGGTAAACGTCCAGTTTGTCGCCATGTACCTTCAGTCGAACCCATTGTTGCCGAAGCTTGTGCTGCTGCCCACATAACATCTAATGTTTGTACACATCTTCCTTTTTCTAAATCCCATTGTCTTAACGTTTTATCAGCCGAACCGGAAATAAGAGTATCGCCACGGAAATGAAGAGCTGTTACTTCATCCACATGAGCTTCTAATGTGAATAATGGACAATCCACCATCATTCCTTGTGGAATATGAATTGGTTGTTTTTCCTGTTCCAAAGCTTCACCGAATGCAAGATGATCTTCCTCCTCTTCCTCTTCTGCTTCCTCCTTAATTTTATCTTGAAGTTCATAACGAGCTTTACTTAAATCCCACAATCGAATTGTAGCATCCATTGAACCCGTCGCAACGATATTATCTTCTACTTGAAGAGTTCGTACAGATGCAGTATGCCCTTCAAGAAGTCCTATACATCTACCAGCATTCATATCCCATACTCGAACCGAGTCATCCAAAGCCGAAGAAACCATGGTACCAAATGGTACATCGAAATCGAGAGCAGTAATCATATCATCATGTGCTTGAATTTCTCGAATTGAAGACCCAGGTTCGAAATGTTCATGTAAAATGGGCATAGATTTTCTTCGAATCGTTTTATGTCTTCTTGATCCTTTCGATGAAGGTGTACTTGCCCTCGAGGGAAGTTTTTCGTAAATCGATTCAGACATAAATGATGAATCCATTCCTGCATTCTCAGCATCTTCTCCTTCATCGGTTCCAGTAATAGATTTTCCTAAAGCTTCCGCATCATCAATTTGTTCTTGAGCATCCTCCAATCGATTCTCCACATCTAGAACTATTCCAAAAAGTTAGTTATACCCCGCACTTTCAAGATTCGCAAAAAATATACTCACTCTCATGTTCCAACATTGATTCTTCCTGTTCCAATCCCGCCAACCTATCCAAAACAATTCTCCTCATAGAATTAAGATTTGCGATTTTATTATCAATCCCATGAATCTCACTACTCGCCATATTCTTCCTAATACCCATCATCTCCAATCGATGATTCAGAGCCGCCTTTTCTTTTTTCAACTTCGCAAGACTGGGTGGACCATCCCCCTCCGAGCCCCCCTCACTAGCATTATCCAGAAGTTTCCTACCCCTCGAAATTCGCCTCTTATGCTTTTTCCCCTTCTCCTCACTCGTTTCCGGCAGCGTTGCTTGAAATCCCTGAAATAAGGAATAGCTATTATCATTGTCGGGAATATTCCTCAACAATTCATCTGGCAAGAAAGTCAGGGCCCTATATTGAATCTCCGAAGTCGACAACTTTGAGCGCACCAAGTCGGTCGGGGTAGTTTTCGCAAAGGAGAAGACGCTGCGTTGAAGATTGGGTCTGCGAAGTTGTTTGTGTAAATCGCTCATGGCATTTTGATAATGGGTGCTTGAAGTGGGATCGATGGGACCTATTAAATGGCCAGCGGTCGTGGTAACCTTTCGACCAAAAGCTTCTAACCCTCGGGTCTGATCGAGATAGATACCCATTAGCAAGCACAATTTAATGGGAACATGAATAAAAATAAAAGAAGTGAATAGAATATGCAGATAAGGAACAATTGTAGTCGAGCTAAGAGAAAATACAGCATAAACATACCGATATCAAAGCTCCATCTTCATCCTCTTCTGCCCCGTATGAAGAGGCATTGCGGCTACTGGAGCCAGCCATACAATTGACTTTTTCAACAGTACCGATGTCAAGTTTCTGCTCAAGATTGACAATTCAATGCGGGACAATTGAAGAGCGGTATTTGGTTGGTTCCCGTGGGATGTGTGTGTTGGCACAATTAAGTTGTTTTGGGGAAAGAATTTTCGAATTTCAGAAGTTTAGAAGTTTTTAATTTGTTCATTCTGTCAAGATCTTTTGAAAGGTAGATACGATACGATACGGTACGATACGGTACGATACGGTACGGTACGATACCGGCTTGAGACGGGTATGATGAATGGATTTTGAGGTAGTTTGGTAATTGACTGGGGAGGTATTAGGTAGTGAGACTGGTGGAATGGAATTGATAGGTGGGAAAGATATGCATACATGGAAATCATAAAATGCTGGGCAGGCGAGGCAGGCGAGGCAGGGTGAAAGGTATTTTTATGCATAATATTTGGAGGCATCTATGTATCCAAGCTCGGGTCCGTTTGATATTCAACAGCTGTGTACAGCTATACACCAAATAGATACATAGTACGTACAACATAGATGTAGTACGAACTAGTAGACGTACCGATACAATGATACATCGTAGCACCAGGGTTTCCCATCGTATATGGAAAAGCACACGAGCAACAGAGTACAACAGAAGATCCCTTGCTTGTGTTTTCTCCGGAATATTCTTTACCCCCACCATTCATTCTGATGTTATGTACTCATTATTGTGGTGGGTGGATGGTGGGTGGATGGTGGGTGGATGGTGGTGGATGGTGAGTGGTGGATTATGACTGTATTTCTGTACAATATAAAATAAAAGCTTCACGATAGAACAGACTACCTAGCAGATGTAGAACATACATAACAAACTATAATCTCATTGTCACTCTCATTCTCACTCTCACCCTCACCCTCACTCTCACCCTCACTCTCACCAATCCAATTACCTACTCACTCTTCACCCACTCACTCTCTACATCTCCGGATCCGAGGAGAAATCCAAGAAATACAAGCAAAGACACCAAACTCTATTTCCATCTTTCTTACCTTCCCTTTCTTGTTCTACACATAAAGTTGAGAGTGAACATCAGCTGAACCAAACTCAACTGCACTGTTCGAATCTTTTCTTCCAAATTCTTTGATTTCTACATACACACTTTCTACATCCTTCAAACCCTTTACAATACTCTCAACCCAATTCATATCCACAATCTTCAATTGGTATATGATAGTTACAAATTTCATCATGGATGCAGCAATCGATCTTTCAGATGCTTCCAAAGCTCTCGATTTGGCTAATATCCGTTTTCAACTCATGTGTGTACTCATCCTCTCTCTTTCCCCCATCTTCCCCCTCCCCCTCCCCCCCCCATCTCCCCCTCTTCCAACCCTCCCCAAACTAACCTCCCCCTCCCAGCCGTCTCGAAGACACCATAACCTTCCACCTAATCGAACGAGTCCAATTCCCCCTCAACCCCACCATCTACATCCCCTCGGCGCTCCCCCTCCCCAACACCACCCTCTCCTTCCTCGACTGGCTTCTCCACTCGCGCGAAACCCTCGACTCCCTCATCCGCCGCTTCCAATCCCCCGACGAATACCCCTTCTTCCCGGACGCTCTCAAACCGCCCATCCTCCAACCCCTCCACTACCCCACCATCCTCCACCCCAACACCGTCAACGTCAACGCCCAGATAAAAGACCACTACATCCGCACCTTCCTCCCAAAAGCCTGTCTCCAAACCGGTCGTTCGGACCGCGGCGAGCGCGAAGAAAACTACGGGTCCGCCGCAACATGCGATATCAACTGTCTGCAAGCGCTCTCTCGACGCATCCACTTTGGAAAGTTCGTCGCGGAGTCCAAGTTCCGCGCCGAGGAAGAAGCCTTTACGAAAATGATACAAGCGGGAGATCGCGAGGGTTTGGGCCGCGCCATCACGAATGAGAAAGTGGAGTTGCAGGTGTTGGAGAGGTTGAGATTGAAGGCGCGAACGTATGGGACGGATCCCAGTTTGAACAATGGGAATGCGAATGGAGAGGAACCACAAGGGAAGATTAATGTAGAGGCTGTAGAGGGGTTGTATAGGGATTTTGTAATTCCGTTGACCAAGGTGGTGGAGGTGGAGTATTTGATGCAGAGGTTGGAGAAGAAGGAGTAGATGTTTGGAGGGACGTTGTACTACTACATAGAAGATACGAGGATGGAGAGGATGGATAGAGACTGATCGTTTCGATCATGTTCTTGTCCGCAAATAGAGCATTGGGGGGTTTCTTGCTTTTTTCTTCATGGAACATCTCAGATCCATAGGAGTACGAGAGAAAAGGCCAGGCGTGAGGAAATACCAATTGTGGCAGAGAATGTTGTGAAAAAAAAACGTATACCCAAGCGAATATCAAAAAAAGGAGAAAGTAGACAGAAAATAGGAAATCAAAAGAAATAGACGAAAGACTCCCAAGTCATACATGATATTAATATTGAATTTTATTTACTTCTTTTTTTCATTTCTGTCATTTCCTTAACACCTCTTAATTAGGTGCACCCAAATATTCCCCCAAAGCTTTAACACATTCTTCCCACTTCGCCTTCTCAATCAAGATCAATTCTCCCACCGCTCTAATCCCCATTTCCTGAAACGCCCTCTTGCTATCCGCCATACCCTCGCCCTCATCCTTCTTGTACTCAAACTCCTCATACGCACAGCTAAACCTCTTCAACACGTCATCCTCGGGATGAAAATAAAACACCTCGCCACTCGCCTTTCCCTTCCCCTTACTCTTCTTGCTCTTCGGGCCCTGCTCCTCCCTATCCAACCTCGACTCCACCTCGCGATACCCCCTCGACACAACCAAATAATACTTGAAATCATACGGTTCCTTATCCTCCACCGCCGCCTCAATCTCATCCACCAACATCCCATACATCGGCGGCGCCACCTCCGACGGAACATTGATCAATCTCTCCGCCAACACCACCCCCACATCCTCTCCTCCCTTGATCACCTGTTGAATCTTCCCCCCCTCCTTCACCTGACTCTCCAAATATCCCTTCAACCCTTTCACCGCCTCGCCCAGCTCTCCGCCCTCCCTATTCCCCCGGTGCACATTCAAAACCGTCATAAACGCATACGCATCCGTTCCCTCCCCATCCACCTTCACCGTGCTCCCAATCGTATCCTGTTTGACCACCTCGTCTGCCAGTCCGCTCAGATCCAACAACTGACTATCCACATCGAACAATTGTCGAATCAAGCTCTTGACGCCGTGGAAATCGATCTCGCGGAAGTTAAACCATTCGAAATCGACATTGAGGATATCTTCGCCCTATGGTTCATCTGAGTGAGTTGTGTCAAGGTACGATTGATTATGCTGAGAAGTAAAAAGAGTGCAGATATAAAGAATCCGCATCATGCGATTCAAATGGCCAATCCCAAATTCATATCCCCATTTGTCTATCCCCAAATGATCCTCCCAAAAGAAAGCCCAAAAGAAAGCCAAAACTTACATCACTTCCACTATCATTATCATTGTCCTCTCCTGCACTATGAACAGGCGCATCAGGAAGTTCTTCCGGATCGCGAACTCTTTTCTTAACCATTCTGATATCGTGTATATGTAGAAATGTTTATGTGCCGTCTTCTCAATGTAAAATTTGACCTGTGAAAGTCTTTAAAATCGAAGTCGAAGTCTAATATTCGACCGCTTTGGCAGAATTATAAAATTTGGGGAAATAAGGACGCTAGTAGCGGGGCATCATTCGGTTGATTCTCTTGTTTTTCAAGAGATCAAACGGTTTATGGATGGGCAATTCACAACATTCAATTAATTGAAAACTTCACCCATGAGTACGTTCTGAAATCTTTTTTCTTTCTCCCTCAAACTTATTTTATTTTGATTACCTACGAAACGAACCTAATAGCCCATATAGATAATCATCCAATCTTACTCCCTCTAGTCTCCTATTGAAAAGCCTGCTTCATCCCCAATAAATGAATCTTCTTCAATAGTCACTATTATGCAAATCAAAAAATGCCTTCATCCTCCCAATTTTGTCTCCATCCGAGTAGCAGTATAAACGAATTTGGGTATATGTAATAAGAAAGAAAATGGTAGTAGTATCAATGATCTAACAACGTTCTTCCATAATCAAGCAGCCAAAAAATGATGCTATCATTAAAATATTAATGCCAATCCATAAGCACATAAGCTCAAGATCGGTAATGTGTGATGTGATACCGTCAGCAAAATCTAAAACGTAACGGGGCGTGAAATTTAATTCGAATGTAAATAAGGTATCGGGTTGTGTGTGAATATAGGATTGGTTGATGTGCGTGTGTGAAGAGAATCTTATAGTCCTTAACGCCTGTACTGAATGAAATACGATGATCGTGAAGCCGTGAAATTATTGATTAGGAAAGAAAATATGAAAAATGTCGTCATCATAGGCCTGGTGGACCACCAGAATCCGTCGAACCATCACCATCGATTGTCCTCCTCCAATGATCTGGAAGACAAACACAAACTAATGGGAAAGCTTTAATCTCGCCACTAACATTTGGAGAATCATTTCTTCGTCCAGATGTATTCGAGACCCCACTATCGCGTTGTGCTTTATGCTTTTCGTCCCATTCATCGGCGCGCTCATTTATCATGACTCCGGTAGCCCATCCATCATCCCAAATACCAACAACCTTGAGCATATCACCACGTTCCAATGAAAATTCATCTCCGGCACGTGGTTGATACGCCCATAAGGTTGCAACTTTGTCGCCCGGGTGAATTTCATCTTGAGAGTAGTAATCCTTGAAGAATGGTAGTTGCTCGGATTGATTACTAGCCACGCCGTGGGGTGATGACATACTACCAGTACCAGGAGTTTGAGGATCGTCGAGCCCAAGAACTGAGCCACTAGAAAGAGAACCGGTTCGTCTATTTGGAGGTGGTCGTAGAATTCCGCCTTGCATACCTGATCTAGGACTATCCCCAAAATCACTTGAAGAAGATTCACGATCATGTCTTCGTCCCGCAGCATAGCCAGCCGCACCTCCTAATACGGCGCCACCAATTGCTCCATCTCTGTCGCGTGGGGAAGAAGAATGTCCAGAATGAGAATGTCCTTCAAGTGCTGACATCCGGGCGATTCGTCCTCCAGGAAGTACTTCGTATCCTTCAGGGGTAGTATTAGAATTTACGGGGTTATATGCCATTCCATTATTTCTGGCAGGTGTCGGTTGATTTAAGATACTTCCATGCTGGCTTCCACGTCGTTTGCGCAAGCACATGAAAAATATCAAGCCAACAAGTGCAGCCAAACCAAGTAACGATCCAATAACGATACCTGCAATAGCACCACTAGATAATCCCTTATTCGATGTTGAGGAGGCGGCGGCGGCGGCACCGGTGGAAGATGATGTTGGAGTCGATGTTCCTGAACTTGAGGAGGCAGTACTTGTGGAGAAGGTGATGAATCCTGTAATCGTAGGTAAGACTACACCAGCACAGCGTGATTCTGCTCCTGAATTATAACAGCAAGTATCTGTACTATTTTGTCCACCAGTACCACAGTACTGACATAATCCGAACGTGCTATTACCATATCCACAATTATCTGGTTCATTAGTGGAACCTTCTACACAAGATCCAGTCAACGAATCTGATGGTAATGCGCAATTTGTAAAGTCAGCACGAATTTGAGAAATAGCATTGCTTCCGGGAGTGGAACAAAGTTGACTATCAGCAATTATTATCGATTCGCTCTCCGCGAATTGGGCCTATTTTTCTTCTGTCAACTTCAAGTCATGCAAAAATTGGATGTGATGGAAACTCACGCAAGAATCTGCACAAACTGGCGGTGCTTGGGTATCCGACAAACTACATGATGATTTGGAATTCTGTATTATAGAATTACATATAACTGTGGTTGTGTATCGAGCGTAAAGGTTTGATGTATTTGTAAGATTTATATTTCCGCATCCGAGAAGTTGCTGGTACCTGCATGATCGTGTTAGACAAGCATCGGCATATGTAAAAATAATAATGATGCATACTTTGACTGCACATAGCTTGTTTGAACGTATGCACTTAATTGAGTGTCGAAAGTAGCGCGATCGGAAACATATGATAAAAATGGGCTAAAAAGTATATAGTCAGTGTTGATCAATAAACGATTGTTGATAGGGCGAGGTCAAAACATACAAAAGTCCGGTCAAGTTTGTATCAATTGAGGCGGAAGTAAATGCAGGACATTGAGTAGAATCTGAGAGAGAAATACAATCTGCAATTGCAAGAGGTACACTTGCGAGAATTGATATTATGGCTGCCTTGGTAAAAGATCCAGTCCACCTTTGTTTCCGTTTGCTCCTGTTGTTGTTGAGTCCTTTTCTATCTTTCGATATTACTTTCGCCATTGTTTGAGATGGGGATAGTTTCAATGATTCGTATGATATGCTATTGCCGCAATGATAATTCTCATTGTTTGATATCGAGGAGTAAGTTGTGGTGAAGGTGTAATCGGAATCGTTTCTCAAATTTTGCTGGTTCATAATTTCCTTATGTTGCCGTCCTTGCTCATGTACAAGCATTCGAACCCTTTTGCTATTATAACCTTCTCTGTATGCCTGGAATCGACTCTTGCAATAACCTCAGCTCAATAGAAACAAAAAGTACCACCCAATATCCAAAGAGGCGATTGTTGAATTAACAGATTGCGTAGACAAGAAAAGAAAAAAGAAGTTCTTCCAAAAACGAATTGAAAATTCAAGAGAATGATTCTGTTAATTTTGTAACGATCGAAGTTGAGTGAGGTGTGAACAAGATGGGGTGAACGAATGAACAATATTCACTGCAATAGAGGAAGAAGCAGGACCAAAGGACCAAAAGATGGTTGAACTTTGATCAACCTCTTCTTTCCTTTAGTGACCGCCTCTTGTTCTGAGAGTGAGAGGCCTTTGTATGGGAAGGAATATGTAGGTTTTGGATATTCTCTACCTGAGGAAAGAAAAGGACCAGAGGGAAAAGGGCGGAAAGGGCCTGAAACTCAAGCACATGCTAGGTAGGTGATTGAATGAAAGGAAAGTTTTGGCTGTTTGGCGTGTTGGCCGGAAGAATGTCTAAAAAAGGTTCGCAAGGTCTGCGCTCAAAAGCCAAAGTGGGAAAAATAGATAAGATTCACTGCTCTGTACCTACCACTATGCGCACAGTACCCCTTGTAGCAGACAGGGAGTATTCGCGGTAGACAGAATTTAAAATGAGGTGAAGCCAAAAAGTATCTTGTGGGTGAAATGGCAAAATAGACCTTTTGAGTCAAGAGGGAAGATTCCATTGGATGAAAGATACCGAAGAATTGGTTTTGGGTATTTGAAGAGGTTCGACAGGTGGTCCACGAGGGTCAAGCAGGAAGGAGAATGAATGAATATCTTGTGAATTTTGGAGGTTTGCCTGATTTGTACAATACAATACCATGTAATACCATACAATACCAATCAACATCGATCAATGCCAATATCAATACCTGATATGATGATGATAGAAAGATGCGATGCCATGCCATGCACCACCTACCTGCAAGTCTGGATGTTTCTTTGGGGAAAAGCTTGCGTATCTTTTACCCATGACCAGTACTGGAAGGCTGGAACTTTCTGAGTTGTCATAATGAAGAAATCTGGGACTCAGGAGAGATTCGCAGTCAATCTGATCGTGTCGATATTGACTGGTTGATCAAGGTTAGCCAGTAAGAAAAAGAAAGCATATAATCGTATCGGTGAGGTTCATCGGATGAACAAGCACGCACGCGTAGAAGGAAAGGTTCCAGGTTTCATACGCTTGTTTCCTTTCGTCCCGTTGTTCCCCCGCTAAATTCCATCGCCAACACAATACCCGTTCTGCCCTCAGCCACGGAAGTATCTAGCTACAGGTAGATGGGCAATGGATGATTGATTCTCAACTCCATTTGCTAGCCACGTTCTAATGTTACACTATATCATCATCATCATCACTAGCTATTCACTTGTACATCTCTCTCACACTGGCTCGACGGGCTGACTACAACGCATGGCGAACAGACATCGCGAATAGAAATTATCCGACCGTTTTGGCCATGTTCATCTTGTCCTAGTTCGTTTCAATAGTGAACGAAATGCTTGTTCTGTTAAGTCTGTAAAGATGCCGCTTTTCAATGCAGACTCCTCAAGGTCGAAATGTATGGCTAATAAGGCTCCATTTGATTTAGGTGAAGAGGCTGGGAAATGAGAGAGATGCAACTTTCCATAAAATGGCGGTTACGCTGAAGGGTACGAGGTCTGATTATCCATTACCTAGCAGTTATTGAAGTGGTTAATGTTTTCTTGTTGTCCAATCATTTAATTGTCGCATCAAATGTTGAAGCATTGTAATGTCGTCGTTCCTCTCTCTCTCGTGGTACAAGAGTACTTGGAGGTAATTATGTATATGCTATCGAGTGCCACAGAAACCTTTCTTTTGGCTGAGTCATTTCGCTGCTTGAAGCCCGCATGGAGATGAACAACTGGTGTGCGGGTTGGAATCGAAGGTCCACTGGTGGTCATGTAAAACAAGATAAACCCTATCAAATGTTTCTCGCCATCTCATCTGTGGAAACAGTTCTAGGACTGAACGATTTATTGAGTTGTCGTTCATCAAATTTATAGTTGCTATGTCATGTCATGTCAGAGACTTTTGACATTGTGATGTGGCACTCATGCAAGACATCGTCTCTCATCCAAAACTCTCAGTGAATGCATACATCATTAGTTACTGCATTGATCTACATTGCTTCGCAAATAGTAGTCGTCGCCCTTGCTTGTATCTTCGCCGATGTTTTCAAAATGATTGTTGTAGACTCTGTCGGTCTCATAATCCTTGATGGCTGTGTTGCTTTCCTCTGGATTTTCGGAAATGAGATCCGAGAGTTTAGATAATAGATACTTGCTGGTTTGATCGTCCGGAAAATAAATTCGTAAGCTTAAGCTTGAGCTGGCTCGGCTGGGCTTCTTGGAAAGTCGGGATTGATGTGATGCAGGCCGCAGCTGGTCTATGTGTGAGATTATTCTCGTCTCCCTTCCTACATAGAAGTTCCAACTTCCCACCTCTTCAAACCTTTGAAGCTTGGTAGACGACAAAGTATGATGTGGTTCGTAAACGTGATCGATGTGGCTGGCGACGGGGCTTCATTTGAGGTTCATTCCACGTTGGACGGAAAAGAAAGGAACGATATCAACAAACCCCTATTCTTCGTCATTATGATACAATTTTGAAAAGAACCTTTCTCGGTGAAGCTTTGAAAGAATATACACAGTGCGTTCTCGAAGCTTCCTGCCTTACGATTGATCGTCAATAGAGGGGTAGATGAAAAGCCAATCAATCATATATCTCAATGAAGTAAGTGGAGAGGAATGCCAATACTTTTTCAAAGTTTGCGATTCCTTCGAGTTGCTACGATCTCTTTCCTGATTCTTTCTCTGGAAAAATAGCGGGTACCTTACATACTAGGTAGATATTGATGTTGAGTGACGTCTGTTTCTATGGATGGTATGGTGGTGTTTGGATAGCAAGGCAAGGCAATCTAGTTGGTGTTTGGGAAAAGCTTTCATTATGACGTATTGCTCAAATCTCCAACACCTACCTACCTATTTTATAGTCGACTTGACACCCCTCATCGACTTTGAATTCTTCATACTTTACAACTTTCAAACCCATCAATCATATAATAAATCCCTCACACTATTTACACCTCTCAATTCACATCAACATCAAATCAATCAATCAAAATGAGCTCCAACGTCGATCAACAACTCCACGAGAACCACGAGAGATTCCACGAGGGCAAGGAGAACAGCCATCAAGCACTCGACTCCAGTAAGATTTATTGAACTCTTGAAGTTTGAAGAATCACAAGCTAATCAATCAAACAGAGGATGAGAGATCCATTGCAAACAAGTTGGCTCGTGAGGAGCAACGTGAGAACGAACCCGAGGAGATGAGCAAGGAGGACAAGGCCGCAAAGGAAGATGCTACCCTCCCAGTAAGTTATTGCCTCTCCATCCATACACGTTGTTGCACAATATTACTTCACTCGATGCTCCATTCTATGTCGGATTTCGGTTGCACATCTACGTGTCCGTTCTGTTGAAGACTGTGCTAACATGCATGCTATCAGGCCAAGATGCACGGCAATGAGCCAAGCAGAGGTGCTACAATCGATCAACAGTTGAGAGAAGAAGAGGAGGCTGAGTTGAAGAGAAAGGGAAAGGCTTAAATGGAACACATACCAAATGGATGCGTTACAAGCAAGTGAATGAATTTATACCCACCAGTATATTCATGGGATGATAGGTTGTCTGAAAACCCTATCGTTGGAGTTATGAAATGAGCTGGGAAACTCACTGTACTTTATAAATGCCATTATTGGCGACGAGACATGATACTATAATCAATGACCTTTTATCACTTCATCTGATGATTTTGATCCTATGCAAGGAAATGTAACTGTGGAATGTGATGGGAAAGTTTCATCGTCATGATTTCATGAAATGTTCAATTGTACCAGCTATCCACTTAGGGTAGTTGACTAGCCTAGGCTGCATACATATCAGATAATGACCGCCCTATCGCTTAGTAATCGCCTTCATTCGTAAACCATCATATCGAAATCGACAACTACAAGTGCTTTGCGCCAACTACAACGATTCTACAATTATTCAGTGGATATGATTCACTGCCGTACCTGATACCGTTGTTGTACTACAGCTTCTGGAAGCTTTACTTCATTGCTTCAATAAACAAGAACAGCAATATCCATGACTTCAGGCGGATGAACTTCTGCTCATCACAACCATGGGTCAAGGTTTCTCTCTCACGACGCTCTCGGCGGGCTCTGCAGGTATTGATGTACCAGAACTCTCGGATTTGGTTTACGAAAAGTCTATGGGAACTGCCCGGTTTATGAAAAGTATTCGTGCTCGTAGCCAAGATGGAGTTGTGCTTGTCAAGGTTGTCGTTAAGCCTTATGCCATGGATCTCAAGAAGTATAGGAAGAAGATAGTCCGTGAGTTGCGAATATGGATTTCTTTTGATGGGATCTAATTGATTTGCATAGGAGAACGAAAAGCCCTGGCTGATGTCCCAAATGCGCTCCCCTATCAACGTATCGCGGAAACAGAAACGAATGGTTATCTTGTCCGACAATATTTATATAGCTCCCTATACGATCGCATGAGTACTAGACCTTTTCTGGAAGACATCGAGAAGAAATGGCTGGCGTTTCAGCTTTTATGCGCCGTCCGTGACTGTCATGCTAGAGATGTGTTCCATGGAGATATCAAGACGGAGAATACATTAGTAACCTCATGGAATTGGTTATATCTATCTGATTTCTCTTCTTCTTTTAAGCCAACAAACTTACCGGAAGATAACCCTGCGGATTTCTCCTATTATTTCGATACTGCCGGACGCAGAACATGCTATCTAGCTCCGGAAAGGTTTTTGGCGACAGGAGAAACACCAGATCCCAAAGCACCCATAACTTGGGCTATGGATGTCTTCAGTGTTGGTTGCGTGATAGCGGAACTTTTTACAGAAGCTCCAATTTTCACATTGAGTCAATTATATCAATATCGCAGAGGAGAGTACGATCCAGTTACCTCGTTGCTCAATCGAATAACAGATAAAGATGTACGAGAAATGGTGTCACATATGATACAATTGAGTCCTGAATCTAGATACTCGGCAGAAGAATATTTGCAATTTTGGAGGAAGAAGGTCTTTCCAGATTACTTTTACAGTTTTTTACATCAATACATGGGTTTGATTACCGACCCATCATCTGGAAGAGCGCCAATATCTGGGTCATCGGCAAATCTTGGCGAGGCCGATGAACGTATTGATCGTATCTACTACGACTTCGATAAGATTTCTTACTTCTTAGGTTACGAGAATGAAAAGCCAACGTCAGCTTTCAAGAGTATATCTACAGGAACAGGCTTACAACCAATACCTGTACATCTCAATATACCAAACAATGAGCATTTTGCTTCTGCTCTTGGTAGACGACCTATAGATGATGGGACTTTGATTTTTCTAACATTAGTTGTATCATCAATGCGAAACACTGCGAGAGCAACTGCAAAGATTCGAGCTTGCGATATACTGCTAGCTTTTGCCGAGAGGTTGACTGATGAAGCAAAACTCGACCGGGTTTTACCATATATTATGACTTTACTCACGGATAAATCAGAGCTTGTGAAAGTAACAGCTATTCGAACAATAACTCAACTTTTGGCTCTTGTTACAGTCGTCTCACCTATAAATGCACATGTATTTCCAGAATACATCTTGCCACGAATGCAGATTTTCCTCCCCGGTTCACCCACAGAACCAGGACCTTTAGTAAGGGCAACCTATGCAGCATGTATAGGGAGCCTTGCCAGTTCAGCCTCCAAGTTTCTCGATATGGTTGCAACTTTGAGGTCAGACGGTTCACTTCCTCCTACGGATCCAGATGCCGACGATGCTAATAGCAAGGATGCTCCATTTCAAGGGCTATTTGACACAGCTCGAGATGAGCTTATTGAAGTCTTCGAAGGACATACTAAGGCTTTGATTACGGATAGCGATTCTGCTGTCAAAAGAGCTTTTCTGGGATCTGTGCCGGAGTTATGTATGTTTTTCGGCACAGCAGACTCGAATGACATTATTTTAAGTCATCTAAATACTTACTTGAATGACCGAAATTGGATGTTGAAGTGTGCTTTCTTCGAGACCATTGTTGGGGTTGCAACTTTCTTAGGCGGCATCAGCCTTGAAGAATTCATACTACCATTAATGGTTCAAGCTTTGACGGATCCTGAAGATTTTGTAGTAAGGAGTGTCCTTCACTCATTTGCTGATATGGCACAGTTGGGTTTGTTCCAACGATCAAAGATATGGGAAATGGTAGATGTGGTTAGTCGCTTCACAATGCATCCTAACATTTGGATCAGAGAGGCAGCAGTGAACTTTATTTCATCGGCAACTATCTTTTTGTCCAGTGCAGATATTTTATGCATCATTTTACCACTCGTCCGTCCGTACCTCAAGACAGGAGTTAATGATTACTCAGAGGTCACATTACTTGATGCTTTGAAAAAACCGCTATCGAGGGCAGTCCTTGATATGTCTATCAACTGGGCTAACAAGGTGGATAGAGGAATATTTTGGAAACCTGTCAATCAGTTACGAACATTTTCTTTCAATTCAAGCAGTTTTGTACCCACTGTCTCATCTAAAGAGTCTGGTCATCATGCTTTATCCAGAATACCAAAGAATGAAGAAGATGAACAATGGCTGGCAAAACTTCGAAACATAGGAATGAGTCACGAAGATGAAACAAAGTTGATCGCTCTGAGAGAGTATATATGGCGCCTTGCACCTTCAAAAGTCAGAGAAGGTCCAACGCATCCAACCTATCTCAACAATGTCATTAATCTTCGAAGTCTCAACATTACACCACAAACAGTGATGTTTGATGAACAGATTACAGAAGAACCACCCCGCAAAATCAACGACGGCTCAGAGATCAATGGAGAGCAACACTCTATCGCCGACGCTTTACTTGATGCTTCCATGACTATTGATGATTCAATCGCTAAAAGGAAACGCTCTGCATTAAATAGTCATAGATCGAAAGCTGGCTTACCAATCACTACTAATGGATTAGAACCACACTCTCCAACTTTATCACCTGCATTCTTATCCCCTACGGATGCCTCGACTCCAAGGTCATCTATGACACCACGAAAAGGATCTCTAGTCCGGCCTGGAAGTTCAGACACGACAGCTCAGATGAGCGACGATGGAACAGCATCACTACTGGGCGCTTTGTCTATTGAATCAGGGGATACTATTCGTGGCATCCGTCATAAGTCTTCTGCTATGACTTTGATGAATCGCAAGGAGTCAGGGAAAAGTGTTCCCGAGACAAGTACTACCTCAACAAATGCTTTCGGCAAGGTTGAAGGACCCTTCTCACAACCTCCTCAACCTTTGTCAATCAATCTAGCAAAAGATCAAGATGCTTCTGCGAAAAATGAAATACGATTCAGAGCGGCTCATACCTATTCAGGTAATGATCCCAACATACTCAAAATGCTAGATGCTATGTATGTGGATAATTACCCCAATGATATCGCCGAATTCGGGCCTATGATTGCTCCTTCGAGTCGACGCCGAGCTATCAATAGGAATAGTAATCAAGCTGGGGATAAATCATGGAGACCCGAAGGTAGTCTTGTGGCTACTTTTGCTGAGCATGTTGGACCAATACATCATATTGCTGTTGCTCCAGATCATGTATTCTTCCTCACAGGTGGAGATGATGGTTGTGTAAAAGTGTGGGATACTGGTAGACTTGAACGAAACATCGCTCATCGATCCAGACAAACACACAAACATGCAGATGATGCCAAGGTTACTGCGTTATGCTTTGTGGAACATACACATTCATTTGTGAGCTGTGGAAGTGATGGAAGCATCAACGTAGTCAAAGTTGAGTTCATCCAAAGTGGTGGCGTGGGAAGATATAGTAAACTTCGCCTCTTACGTGAATATAAGCTACCGAAAGACGAATTCGCTATATGGGCAGAGCACTTCAAATTAGAGACGAATTCGATTTTACTTATCGCTACCAATCGTTCAAGAGTATTGGCTATTGATTTAAGAGCTATGACAATCCTCTATATTTTAGAGAATCCTGTTCATCATGGCACTCCAACATGTTTCTGTGTCGATAAGAAACGCAATTGGTTATTACTAGGAACTTCACATGGTATCTTGGATCTATGGGATTTACGTTTCAAGGTCCGTTTAAAGGCTTGGGGTGTTCCAGGATCCACATCTATTTACAGAATTCGAATCCATCCTACTAGAGGTCGAGGTAGATGGGTATGTGTTGCTGGTGGTAGTGGACAAGGAGAAATTACCGTCTGGGATGTTGAAAAGACACAATGTCGAGAAGTGTATCGATCTGGATCAAGTCGAGAGGCGCCAAAGAATTATGAACCTTGGCCTGTTGATGAAGACCGTCCAGAAGGTATGCTCGGTCGCTTTGCAGGGGCTCTCGAACCGACAGCCAGTGTCTCAAATTATGGAATTCGTGCCATGATTGCTGGTACTGATGCTAACGATGATAATCGTGATGGCAAATATGGATTCGTTATTACTGGCGGTTCAGACCGTAAGATTCGATTTTGGGATTTATCACGCGTAGAAAGTTCAATGGTTGTGAGTGGTTTAGAGACTGATGAGCTCAAACCATCATATGGTTCCTCACATCCCACACCGATACTTACATTGAACCACGAACGAGTGCCTAGACAAACCCCAACAGCTCCCAATGCTGGGACAAGAGATAGAGGCAATGATGGAGGTAGATCTGAAGCAAGTAGTAGAGGAAATGGAAAGGCGCCAAGGAGTACGATTATTTCATTACAAGGGCATCAATTATTGAGGGCGCATTTGGATTCAATTTTGGATGTGGCGTTGTTAGAGAGTCCTTATGGAATGGTGGTTAGTGTCGATAGAGGAGGAGTTATCTTTGTCTTCCAGTGAGTCAGGATGATTTATGAAAATATATGAAGGATTGGAGTTATTGGAATGGAAACGGTAGTGAACAGCACTATGGGAATGAGGAGGGGAATCGGTTTATTGTATTTTTGAGATGTATGATATACATAGATTGAGCGATAGGCTCTTGCATCTATTAGACAATAACTAGTAATAAGTTATAAAATAATATAATCTACCTGAATTGATATTCATCGTATATATTTCTGATTGAAATGATTATGATAATTTGTATGTACCTGATGGAATGACTCTCCAAAAGGCTGACACTCAAAAACCGGTTAGCGCAAAATCTAAGCTTAGCTTACCAAAATAATTTCTGGATTGCGAGCATCATGCTATCAGCCTTGCGACCCATTCACGCACTTCACAACCTTACGACCTTCACATATATCCTCACATCTCTTTATATCCCGCCAACAGAACAATTTATTAACTAACTTCGGAAATATCAATCAATCATGCGTCTCACAGCCGACTTGATCCAATCCTCCCTTTCCTATCTCAATCCGCTCAAGGAACGCGAATTAGATCTTCGAGGTGCGTTTTAAATCTTTGATTTTCCTGTTAAGAACGGAGGGGAGGCTCCCTATACTACACTTTTGAAAAGAGCTGAGTTGATACTGGTTTGGTTGGTGGTTTGCAGGTCATAAGATTCCGGCGGTGGAAAATTTGGGGGTTGCGGGGGTGAGTTTTGTTGTTTTTTCTTCTTCTTGTCGATTTCTTGGGGTTTGGTTGTTTGTTGTCTGTTGGTTTGGGGTTGGGAGAGGGGAGCAGTGGAGCAAGAGCAAGGTCAAGGGGAATCGGAAGGATGGTGGAGGAAGACGAGTTCTTTTTCTTTGGCTCTGCCTCTAGTTTTAACTTACAAGCTTCACACATCCGCAAGATAGTATACTAACAGGAACTTAGCCACATGATGCAATCGATTTCACAGACAATGATATTCAACTACTCAGCAACTTCCCACTCAGTCCACGTTTAAGAACGCTTCTCCTAGCTCGCAATCGCGTCTCGAGTATCTCACCTACGTTGGCGAATTCATTACCAAACCTGACCACATTGGTTTTGACGAGTAATAATGTAGCTGAGTTGGCGGACTTGGATGGATTGGCTGGGTGTGCGAGGTTGACGAGTTTGGTGTTGATGGAGAATCCGGTGACTAGGAAGGAGGTGCGTTACTTTCTGTTCTGTTTTATTTTGTGTCGGGGAGAATGAGGGGACTAGTTTGATGTTGTTGGAAAATGAACAAGGCAGTTGGATGAAGCTAATTGATGGACGCGGATAATAGCATTACAGAGAATGGGTTCTCTTCCGATGTCCTAATGTGCGATTTCTGGATTACAAGAAAGTCAAAGCTGTAGAGCGAGAAAGAGCTCGAGAGTTGTTCGGTACATTTGCAGAACCATCTGCTCTTGCATCAAAGGTAAGCTTACATTCTTTTTGGTCTTCTCCTAAGAGCGTCATACTAATATATCTACCCTCCAGATCATGGGCATTAAATCTCACACATTCGACACATCTAGTATCACCAATGGCGCATCCACATCCTCAAATTCCAAGTCCTACCGCGTCAAGCTTACCGATTCTGAACGAAAGAAGGTCGAGGAATTAATCAAGAATGCAAAGAGTTTACAGGAGATTATTAAATTGGAGAAGGAGTTGAATGAAGGAAGGGTTCCAGCGGCTGCGCAAGGCGATGATCCAATGGAAGAATAAATTGAGAGAAACTGAGAAGAGGAGAGGAGAGGAATAAAATTGCATGTCGGTGCTATAAAGGAGGGGTTATAATAAATGCGTACCTACCTACCTAGTTAAAGCGCTTTAGGTCCAGTCCCGTCAGGATGAAAGGATATGAGAGGATATGAATAGGATGATATTAAATCATGATATATCAAAAGGAAAGAGAGAAAAAGTACTTCATATCGGTTGCATATTGCTGGGCGTTCTGGGTGAGATGGTGTTGCTGATGTATGTATGTATGTGATGGAATGCAATGAATGGATAGCATAGCATAACATAACATAACATAGCACAGCATAGCATTCTATTCTCCACAGAAAGAACTTCACGACTTTGCAAATAAGTTTCTATTTACATTGTTTATATAGTTCCCTTGTTTTTGTTTTTGACTTTGTAAACCAATGCAATGTGATATCTATAATACATACTCCCATACCCGCACACTCAACCAACTACACCGCGTCCTGTCTACAGTACACCTTCCTCTCCCTCTTTCCATTTTCATCTCGCCTGAACTACATCTCCGGTGCAACAAACTCAAAAAAAGAGATACACGTGAAATTCCAAAATCCCAAAAGCACAACCCATGACATATATATTAACTAACTCATCTCGACATCATCATCTTCTTCTTCCTCATCGTGATCATCGCTATTAGCTTGACTCTCCATCCGCAATTGCGCATTGGGATCTTCGTCTTCGGTGGCGGTGCTGACTCTTCGCTGTTCTTGCTGTTTTTGGGATTTGTTGGCGGGGGTGAAGCCGTTGGTGGGGGTGAAACCGTTGGGGATGGTGATGGGGTGGGCGGGGGTGGTGGCGGTCGTGATTTGGGTGGGGGAGTTGTTTTGAGTTTGGGGTTGAGATGGGGGTTGGGGTTGAGGTTGAGGTTGGACTTGATTGAGAGCTGGTGTGGAAGTAGATGCGGATGCGGGGGCTGAAGCGGAGTCTTCTAGCAGGCCGGAAACGGAAACGCGGGGAGGTGCTGTGTCGAGGAGGGGGGATTGAGGGAAGGAGTTTGGGGTTGGGGTTGGGGTTGGGGCTGAGGGACCGGCGTGCGAGGTGGCGGGTTGGGGAAAAGGAGGGTTGGTGGGGGGACGGTAGATTTGGTTTTTGCGAGGTTGTTGGCCATGTGGGCGTTGGCTTTGACGAGTTTGAGGGGGACGGTCTTAGGGACGATATCGCTGAGGAATTCGAGGTTGTCGATGTGGGAGACGGCGGAGGCTGAGAGATGTTAGTGGGGGGTGAGAGAAGGAGGGGGGAGAGGTTCGTTGGGCATATGGGGGATTGGTGATGGACATTGAGTTTGGCGGTGGAAGGAGAACCTTGATGAAGCAGTTGAAGAGAGGAGAGACTTACAAAGATCACGATATTGAATGTTACGACGAGGTTTGCGTTCAGACTTGACAACGTTGTGGCCTGATTCGGCCATGTATTGAATGAACATTTCCTGAAATGTATACTTAGCTTTTGTATGAAGAATGTCAGATGGAGAGTAATGACATACGGTGGCTAGAGTAATAACAAATGCAGCATTGCTGGAACACATGTTTATGTCTTGATCGGTCCCGATTATCTTCTTGATACGTGATACTGGTGAATGTTAGTTGGCGAAGCGAAAACTTTGGGGGTATTTTGAAACTTACAAGGCAACTGAGTTGTTCCTGTTACCTCTTGAGGAGGAACTGAAGAATAATTGGAAGGCATAGTAACGGCTGAGCTCAAAGAAAGGTTTGGTTGAGAATGATTATTGAGAAGATATATCTGTAGGACGCTTAGTTGTTTAGTTGTTAAAGTAATGAACTTGACATATAGAAATATTATGTGCAGATTATGAAAGGAAATGCAGAGTATTTTTGTACAATGGAGCTTGGTACCATGTCACTGCAGTAGACGCAAAGTAGACGCAAACCCAACACTTGTAGGTTATGATACTCTCAGTGTGAATAACATATCAAAACGCGATCACGTGTCTGTTGAAAAAAGGGGAGAGTCCATCAAACACAATTATGGTGGTGGTCTTCTTTAAAGTCAAGCTGATTCAACTCGAATCGAATGTAGAGCGTTTTGAATCAGTGGTGATATACACATAAAACCTCTGCAATATCCCGATTTTATAGAATCTCAATCTTTCTCAGGGGAGACATAAAGAGTATCAAACTCTACACAAGATATTCCAACCATTCATCGATGAAAAACAACATGTCGCGTACCTCTTTAGAAATATAATGAACTTGGATTTGTTTGGAAGTGTCGAGAAGTATGTACCCAAGTTAAGTTCATACAGGATCAAGGAAGCCAGATAGAAAGAAATAGCTCTTGCGCGTTCGAGGAGTGAATACATGAATGTTCTTGTGGCTAACCGTAGTAATCTATTAAAGGTCACGTGACTATCAAATTCAATCCATTCCTCGAGAATGAATGCTTCTAGGCCGTAGTAGAGTTCAAGATTTTAATAAGCTGTGTTCATACTCACTACGAACAATGATCTATTAATGGGTGTATAGTCACTCCATCGTCACGAAGAAGGATGGTAAACCTTTGCTTTCAACGTTCCCCTCACTAAATACCCAGGTACACGTTGTTCATTACTATGAAGCTGCCACTAGTAAAATAGTCATGACGCTGGCATTTTGGACTAAGTAAACAAAGGCAATTTTAGCAGATCTATTCGACCTATCACTAGATTCCGCATCTAGTAACTTCCAACCCCTGGCAAATTTGACAAGTAAAGAGCTTACAAGTCAAAGATCAAGTCTTGAAGTTGCCAATCAAGGTTTGGCTCAGAGCAGCTATCTTTTTAGGGCTTTCTGAGATGCAGTTTCCCTCCAGATACTCCGGTCAGTGCCGTGAGTTCCTTCTCTCAATGCATTGTTTATGAGTGCTTCTTAGAGTATTTCCTCTTCGAATCTTTCTTAATCGTTACACCAACTCTTTCTTTTTTGCTTCGTCAACATTTTTGGGTATTCCACCTCTATTTACAATGGCTCCCGTTGCTCCAAGTGATCTTAATTATTTCACTTGTACTTTGGGTGAAGCCAGTAGTAGAAAATTAACTCCAGTCGATGAATATGACACAATCAATGAACTCCTCGATCACCATGCTGAGAAGTATGGAGACCAATTAGCTCTAGCGATCCCTGAAGAAATCGTCAATAGGCAGGATTCTGGAGAGAACTCAAACGCTGGATCATCTTATGGTACCAAACGAGTATTGTATGGTCAGGGAGCATCTTCGTCTTCTAGTAATGGAAGAAGAGAAACGAGACCTACCTCACCAGAAAGAAATCCAGCACGAGTTTCGAATGGCAATGGAGTCAATGTCGTTGGTACTGAATTGGCTCCTACAGAATGGAAGGTCCATCTTTATAATTTCCAAGAACTTCGGGATTGTTCATTGAAATTGTCCCACAAATTAGCATCTTCTGAGGAGCTTTTTCCATTTGATAATACAACTGCAAGAGATCCGACACGCACCAAGTGTGTCGGTCTCATGGGTAAAAGTGATTTGGCCTTTCTATTCAGGTGGTTGGCATTAATGCGATTGGGAGTATCCGTTATGGTCATGGTGTAAGTTGCAAATATTTCCAGTTCTGAGCACGGTTTTTTGAGTAGGGTATTCTGTAGCAGATTGGATGGAAATTTTAATATTGGAGGGCAATTCAAATTTCAAGTTTCCCTCAAAAACTGAACCGCCAAACGTTGAATTGGATCTAGGAACTGATAGTATCCGCTTATACTGACACAATATAGACCATCACTTAGCTCGGAAGCTGTTCGGCATCTTTGCAAACAATGCGATATTGATATTGTGTTTTACGACGTTGACCTCCTACAACAATATGTGGAAATCCAGAAACTTGAGAAGATCTCACGCAACACTCCACTCCAGATGCGGGGGTATTCAAAAAAATTCACTATGGAATTAATATCACATGCCGAGAGAATTCCATCACACACTCCATCGTATAAGGTCACGGGTAAAACCCCAGCTTACAATCATCATACCTCTGGCACCTCTGGCCTTCCGAAGCCCGTTCCCTACACTCACCATGTTGCATGCGGAGTTCTGCCAATTTTGGATGGTCGCGGAACATTGTCCTTTACCACAACACCTCTTTACACTGGCGGTATTGCAGATTGTTTGCGTGCCTGGACTAGTTTATCAACTATCTGTCTTGCCCCTGATGGTCAACACCCACTTACTTCCGAGACAATCATCAATTGTTTCTCGCAAATAAAAGAGAAGTATGAATCATCTATACGTAGAGTGCACGACTTCGGAACACGACCCAGGTCAAAATCGCTTACGCGTAGATTGTCCGATCAAATTCCAAAGTCAATATACTTCTCCTGTGTCCCAACGATAGCACAAATGCTTTCTACGACATCTAGAGGACTTGAGTTTCTTCGTGATATGGATATTGTGGGTGTAGGTGGTGCTAGTTTGCCAGAAGAAGATGGAACACTGCTCGTCTCTGAAGGAATAAATCTCGTTTCTCGTTATGGTAGTGCAGAGTGCTCGTTTCTTCTCTCGACCCACCGAGAGTACAAAACCGACAAAGAGTGGCAATATTTCAGGGCTTCGGAAGGTGTTAATTCTATCAAGTTTGAACCGCTAAATGATGGTTCTAATAGATTTGAATTGGTGGTCATGAGTGACTGGCCACAATTTCCAAAGGCCAATCGAGAAGATGGATGTTTCGCAACAAGTGATTTGTTTGAGCCACACCCTTCTATAAAGAATGCATGGAAACATGTTGGTAGAGGCGATGCCCAAATCACTCTTTCGACTGGAAAGAAATTCGATCCCATTTACACTGAAGAAGCACTGAAGAGGTTTCCCGATATAAAAGATGCATTTGTCTTTGGAAATGGACAAATGTACCCTGGAGCAATAATCATCAAGTCTGAAAACGCTACAAGTAATTTCAGCGATGATGAATTCAGGGACATGATTTGGCCATATGTTGAGGACGTGAACAAAATGGTTCCACCCCATGCCAAAATCTACAAAGATATGTTAGTCTTAAAGCCACATACCGAGTCTTTGGAAAAAACCGCAAAGGGAACCACAAAGAGGCAAAGTGCTAACATGCACTATGATTCCGATATCCAAAGTGCTTATGATGGCGATGCGTCAGCGTTCAACAGTGAAGTCTCATTAGAAAGTGTAATGGAAGTTGTCAAAACAGCCATTGGCGCTCCAATAGACCTGAAATATGACTCCGACTTTCGCGCTCATCACATCGATTCTGTTCAGGCGACGCGGATTCGATCGCATCTCAATTTGGTGACTAAAATTGATTCTTGAACTTAATATCTTATGCTGATAAATTTGCAGGCGTTCCTTCGCAGGTCTAAACCCTTTCCTTGGAACTTAGTCTACCAATGTGGTAGTGTCACAGCGTGAGTACTCAATCATTAAAGATACCAGGCATTGGTTTTGTCAAATATTCTTTCCATATGTTATTTATTGCATACTTAAGAATCCAAGGTGGTAGAGATTATTTGCTGCAGCGAGAGACTGACGACATGAATTAGGCTTACCGAATACATCAAAGCCTCTCAGAATGGATCCATTCCCGAGAATGAGAAGGATGAAGCGCATCAGATGAACAGTATGGTTGAACACTTTAGTAAATCGTTCAAGGACGAAACAGAATCATGTAACACACCTGACAAAGAAACCATAGTAAGTATTCAATCAATTGGTGTACATGGCATACCCAATGCCTCTAAGAAGAATATTCTAATGAATAATACAGATTGTAACTGGAGTCACTGGTACCCTTGGTATGAACATAGTCGAATTGTTGCGATATATGGCTACAAATCATGAGGCACTTCGGATCGTTTGCTTCGTTCGAGCCAAAAATGATGAACAAGCTCGTGAGAGAGTAGAATGGGCGTTGCAGTCTCATTATCCCGAAAACTTGGAATTCACTGCCCAAAATATCGAGTGCAGAGCTGTGAAATTAGATCAAATTGAGTTAGGCCTTTCAAGAGATGTATTGGAAGATCTTCGTCAAAATGTTACCACAATCATTCATGTAATTTTCCCCAGTCAACAATCATGGTTGATACATACTGATGCTAGATTACAGGCAGCCTGGGAGGTTAATTTCTCCATTCCCTTGAAAGATTTCACCGAGCAGTTTCAAGGACTTCGCAACTTGATAAATTTCTCCCTGTCTGGGGAAGCACCGAAACATCTTGTCTTCTGTTCATCTACTGCAAGCGTGGCTAACACTAAAATCGAAGAGAATGAGGACGGGGAGGACTTCAAAATTATGGAAAGTATAAATCGCAATCCTTTGAATGCTGGTCCGCTGGGTTACTCGAAGAGCAAGTGGGTTGCTGAAGCAATCTGCTCTTCAGCATGTCAAATGACAAGAGCAAATATTAGCATTGTGAGAATTGGTCAATTATCAGGCAACACTTTCAATGGAAGCTGGAACGAAAAGGAAGCATGGCCACTGATGCTAAGCACTGGGGGCCCTGAATGTCTAAACTCTCTCCCAGAACTCGACATTCCACTTTCCTGGCTTCCCGTAAATACTGCAGCTGCAGCTGTGATTGAAATTGCTTGTCAAAAGACTTATTGGAGGCCTCTACAACCATTCCCACCTCCACACGAAGCAAGTGTCTTTCATCTAGTAAACAATTCAACGGCTATAACATGGAAGCACTTGTTAAAATGGATTGGTCACGAAGGAAAGACTGAAGAATTCGGAAAATGGCTACAACGTGCTAAATCGCCAAGTCCCGAGGGATTGAAAGAAAATCACCCGGCAAGATCATTACTTGGCTTTTGGAAAGACATGGAGAAGCACAATAAGGAGGACTCTACAAGAAAGGCAACATTTGGTCTTCTAAGAACAAGACAGGTTTCTGAGACCATGAGTGGCTTTGCTGATATTGATGAGGAGTATGTGAAAACTATTTGGGGGTGGGTTCAAGCTGTTGCACGAAAGTGGGCAGATGAGAACAATGGTGAACCAAAGAAGAGAGCTTCCTCATTGAAATCAGAAGAATCTTTGAGAGCGGAATCGCCTGTGGGATCGGAAGCGTCTCTGGCAAAGCATTCGGTAGCATCTATGAAATCGGATGATGATGAAGGTGTTAGTGGTATTAATGGTGCTTCAAAGAAAGATGTACGCAACTCGATTAACTCGTCTTCGGGATTGGATTCGAATGTTCCTCGGAAAAAGTAGGCTTAGTTACTGGTCATGGTGGATTCCACCCCTTATAATAAGTATGTTATGGATATGGCTTAACTCAAGGGTGTTTCGTAGTATGGGTCAATCGTAAGGTAATTGCTACACCCAAGGTATTGTTAACAGAGTGTTATTTTACGAATAAAAAGCAACGCTAAAATCCTTTATTCAATTACTCCTTATCATGAAAATAAAGTTGTTGCCGATGACAATATCCGTGACACTCTTGTTGTCTTTCATGAATCAGGAGGAGCCATAATGGTGAATACCCAAGTGCTCGGGTTAAACATCGAGCTGATCTTCCACAGAACAATATGTCTTGACAGTGTCTGTTCACATACCTATTAATAATACTTCATCAATCACAATTTAGTCACTAAATATCCTGAATATTTTCCCAATAACCACAATTGTGGTCGAAGGCTTGAGCTTGAACACGTTAAACACATAAGTACGATGCCTTAGGCACAAACGTCCGTCGCAAGGCACCAAATAATAACTTAAGCTAAGCTCCAACATGAAGCTCCTCTCAATCTCACCATTCTCATCGCAAACAACTCAATAACTCACCACCATGTCTACCAGCAACGCACCCAGTGGCTCACCCCCACCAAACGCTACGTACGTGTCATTGCACCCCGACACGTCCTAGCCTTCCTTCCCCAACCCACAAACTAACAAATCTAGACTCTACGTCAACAATCTCGAGGAATCGATCAAGCCGGCCGCGCTCATCGAAGCCCTCACGGAACTCTTCTCCGAATACGGCACCATTTTGGAAATCATCGCAAAGACGAATTTGAAGGCCAAGGGACAGGCATTCATTGTCTTTGAAGATGTAGAGAGTGCGACAAAGGCGATTGAGGATATTCAGGGCTTTGAGCTTTTTGGAAAGGAGATGCGAATTGCGTATGCGAAGACGAGGAGTGATGCTAGTGTGAAGAGGGAGGGGGGCATGAGGAATTGGAGGTTCATAAGAGGAGGAGATTGGCAGAGAAGGGTGAGTTCTTTTTTGTTTTGCTTTTTGTCGTTTCCTTTCCTTGCGATTGTACGATGGATGTACAGTGCGGGATTGAATGTGCATGTGGATGTGGATGATACATGAAATAATGGCATAGCTAACGAAATCTACTTTTTCCCCCTGCAGAAAGAAAAAAGGCCGCCGAACTTACACTCCGTCCTACGACCGGTCCTCCTCTTGCCAACCCAGCAGATCTCGCTGCACGACCCATCAAAGCTACTCGTGGCGCTGGACTCAAATCTTCCAATCCTGCTGCTGCCGCCGTCGTACCGGATGAATACTTACCTCCTAACAAGATTCTCTTTGTGCAGAATCTTCCCGAAGAATATGATGTTGACATGTTAACAAGTATCTTTGGACGATTTGAAGGCTTTAGAGAAGTGAGATTGGTGCCGGGAAGAAAGGGTATTGCATTTGTGGAGTATGAGACTGAGACAGGAAGTATTGGTGCTAAGGAGAATACGGCGGGTATGGCTTTGGGAGATGAGCAGAAGGTTATCAAGGTTACTTATCAAAGACAGTAAGTTGTGAAGGGGTGTTTCTACCTGAAAGTTTCACAAGGAGCATTCGGATTGCTTGCCCATCTGTATGGAAAGTCGTTGCAAAAATGGACGAAATGCTTCAGAGATTGCTTTTCACAAATGAGTATAGCTAAACAGAGAAAACAATGCTCAATCTTAATTACAGTATTCGCTAATGCTACATGATATTTATTCGAGTTGATGACCCGATTGCTGAAACTTGAGAAAAGTAAAATGGCATTCGTGAGGCATCAGAAAATGACATCCGCATCTTCCTCATCACCTAGAATATCTCCAGTATGGGTAGGATTCTCCTTATCACTACCTTCGGCCTTCTCCTTCTCTGCTGCTGCTTCTTTCTTCGCCTTCATCTCTGCATCTTGAGCAGCTGTATCCCTCTGCTTCTTGTTTTGAACCTTCTTCAATCGGAAGAATTCTTCTCTGTCCAATTCGTCGAGCTCTGAGTTAATGTATTTGATGGTGTTTTCTGTACGTGGAATAATCACATGTTCACTGTTGTTTGGTTAGTATGAATTAATGGGGGGCGTGATGTAATGGTAGAAAGACTAACATTGCGTTTACTATATCAAATTAGTACATGTTATATGCTTCAGATATAGAATTGAACTTACCTCTCCTGTTCACAACCTTGATAACCTCATCCAAAATAACGAAAGCAGTCTAATCAAAACATATCAGCCCTATTCGACGCATCTCCTCTCCCCTGATTCGGGTCAATCCTATTCTAAACATACCTGCAAACTGGCTAATTCCACCAATGTCTCCACAGCTCTCGCATAAGTCTCTCTACATCTTTGTACTTGTTGACCACCCTTTCCCAAACCCGTCAAGCCAAAATCATTGTTACCTTCCGTTGTATAGCTTTCAAAGGCTGGTAAGAATACACCAGATACATTCTCTTGCTTCGTCCGCACACGGAATCTTGCCGATTTCGCGGATTCTTGTACTTGATAACCAATATCTCCTCCTACCGCATAGGTTACTTCTGCTAGAGAAAAGGCGGCTATCTGCATCACTCGACCCATCTTTCGTTTGGCTTCATCGATTCTGCGGGTAATTTCTAGATTAAAGTTAGGAATCTCTGAGAGAATGCTGGTAGCATTGCAGGAGAAATACCTCGGAAACGTCTGCGCAATAAGAGTTAGTATGGTAAAGAGCTTGTTGGGTTGAGAGTAAACATACTTAGTTAAAGCTTCACTCTTTCTCTTTAATAAATCGTGACCAGTTTGCGCTCCCTTCAACTTCGATTTCATCAATCCCAAGGACTGTCGTGTTGGGAAAACAGCTTCTCGATTCTATATTATGTTAGTTATGAAGTTATATGAATCCATTGGAATTGGTTGCTTTGTCTTACCCCGGCTCCAGACATTTTGCTAGCTTTTCGACTTGACTAGATGATTGGCAATGCAATACTCCTGTGGGTTCAAGTTCTTTCTATCGATTCAAGCGTAAAGGGGAACTCTCAAAGTATAAAGAGAGGGCTGTTGTAGAGTGGAAAGAGAAGGCTGATAAGAAGTTGTTGATTAAGCTCTCGTTCCCACTTCAAGGTTGTAACTGCCCAAGTCCAAGCTCTTGGGGGTGTGAGCTTAGCGCTTCTCAAACAAAATACGCTGGCTCGGCTGGTTACTGTTGTATCTCAATTATTTTTCACGTGATTCAAGTAGATCTCAATCTTCGGACATTGTATCTTTGGTTGGGAAGAGAGATTGGTTATCATTATTCACTTCTCGAGTGGATATTAGACATCTTTAGTAGTTTTCCTAGACACCAGATCCTTTCCATCTTTTGTCCCTTCCTTTACTGCTTCTTATTCTCCTCGGGTAGAAGAGGTTTACATTTCCTCCAATACTGTCGCTTAGTCTCCCGTAGTGCTAATGACCCTGGAGTAGCATTAAGTAGCAAAGTCGGTTGATTGTTGGTACGGAAAAAAAAAGAGGTCGAACGACCAGATCAGACCAACCCAACACCCTCGACGTCTTTTAAGACGGTCATCCAGATATATCTTCCTCTTGGGACTGATCGCATTCTCTGTTTTCCAGGCAGAGAATGCCTGGAGAGTTGCTCCCTACAATGGCTGCTCCCAGCGTCCCCGAAATAAAATCCGCCTTAACCTTATCGATTCGAGGGAAGCCAGATTTATATCTTATTGTACGTCGATTCCCTCAGATACCTACAATCTCCATTGAACGATCACGTTGACTAATAACATCGATAGTCTGAAGAAGATACTATCTATGAGCAGGATATCCTTCGCGATCCAGGCAGTACGAAGCCTTGGTTGGCATACATCGAGTTCAAATTTCAGCATGGCACAAAACTTGAGCAAGCTTTCGTTTTGGAACGAGCTTGTTTACAATTACCCAGATCTTATAAGTTATGGAAAATGGTATACATCTATGCGCGCAAACCCCGCTTTAATTTTCGCTGACGAAAAATAGTACCTTACATTACGAATGAAGCATTTGGGAAAGTTGAATCCTGCAGCTTTTGCCCCCGAATATGCCAAAGTCAACGCGCTTTACGAAAGAGCCTTGATCCTATTGAACAAGATGCCGAAAATCTGGGAGATGTACCTTCAATTTTTGCTACTCCAACCCCTCGTTACTCTCACGCGCCGAACTTTCGATCGAGCACTTCGAGCTTTACCCATTACACAACATAACAGAATATGGGCCCTTTACCGTCCTTTTGCGAATTCCGCGTCAGGTTCTACAGCTGTCAAGATATGGCGACGTTACATGCAGATCCATCCGGAGGATGCCGAAGATTTTATTGAACTCTTAATTGAGATGAAACTTTATACTGAAGCCGTCAAGAAATATATGGATATACTTAATAACCCAAAATTCCGGAGCAAACATGGAAAGGGCCATTATCAATTATGGAGTGAGATGGTAGATCTCCTTGTGGAGCATGCCAAGGAAGTTGAAACTGGAGATGAAATCGGAATTGATGTCGAAAAAATTATTCGAAGTGGCATTGATAGATTTGCGGATCAAAGAGGAAAATTATGGTCCGGCTTAGCAACATACTGGATCACTCGGGGTAGTTTTGAACGGGCACGAGATGTATTTGAAGAGGGAATCACTACAGTTATGACCGTTCGGGATTTCACACTGATATTCGATTCTTATGCCGAATTTGAGGAATCGATTACTGGGGTTCTAATGGAAGCGGCTGCAGTTCGATCAGAGAAGGGTATTGTGGACGAAAATGCAGACTTTGATTTGGATATTCGAATGATGAGATTCGAGCAACTTATGGATCGTCGACCATTCTTACTAAACGACGTATTATTGCGGCAAAATCCAAACAATGTACCCGAATGGATGAAACGTATTTCTCTGTGGGGGGACAACAAAGTTGAAGTGGTTAAAGCATACACAGATGCGATTGCTGCTATTCAGCCGAAGAAAGCTGTTGGACAGTTCCACGAGTTATGGTCAAATTACGCCAAGTTCTACGAGGAGGGTGGGGATTTACGTAACGCTCGTGTTATCTTCGAAAAGGCAGTGAAAGTACCTTTCAAATCTGTAGCGGAACTTGCCGATACTTGGATTGAATGGGCGGAGATGGAATTAAGAAACGAAAACTTCGATGAAGCTGTAAAGATTATGGCAAAGGCAGTTCAGGCACCCAAGCGGTCTAATGTTGATTATTTCGACGAGACTCTTTCACCTCAACAAAGAGTTCACAAGAGCTGGAAGTTGTGGAGTTTCTATGTAGACTTGGTGGAGAGTGTTAGCACATTGGAAGAGACCAAGAAGATATACGAACGGATATTCGAACTTCGAATTGCAACACCACAAACTGTTGTCAATTACGCCAATTTACTGGAGGAGAATAAATATTTCGAAGAGTCATTCAAAATTTACGAGAGAGGACTCGATCTATTCAGTTATCCGGTAGCATTCGAACTCTGGAATTTATACTTGACCAAGGCAGTTGATAGAAAAATTGGTATCGAACGTCTTCGAGATTTATTCGAGCAAGCAGTCGAAGGATGCCCTCCTGGATTTGCCAAAGTATTGTATCTTATGTATGGAAATCTTGAGGAGGAGCGGGGTCTAGCAAGACATGCGATGAGGATTTACGAAAGAGCAACTCGAGCTGTCTCTGATGAGGATCGCGCAGATATGTTCAACTTTTATATCACCAAGTCGGCTTCCAACTTCGGTTTACCTTCGACAAGACCAATTTATGAAAGAGCTATTGCGGCACTACCAGACAAAGATGCCAGAGATATGTGTTTGAAATTCGCCGATATGGAGAAACGATTGGGCGAGATTGATCGTGCAAGAGCGATTTACGGACACGCATCACAATTTTGCGATCCTCGAACAAGTCCAACCTTTTGGTCAAAATGGGAATCTTTCGAGGTTCAACATGGAAACGAAGATACGTTCAAAGAGATGCTTCGTATCAAGAGAAGTGTTCAAGCACAATATAATACGGATGTCAATTTCATTGCTTCTCAAGCTCTTGCTCGAAGTCAAGCGAAACCTGATGAGGATGGAGAAGGAGCTGCGGATGCAATGGCAGCATTAGAACGCGAGGCAAGAGCTCCTGTTGGATTCGTACCAGCAAGCACAGGTCCTCAAGGAGGAAATATTAAGCAACCAGCAATAGTTGTTACTGAAAACCCTGATGCTATCGAATTAGATGGTATGGATGATGATTGAGGGAGTAGTTTGAATGGGGTTTCATTGGTGGGGGAGGTTAAAATACGGGAACGTCAATCAAAGGGAGTTTGGACATAGTGGGAATTCTGAGATCTCAAGGATTCTCAATGCATAGGACGGCGTTTTCAATCGGGTTTACAAACGATCAAGACACTGTTGTCTGCAAATGTATATGTATGTTATTGGTATCATAGGTACAGGCGGTGGAAATATTAAAGATTGCTTCGCTAAACGATGGAAAATGCATTTTTCAAACTTTTTCCCATATCTCTCCTTGTACAAATTTTCTCATTGGGTTCATTCTTACATAATCCATCGACACATTCATATGTCAAATCTCTTTTCTTCTTTGGTGAAAGTCCCTTGGGCTCTTTCCAACTTCACAGTCTCATCCTCTCCTATCCAATCACTCGCTTTTGCTAACTCTCCTTCCACCCTGATTTCCTCCCTCCTTATTGCGACTCCCACCAAGACCGAAGATTCCCATGTAACCTTTCTCCGCATGTGTTGCATGGAAAACGGCATCACGATCAATATGCTTATCAACATGTCCATCGCGAGAACTTGGTGTTGCGTAGATGGAACCTTTGCGTTTCTGAAAACGAGAAGGGGGTGTTTTTGAAGCGTCTGAATGATTGGGTGAGGTGTGTTAGTGTTATTGTCGATTTTGGTGGGAGGATATAGGACAAAGAGAATTGGAATTAAAGGGGGAGGAAATGAAAGATGAAGAGAGCGCGGCTTGTGATGTTGGAGGATATGATGAATGGGGTAAAGTAAAAGGAGATGGTGATGAGGAGGGAAGGGATGGTAATAACAATGGTGATGAGGAGGGATGAGATAAACGACGACTGAGAGGGAAAACCAACGAACCCCATTCATCAGAACTTAATCTTCGATCTTGATTTGGTGATCCGGAATGTGTGTTTATTGCGTTTGGAGAGCTGGGCGTTGGAATGTTCATGGGACTTGTGCCTTGAGTTTTGGAAGCGAATGGGTTGTTGTTAATGGGGTCTTTGCGTTGGGCGGCGAAGGGATCATCGTGAGAGAGACCCATAGGGGAGGTTGGAGAAGTGGGTGAGGTGGGAGATGGACTGTGGTGGGCTGAAGAAATGGGAGAAAGGTATTAGTTGGATCATTTGAAACTTGAAGGTTGGAGAACGAACTCTGTGTTTGTGGTGAGGCCATATTTATTTTGATGGATATTTCGCTTGTGTGATGATAATCTGTCTTGTCGACGTTTTGGGTTATCGTTTCTGCAGCTTCATGTAATTTAATGCAGAAGTTTTGTTTCTCAAAATATGAATGCAGATATATTACTGCGACAGGTTTGGTTTGTTCAAAATTGAAGAATTCCCAATTGATATTGATTGATTACATGAACACAAAGATCAAGATCAAGCCAAGAGGAAGGACGGCTGCTCCTCTGTTATTTAAAGCTTCCAGGTATGACGGACCACGACGCACATCTCCGTTGAGACGGCAAGAATAAGAGGGAAGCTCTATCACAATTACAAAATTTGTCATGCCACGATTCTTTGTTTTCTTTGTAGCTTGCCAGACGAGAGTACAAGATAGAGAATTCCCCGCATGTTTATTTGTGTGTTGTGGAAAGAGTGAGCTAATAATGTGAGAGATGGACTGAGGGGAATACAATTGAAGAGAATCACTCAACCTCATTGGATGATATGTGCGTGTCTTACACAAATGGTCAAGGCAATGCACTTGGCGAGACAAGAGTGGCTTCGTGTAACATGAGGAACGAGAAATCATTGGAGGGGACGACAAAGGACTCGAAGAACCCAAGCTCGCTTAGACGAATCGGAGAAGGGATATGAAGGCGGGGATTTGATGACGTATAAATATATCTGGGTTGATCAAAAAGATTGTGGCGTGTAAAGAAATAAGTCTTGCGATTGTGTGCAAAGAAATCTTGGATAGACTTGGTTGTCTATTATGCTCAGATATTACAAGGAAGATAAATAGCGTATTGCTGTTTAGCTCATGATCACTTGGTCTCTTGACATGTGAGTTTTGCGCCCAGCCCGTGGGGAAATGGGGATATAGGGGCCCATGAAGGAATGAGAGTTCGCCACCTAGTATAGTGGAAAATGTTGTGCTAAGGACAGAGTGGCTGTGATATGGTTGGCAGCAGTTATTGAAATACCAATAAACTGGAAAGAAAGTGAAGGATCGACAAATCTTGTGATATATTTTTATGAAGTGTGGTGCGTGGGCTGTGTGAGTGATGGGTTTGATGGTCCGAGGTCACAACATGATAGGTATGGGTGTGGAGACAAAAGCGAAGTCGCTTGTACCCAGAATGCGATGAATCTCGAGGGAGTTTGTGAAACTCGAAGTTTTCATCTATTGTTCAGGATTTATATCTGAGAATCAACCATGGAAATACTTCGATCTTGATGTTTACATCTAAAGTTCCTGCATCGTCCAACCAAGATGATTTGTTGCCGCGCTCATCGAAGAACTGTTCTCCTGACTACTAAATTGAAATCCTGGCACTGTAATTTGTCTAGCATTATTTTCCTCATTCTCAATACTTTGTACATGAACGGAACGTTTCTGGCCCACATATCACCTTGAAATGGCCTACGAATGCAAATTTGAGGACTTTGTGCAGTATGCAACTGGTTAAATGCCTCCTCAATACTCAACACTGAGCCCACAAGTAAAAAAATCGCCTTCCTCTAAATACTCTGGTATTCTAAGTCCATTTATATACAAAAGATCCACCACATGTTACAAAATTCCAAATAAAATAGCAAAAATAGCAGAAATAGCATATTGAAAAAGATAAGTGGGTAATCCAGAAATAAATATCAACAATATTCAAACAGTATCATTATCACCTCCATTCTCAAAAGAGAATCGACGTAAAGCAGTTACTGGCGTAACTTCTGGAGCACCTTCTTGAGCTGATACACTGGCTATAGCATCTTCATTTTGGATTGTGGGAGTTGTATTGCGTGCTCCATTTTCATCAAGTTGGACGGTATCTCTGAAAGGCTCCTGAACAATCCCCACATCCTCATTGCGATATTTAAAAACATCAGTTCCTAGCCGTTCCATTCTTTCAAGTTCCTGTCTATGGGCCAGTCGACGTTCCTGGAATTGATTTTCGCGGATCTCTTCTTCGCGAGCTAATGCTTGACGATATAATTCTTCCTCGCGTTTCTGTCTTTCCACATCGCAGCGACGCCATTCATTTACTTGTGCGTCTCGACTCATAGTAGTTGGAGCGAATGGATTTGGAGGTTGAATACCTGAAGGCATCGCTCCGGCAAAAACGTAGTTACTCGGTTCTGGGGATCCAATGCCAGTAGAAAGAGCGGATTGACTCAGTGGTTGGTAGCTAGAAAGAAAACCTCCAGCAGAAGCGTAGTTCTTGGGTTGTGCAAGGGCGTATGTAGGAGGAGGACTCATGCGGTGTTGAATTTCGGCAATAGGAGAAAAGCCATCGGGACGCAGCCGTGTCTCGGAAGATATGGGCGATACTTGGTCTGCTAAAATCGAAGAGCGAGTAGGCTTTACGAGAATGGATCCTTTCTCGAAAGATGGCTCTGCAGAACTGATGGCGAGAGCATTCATTGATGGTAGTGAACCTGAATTTGAAGCAGAAATAGGACTGATGGTAGGACTGGCAATAGGAGTATTATCGACGGCAATCCTCCCATATAAAAATTCTGCTGGGACTTCTGCTGGCAGCTCAACTGCGGCTTCTGCGGAGAGTTCTTTGGGAATCACAGCTGCAAGTTCTAAACGTTGGTGCGGGACTTCGGAGCTAACTTCCATTGGCTGTGCAATGTCTGAGTTTATCTCAACTGGGTGGCTGACATCACCAGGAGCTTCTGAAGGATAAAACCCCGTTGGTGGAGGACTATCAAGTGGTTGAAGATTGATACCCGCTTCGGATTCAGAAGTAGAATTCTTAAGAGCAAGCGCGAGTTTCTTTGGTTTATAGTATTTAATATAGGAAAAGTATAAGGTAACCAGTAAAGTGGCTATTGTCCCGACAACACCAATAACTATGCCAGCAATTTGCCCCTTGGTTAAGCGAGTACTCTGATCGGATGACACTGTACTAGTTTCTTGTCCAGTAGTAGTATCTCCACTTGGGATAGCAATAATGCTCTTGTTATTGAGCGTATCGGATACATGAACTGCTTGGTGAAGGGAAAATTGATTGGTCTCGTACGAGGTAATAATATATGCCTCCTGTAAAAATGCTCGACCAATAGTGTATTGACTACTATTTGCAGATCTAGCCAATGGAAAATAGAATTTTGATGCTTCATCTGTTCCATATTCAGTATTGGGAATGTATGGGTAGGTTAATGATAAATCAAAAGCTGCATATGGTAAATTAATTTCGACGAAATCCGAGTCTGAGGATTTGTCTTTGAGCACAAATGTAAAAGTTGTCGTTGTAGATGAATCCGATAGGTTATTATGCTGAGTGGGGTTTTCGTCAAAGGTATACAGGTTCAAGGACTCGTTGTAACTTAGTCCTAAAGCATCCGCAAAATGATTGCAAACTGTCTCTGGAAGCCATAGGTAAGGAGTTGAGCTATCGATCAATGCGTTGATATTCTCCTTGTATGACGCAAGTTGAATTGGCGTATTGGATCCATTGGAGGATATTACGAAAATACTGTCAACGAAGACTTGAGGTACAGGCGGATCTTGGGTAAGGGTGAACGAAACATTGTGAGGTATGAATCGATTTTCATCATATCCGCCCAGTGTCAAAGACATTGGTTCCCCCTTTTGCTCTAATCTGGGTTAACCGACTGTACTAAAGGTCCTTCAACATTATCAAAGACTTACGATATATAGCCCCAGCAGTGTATCCATATCCCGCACCTAATATGTCACCCAGGGTTTCTAGTTGTGCATAGGTGACGTTTGGTGTAACATAACTGAAGTTTCCAGCACTAGCACCCAAACCAAAGCTTCCTACCCAATACTCTGTAGCATTGATCATCGCGATTGTCGCGTTGGGAATGGCTGGTCCGTCTGGCCCAAATGCGAGATTGTCAAATCCATACTCTCCATAAGGTGGCCACTGCAGCGAGTTTCCTGTACCAAGACGCCAATATGGAGAAGACTCTAGTGTCAACAAAGGTTCCCATGTGGAAGATTGGGTTGCGTTGAAGATTGAGCCTCGGCTGTCCAGGCATGTTGAATCTTTGAAGGTATCATTAGTATATGAGGGAGACAGAATATTTCAGCTTGTATTTTTAACGTAAACAAGACTGTATATATGCGCTATATAGAATCTGGATCGACAATCAAGGGTTCCATATTCTCAGATTACAAACCCGACCACTGGGAATATCAACACAATACTCTACGTCCATAGAACAAGTACGATAAAAATAAAAATAACATACCACCATCTTGACAGCCATACGGCGATATAGCCCAGGTTTCAGCGCTGAGTGTATTCGGAAAGAGATTGATCCATTGTTTGGGAGTTCCCAACCTGATCGACACAGCAGACCAAGATCCATCGTCTCCATACCTTTCACTATATCAGCATCTGCTTAAACAAATGGGATACTGTGTACTATACCATTCAGTAGAAGGCATTAAACTTAAAGCTGTAGCAGCCTCCACACCAGTAACATATTTTCCCAAGATCAAGAGAAGAACCGGTTGTATAAGAGCACACATTCCCATAACAGATATCATAGTCTTGATTTTTGTATTGCAGACGCAAAATCTAACCAATGAACTATGCCAAGCAATGGAGGAATTCAATATATGTATGGTAACGGTAAGCCGGCAACTGCAACAAAGGTCCAATCGGACAAACGCGCAAGATTACCGGGTTAAGCCTCAGGCTGAAGAGCAGGTATGAAAAACAAACAGCCAATTAGATGTTAAGAAACAAAAGAAATAAATAGCAATGAATCAGGGAGTGAAGCAGTCAATGATTATTGAATTGGTACTGTAAATACTTTGGTCTCTAACTGTTTTGTTATGGGGAAAGAGAGAATTAAGAGTTGGTGTGGGAACCGAACTAGGAGAATGAGAAAATGACTATATTAGGCAAGGGAAAGGGGTCACTTAGCATCGACTAAGCGAAAGCATACGGTCGTTGAAGAAGCTTTAACATTAGGCAAAAATTCACTATCATACATTTTGTTATCAATTGTTTTCGTCTCTCAATAATGAGAACTTAATCAACCATGAATTTGAAAGGTTCGAGCCTTGCCGAAAGCCATCACGGCGTCCTCTAGCTGCCAAGAGTAACTCTCAATCCCGGAACAGTAAATCGATTGCTGGTTTTTAAAATGCCAATTGATTTGAGGGTAAAGGGAAAGAGAAGGATTGGGGCATGGCTGATGAGTTAAAAGAAGGTTAGAGATAGTGGAGTCACTTCCCAATTTTAGAAGTCAGTGGATGTTAGACGCAATTTAGATCAGATCAGCACGGTCAGTTGGTCAGGAACAGGGCCTTGAAGCAGAACTATCGGCTAATTTATTGTAAAGGGAAAGGATATGATGTATATGTCTATTTCTTGAAGGATTTATCAACTTTTCCTAACTAGAACTATTATACTATATCAGTACTTTTCCAAGGCAATGTTCCTAAACAGAGAATTTAATTATTTATTTACTGACAGTGAATGAAAGTACTGGCTAGACCTTCCATTGCCATCTGCTAAAGTCTATATGAAGAGATGGAAGAACTTCATAGCGTTGAACTTAATCACAATAGGCTTTCGCTTTTGGTTAGCATTTGCCACAATGATATTGTGGCTACGCGAAGTTGCGAGACCATCTCGGAGCCATTGACAGGTTTTTCATCTGTGTTACCAAATTTTGAAGAAACCACGGAAACTATCTTTGTGGTAGTCCAAAAGCACAAGTATAATTCACATTGTGAGTACCCACTACAGCCTTGAATGTAGCAAGTGTTTGATGTATATATCCTCCAGGAATTCTTTTGGATGTCAGGAATTTACCAATAAACTGTCTGCTCTCAATATTTTGTCCGTTCAGGATTCAAATCTCTATGTATCTTTTCCGTCATTTCAGTTCAGAGCGTAAAAGTTTGTTTCTCGGAAAGTTTGTCGCTTAGCCATATCTGGACTGGACTCGCACTAAAAGGTACCTACATTTACGACATGAGCCTACTTTGGCATTTCGACGATCTCCCTGTATCCGACATCCGACAAACCTACTTGGTAAAGTGAGTAACAAAGCTTTTGAAGATCATACGAATTTGCATTGTGAAAAGCCGTGATGCTACCAACATTCTTTGGTAACATGCTGCATTCCACAAAACGAAATATGATATATGCTTAGCATGCTATAACCGGATTTATCCAAGCGTAGTTCGTTCAAAGATAGTAGCGGGTTTGATGAAAGCATTGTAAGCCACTAGTTGTACCCTGAAAATATCATGGCCCTCCTTTTTCACACTTCAAATACCGCGGGCGAATCACTTGCTATGCATCAGTACAAGCAGCACTAGAGTCAAGATCAAAGCACTACCTATTCTATCTTCATCAAATAAGTAAGTGAAATTATATCGGCAAAATAATGAAGCCGTTCAAATAAGAATGAGTCTTCATTCCAGTTTCTCGAACATTCAACAATTTGGCATTCTTCCCTGTACATTGGTTTTTAGAAATGTTTTACAGTGATTCTCTTTTACTTATTACTGACGTGGGCTGGATCTGAAAACACTCTTTTTCTTGTATTATAATCTCATGAACAGTCAGGCAAGCTTTGACTGTTGTCTATTGCATTGGGCATCGACAAGACCAGCTATTTTCTGAGTTGATCTGGAGCAATGCTTTATCATGGATCAATTTTCATATGGATTTTCATTCTTACTAAATGCTCTGGAGTTTTTGCTCAAGGTATGACTGAATCCATCTGCCCAAAGACTACATTACTAATATAAACAAGCAAAATTTCAACAATTTCCAAATTCTACCATAACTTCTACATCTTACACTACACAAGTTAATCAATCTTCGATCTTCAATCCAAAAAGTGTACTATATGAATCACCAGCAGAATCTTCATCGATTCATAGTGACATCGAGACAAATAATTATCCATCGCCGACGTTGAGTCTTCCTACTAGTTCTTGGACCAATATTGGTACTACAAGACATGAAAGCTCTGCCAATCCTCTTGCCGTCACTACCACGCCTCAATGGCCTGGGAGATTCAGTGGCGTTACATCTGACACAGTTCCCGTCAGCAATCCTACATCCCAATGGCCAAGCAATATCAAAAACGTGACTTCTATCTTCACATCAACCCTCAATTCCACCTCGCGCTCTCAAAGTTTCATCACTTCAACAACTTTCGCACTCAGCACAAACTTCGGTTATCCAATTGCGCCCACTAACTCGAGACAACTGATCAATAATCCAAACACGACTATATTCTCTTTTCATCACCAAACGGTCTCTAGTTTCGGGCACAGTGAGACTGGAACTTTCAGCAACACTATAGTCAACACATCCGTCACACCTCCTGAATTAGATCTCGAGACGGATCCGTGCATTGCTCTTGATTCTCCTGATGACGACTATTATGAATTCATTCTGGTACCCAATACGAAAACAATTACACTTGCTAGTAATGCAACATACACCCCAATACCAGAGTTTACTCCTCCAACTTATTGTCCACCGGGGACATCACCAGCGTATGAGCTACCAACATTTCCATTTGGTAATGATACCGACCCAAATCTGTCAGAGTCAAATGAAACAAGTACAGGAGAATATTTAACACTGTCGCCATTAGCAACTCCCAGTTATTCACAAATAAGGACGACAACCGTTGTTGTTACAAGCAAGAACCCACAGGTTGTTATTGCCTCTTATACCCCACCACGTTTCCCGGGAGTTCCAGTAACAAAAATTGGCAAGCCATCTACACCAAATTTTACGTCAAGTTCTACACCAGGATCTTCGGGTAAAGCAGTTGGCCCGGAATCAAACAGTGTAGGGAATCCTGATGCAGAGTCTAACAATGATTCTGGATCACCTTCACTTTCTACAACTTCAGTGGTAGTTCTTGGAGTACCGATTGTCTTGACACCGAGCAATGTTGTTATAAATGGGCATACGATTCAAAGACAAAATTCCCCTTTAACCATTAAGCAGAAGGGGCATATATTTACGGTTAATCCATCTCAAGTAATAGGCCCAGAAACAACATTGACATTACCAAGTTCATATAGAGCTATCGAATCCACGAATCCAGCGACAACGAGAATGCAGTCGCAACCAAATCCAACTTCTGCTTCCGGGACAGATAGTTCTGGGAAATCGCCAACTCTGACTACCAATTTAGGAGGGAATATCGAAATGTCAGCAATTTCGACTGTGGTGGATAACATTTCGGTGAAACTAGGAGAATCTATTGCCGTTGTGAATGGTAAGAGCTATTCAATAGGTTCGGGAGCTCCTCAAGTAGTGACTGTTATAAACACCCAGACAATCACGATTGGTATTGCCGGAGTCCAATTTACGCACACGACTCTGGCGCCTTTACTTGTTGAACCTACGAACCATGTGATTATCGGTGGTGAGCCCATAAGCGTTGGAAATTCGTTGGCATACATCGGGTCTTCAACGTTTACTTACGGATCAGGATTGGCCATTCAAACTGACGTATTCAATGGACAAACAATATGCATCTACCCTAGTGGAGTAGTCTTTGCGCGAACAACTTTAGGGGGTAACTCAAGATCAGGAAATCAAATTGGAATAGTTGGCGGTCTCTCGGTTACGGAATTAGGTTCATCAATCGCAATTATATCTAGCATTACGTTCAATATTGGACCAGGTGCTACTCCTACCAAGACAGTGATCAGTGGGGAAAGTATATCTGCGGATCAAAGCGGCCTGGTGCTTGCTGGTACAACTTTAACATACCCTCTCATTCTTGCGACACATCCTGTCACAATTTCAGATGTCATATTCACGCAAATTGGATCAAGTCTAGCAGTTATAGACGGAACAACCTTAACTTTTGGACCAGGAGCAACACCTACTAGTCATACCTTCAATCGACAAACTATAAAAATCGGAAGTAATGGCATTGAGTTCTCGAAGACCACATTTACAGGTGTCTCTGAATCTTCCTCGATGCAGGCTATGCCTACAAGTACAAGTAAAGGATCGAAATTCAAAACTACCGGCGAAGACTCAACACACACATCTACATCTACAGCGGCGACATCCACAGATCAAGAGAGCGACGCTGGGAAGATCAACGCTCCATTCGAAATATACGGATGCATCACTCTTGGTCTCATTATGATGATGACTTAATTGAAAGATGAGATAATGTTTCATCATGGAGTTCTAGGAGTTATGAAAAAGTCGGGTGGAAAATTGGGTGGAATGGGAAGATTGATACGTTTCTCGAAGATGTACTTATGTCATATACGAAGACTTCTTAGTGATATTACAATAATAATGATACTAAACTGCTCTTTCAAAATGCTCCAAAAGAATACTTATTATGCTCATATGTCGAAACTTGGAAGGGATTGTACTATTTGAGACCCGATGGATGTAACGCATACAACAATTCGTAAACAGAGTGTTCATGGGTTCTTCCAGTGTTAAATTTAGTAGAAGTTAGAGTTAGAGCGAGACCGAGACCGAAAGCCGAATTCTACAAGTTCTCACGCAGATGATTGTAATCCAAATGGTTTATATTGTCCGGATTCAAGGTGGTTGTAAAATCGAGGGCTGTCGATGTGGCGGGGTGTATTTATCAAAATCTCAGGCATGCATAGTAAAGACGCTGAGGGACGTCACCTTGCACATGGAAATTGCATGACTCCGATTTTATGTGATAGATACCGAAACGAGAAACATACATACCCCCCCGTTCAGTAAGATTCAAATTCAAAATCAAAAGAAACTACAACATTTACACAAACGTTCGAAACATCACGACGCCGTCGACTACTAAACTCTACAATAGACTGACCGGATATACTGGCTCAGTCAAACCCTTATACCCCACCCCTTCACGTTCAATTTTATGCAGCCATCGCCTCCCGATAATTTTAACAGCATTCTTACCTTCGAAAACCCGTCAGACTTACCCAATACCTCTAATCATGGCATTCACTCTCCGCAAATCCAGTCCAGCGAGCTGGTCAGTCCTCGAAATGGACTTGATGACTCAACGGCAAGCTCAACCCCTTCAACAAGTTCATCAAGAGCAGGATCAGGATGGCGATCGCCACTCAATGGTGTGGATGAGGCACTGCGTGGATTGAACTTGGACACCAATCTCGAGAATCGCCCAAGACCATCTTATCAACGAATTGCCGAGTATGAAAACGCACTTGCTCCTAGTCCACCAAAAAAACAACCTGAGGGACCTGGATTTAAGGTGGTGAAGAAGAAAGGCAGTACGGGCGAGGAAGGTCCGCAACTAGAGAATTTTCCAAATGGTATTTTCAGTCCTGACCCCAAAATAAATTGATTTTCTAACACAATTTCTTTTATAGAGGTTCTGACTCATATTTTATCGCATTTGCCTGCGTCGTCTTTATCTGCAGTCTCACTTGTATCGCGTCGATTTTACAATTTGGTCACTACACCTCATGCATGGCGCGTTGCATTTTCGAGATACTTCCCAGGCCAGGATGTTACAGAGACGTTACCTATTGGAGCAGATCATATTGGAGATGATGAAGAAAGAGAACAATTCCGCGAACAACGATTTTTCACGCGACTGACAGGTTTAGCAAGTTGGAGGAGCGAATATGTGCTTCGAACACGGCTCTTACGGAGTCTTGGAAGAGGAAAACCTGCTCAAGGAGTTGAACAAAGTAACTCAAGTCGAGCAAATGGTATGGGAAATACAAGTGCTGTGACTACATATACCTCGGAATTATTCACATCCATCAATCACATTCATGGCACATTTGGACAAGGAAAGAAACATCCACGCTTTATTCATGGTACTGATGAAACTGGGTCTGCTGGTAGCAGTGATCCTAAACTTGGAAGAATTGATCCTTGGGGCCTGACTGATCCTCAACCAATGCCTCAATTTGCAGATCTCTTTCCAGGCGATGCTCCATTTGGTCTTGGAGATGGTCCTGCTGGTCTTCCAAATGTTATGGATGTCAGTCAACCTTTCGGAATGGTGTATGGAGAAGGATTTCCTGGAGGTTCGGCTTACTACAGAGCACCAAATGAAATGCGTGGCCGCTTTTTAGAACATTCGCCACCAAGTTTGGCTGATGCAGAATCTGGTATCCCAAACATACCTGCCCTCACCGAGGCAATATCATCTGTTTGGATCGCTAAGTCTTCATCTGTACCCAAAGTTACCAATGGTGTTATTGGAATCATGACTGGCTCGACACTTGGCGTGATCACTGCTTATGGTCTCGGTACTGAAACACCCAAAGCTAAGGCTGGTCAGGTGATGGCACGATGGATTCCTTCTCCTGGTGTACCTATAGTTGCAATAAGTGTGGATGATTCTTATAGCATCACACGCAAAACATCATGTCGAACTTGGGCTGTTGCACTCAACGCTTTAGGCGAAGTGTTCTACTTGACAGAAGTACCTACACATCCTCCATCTGATGCATCTTCAAATGAAGATGATTTGGGTAGGGAAGCCTGGATTGCTGGTCGTACAGTATACTGGCAGGTTGTGGAAGCTTCCCGCCGTATAGCACGTGAAGATCCATGGCAACAGGCTGAAATCCACGGCAGCTACTCTCCTAAATCTTCTTGCACTTCTATGAATCTCTCTAAACAACAGCTCAAGGCAGAAACTCGTGAAATCGAAAAATTTCTGAGGTATCGCCCATCACATTTTCGTACTATTTGTGATGGCTGGGATATGCGTCGAAGACTTGAGGTTGACTTTAGTGGTGATGATGGCAATGGAGCAGGCGAGAGCGTTTTTGTCATTGGTTGTGGGATCAATCCTGGGGAACAAGCTGAAATAAAGCGATACACAAGATGTAAAGTCGAACAATCGTCACTTGACGGATTCACATTACCAAGAACTGCTACAGCTACACCACCAGTATCATCCGAGCCAACTCAAATACCTTCGATATTTGGAAATGTATCAAAAATCAAATCAGAGGAGCTCACTTCTCCAAACTCACCAATATCATTCATGACAAATGTTTCTCGATCATCTGAGAATGTGGAGACTCCCATGGACGAAGAATGGCGGAGTTCCTTGCTATCTTTGAAGTCATATCCTGGCATTGAGATTACCACTTCTGCTATAGATCTATCAACATATGCCTTGCTCACCATTGCCGAGGATCCATTACATACTGTAAATGGAAAAACAAGTTTTACTACCTTTCCAGAGACACCATCTGATGAAACTTCCTCTACTAGCATTCCAGGTTATCGCGCAAGGTATTTGGCTGTTGGTACCAAGATAGGCCAAATAATTTTGTGGAACATGCGAGGTCCTCAATCTGCAAATCCTCAGGTGGTCAATGAGCTACATCCAATCCGTACTATCGTCACAGAATCGCCTCAAATATCATGTTTGGCAATTTCCGCACTGTTTGTTGTCCATGGTGGTAATGATGGCCTCGTACAGGCGTGGGATCCTCTTGCATCATCCAATCAACCTGTTCGCACTCTCCACTCTCGCTTTTCTTCGCGTGCTCGACGTCGATTGATCCAAGCAGAGGCAAGAATTCATGGGGTTGGCATCAATCTTTACGCAGCTGGTGCTGTCGTTCTTGATCCTGATCCAACCATCCTGCGTGGTATGGTTTCACTTGGTACTCATCTTCGATATTGGCACTACAGCTCCTCTGCTGCAGATCAGTTTCAAACTAAAAAGCGAAGGCTTCGCCGTGGCGAACGTGGTAGTAATGGAGCAACCGATCGATTTAGTAATACTGGTAGAGGAGCTTTGTTGAGTCAAATTGCATTAGAACAACAAGAACTCGATCAAGAAAAGAAAGAAAAAGCTAAAGAGGCAGCGAGATTCGCTGGTCGATTTGGTGTTGGGTTTGGTGGCCTTAGTGAAGAAGAAGCTTTACAATATGCGGAAATGGTGTCTGCTCAAGCCCTTATAGATGACGAAGAACGCCGTATAAGTGAAGCTGGATATTTTGCAGATACTGGCGACAATTCTCCTACTAAAGGCGAGAATAGTTTCGGAATTATTACACCTGAAGCTAGCACGAGAAGTCATTCCGCGGTACCAACGTCAGCTATAGAGCCTCAACCTAACTATGACCATGATCTTGAGGAGGCTATACGCCTTTCTCTGATGGAAGGTCAAGCGATTGGTGATAATGGGTATTCGCCAAGTGTTGGTGATTATGATGTCAATTTCACTTACAAACAAAAAAAGACAAAACGGTCAGAGTCCACTTCGCCATCGACCAGTCAAGTATCCAAGAATAGATTCAGTTATGAAGGGTTACATTCTATGGATAAGAATGCTCAATTGTCAGACGATCTTGAGTTTGCTTTGCAACTCAGTCTAGCGGAGGAACGTAGTAAACAAGAAGCTGAGGCTGAGGCCTTCCCAGGATTGGGGTTTGCAGGAAAGGGGAAGGGGAAGGGTCGTGCGATTTAGGTAGAAGAGATTCTTTGGGTGCAGCTTTCTTTCCTCGCGGTTGATGATTATCTTTCGCTTCTTTGCTGGCGTGTGTTTTTCTGAGATGAGCTTAAGCTGTTTGAACTGACTTTTATGATACTCAAAGACGCTTTTAATGATAGATAGACATCCAGTGCCTAGTTTAATTGTCTCAATGCCTTTTCAACATTAAATCTTGCCGTCTTATGTGATACAGTGGTTAGTATAAAATTGTTTCTGTTGATGCTTCATCGTGGAAATTATCTCCTCGGGAGCGCTTCCAGCTATCTTATGTTAATATCTATATACCTACAACGTAGGGTTGAAATTCTGTAGGCAATGGTGCTCGCTTCTAAATCTATGCAATTCAACTCACCCCTTATCTAACCGGGCTAGAACAAACCATGAACCTATAAGGTCACCCGCTCGATATCAAAGCATCGATTGCCTCAATAGAGGAGCAACCTGCTTTCTACTATGCTCAATCCTTTCTTGCCACCAACAATGTCTGATCTCCCTCTCCTCATCGACATTTAGTATGCCTTGACCCCAAATCTTTAACCCAAATCTTCTCTCTCCTTCCCCCTTGAACTTTCTCAAACATTCTACCCCTCTATTTCCCAACCCCCATACCAAAAGCTCCCTCCTAAACACTCCCTCCTTATTACTCGTTGTCATCACCGCGCAAATATCCAAAGTTCTTTCCTTCGCCCACTCACCAAGTACCTCAAGTAACTTATCCTTACTCCCCGCTTTCGCAAGTAAAAAGTCGAAATCCTGGACTACGGCACTGATACCTAGGCTCAATCCTCCTTCCTGCCATTCTTTGTAATCTTTTCGTAATATATCTCGTAATTCCATATCTCCTATGTCTTCTTTCGCGGCAGTAATTGTGGAGAAATATTCATCTCGATTCCAGGGTGATTGTGATGTATTGGGATCTTTTGCGATTAGGTCTTCAAGGAATTGGACAGCGGCTCGGTCGCTTTCGCAGGTCTTGTCGGCGGATTGGAGATTGTTTGTGTCGATTAGGATTGGTCCTAGGGTTAGATATGCTAGTTCTCCGTCCCATTGACTGTAAATCTGGGTGTTAGTGTGGTGTAGTAAGTTTTTGGATGAGAGCGAAGACGGTGGTATGTAATAAGTCAAATATCCGAATGAAACTGGATATTGTGGATCGCAAATTTACCTGATATCCTTTTCTCCGCCTACTCCATCTTCTCTCCTCATCTCCGCCCAACCATCTCTCGCCCATGCAACGACCAAGCTCGCACAACTTCCACTCTTCTCCACAATCCTCATTTCCCCCTCCTCCTCACAGATTTCCTTTGCGGGAACCTTTCCCTCTTCATCATGATGATCTATACATCCTCTTACTCTTCCTCCATAACTTCTACCCAATTCCCCTTGTAACGCATTGTGATCTACCAATATCCATCTCGTATCATCTGGTTTTAATTTCGTCAACTGCGATGACTTTATGCCGTGTTCTCTCAAATCATCCAAACTGATCAATTCTCCCACCTTGACTCTGGCTTTCTTCAAAATAGGGTGTAATTCCGGCCTCAATCCTAAATCCGCACGAGGTAGATTCGACAGAGGGATGTAGAGGGATTTGTTATGGTTGAGAGGGGAATATGTACGTAGATAGGCTAGAAGTATGGCGCTGCAGAGAGAATCGAGATCTAGTTACTGTGTGTGTTAGTTGTGTGGACGATCATACGCTAGTTGCAAATTATATCGAACTGCTCCCGCTAATATCTTTCCCCGGAGTATTACAAGAAGGGGTAAAATGATACATACCAGCCGATTCATTACCCACGACAAAGTTAACTTTTCCCCCACTTTTCAATGCGCCGTTTAGAGCAGTTTTGGCGGAGGATAGAAATGAGGAGAGGGATACGCGTGGGAGAGACATGTTTTTTTCTTCTCCCCAGAGACTAGAATATACTACGGGCTGAGAACGCGTATTGATGTTGTTTCTTGAGTGGAATTAGGAGGGGAGGGGACGCGAATAGAGACCCCACTTACGCGAGCTACGTCATTGGGTGGAAGCTTCTTTATGTGTAATTTGTATATCAAGAGGATTTTTCTTAAAAAGAAATAAGAAAGATTACTTTTGATGGTGTAAGTGAATGGACTAGGCCCTACTATCAATTCTTGTTATTTCACTTGGCAATGTTGTGCTGTTGCCAGCATGGGTATATTAAGAGTTACAAAGGCTTCTTCTAAGGTTTATTTAAGGTGGGCTTGCTTGAAATAGAACCACATTATCACCGTACGAAAGGTTTCGGAGCAAGATATTATATTTACGGTGCGAAGATATTCTCGGATTCAGAAGGTAAACAGCTAGCCATTAGGTCTAAAAGTATAACATCATCAATTCGCAGATACTATTGAATGAGCAATCAAGATAGCTAAAGCATTTCTAGATATTATGATTCAACTTGATCAAATCAGCCGCTCTTTCAGCTACAGCATAGACAATAGATTGAAGATTTCCTCTCGGGATCAAAGGTATCATACTCGCATCGACAACCCTGATGTTTTTGGTGCCATAAACCACCAGCTTTTGGTTCAAAACACCACCATCTTCTAAAGGTAACATCGCACAAGTGCCACATGGATGCCACGCGGAAATCATAGTTTTTCGAACACAATCTTTGGCAGCTTCTAATTCTGTACCAAAAGCAGCAAATCTTGGACTGATATGTCCGCCAGGTTTTAGAACTGAAGCCATCGGCTCAGTCGCAGCAATGTTGTGAATATATCGTATGAATCTGGCGTGGATATCAAGATCAATGGGATTACTGAAGTATTTGGGATCAATGATAGGACTTTCCGATACGGACGAAGATTGGATATGAACACTGCCTCGGGAAAGCGGATATCCAAGTTCACAAGCAATTGTAAGAAAGTTGCCAGTCTCGTAGCTAATGGTGACGTTTTTTGCAGAACTTGCGTCGGATCAGAAGTTTCCATGGGCTGCATATACGAAGTAGTAAGCGGAACTCTTGTCTGCGCTAGAAAGAACAGATCTTGCACATTCAGTCGTTACACTCTCTTTCTCGGGTTTGAAGGTAAGCAGCGTATGCTCTAATTCGGCTTTGCTTTTGGGTGTTTGGAAGTCTGGAACAGGCATATAAGCAAAAGACGATATTGCCGCACCAGCAAAGGGTCCATTTCTGTCAGTTTGATATGCGGAAATAGCGGCTGCGATAGCTTTTGGCTCTTGGCGGCTAAGAGGATCCAGTGTCTAGATTTCATCAATTACCTCGAAACTCATTCCGCTAGATGTATGATCTTGGAAGTTTTCTCCGACTTTAGAGTTCTCGACATGTACATCGATTCCCAGCGAGCGAAGAAGTTCAACATCACCGATTCCTAAAAGTTCTAGGATCTTTGGGGAATTCAAAGCACCGGCTGCAACGATGACTTCCTTCCCTGCTTGAAAGATATGTTCGACACCTTTGATACTGACTTTCACACCCTTGGCAACAGCCTCCCCATATTCTTTATCGAGAATGATTTTCTCAACTAGAGCATCAGTAATGAGATGGAGGTTGGATCGATCTTGCGCAGGTTTGAAGTAAGCATTTGCTGAATAGCTCCGCTCCTTCTTAACGCCATTGATTGTCGAATTCTTTACAAAACCATCAATTGAAGATCCTGAAAATGCATTCTCGGACATCTCATACTTCAAGGCATTGAAGGTATCAGCCCATGCTTTTCTGACGGCATCCATTTCCGGAGGACACGACGTTTAAATGGGACCATCAGACCCCGGGTTGCTCGAAGATGTCAGGTGATTCAGGCCAAGCTCCTTTCTTAACTTGTCGCTTGGGATTTCAACAGTATGACACTTTTTGTAGTAGGGTTTCATAGAATCCCAATCCCATCCTTCATTTCCAAGCTCCTTCCAGGCATCAAGTCCAACTTTAGATGCAGCGATAAAAGCTTGCGCATTGATGGCACTTGATCCACCAAGGAGACGACCACCAGGAAGGCCTATAGTTCGGTTTTCAAGCTCACTCTTTATTACAAGCAATCAGCACTGAACTGTTCAGGGAAGATGTGGTGGCAATTACCTGGGGAACAGTTTTAAATGCCCAATCGAGTTCTGTACCAAGCAAGGAAGGCCAAAGTGCTGGAATGTTTATCTCTGGATTTTCCAAATGATTTCCACCAGCCTCGAGAACGAGAACTTGGATTTTAGGATTCTCGGACAGTCGAGTGGCGAGTACGAGACCTGATGTATCGCCTACTACAATAAAGAAGTCGTAAATTTTTGAAGTGTTCTTTTTTGATGCTTAGATGGACGTTGTGTGAGAAAGGAAATGAAATAACGTAGTCAGGGCTTCTGGAGAGAAAGAACTTGGAGGAAAGATACATGGAGAGTTACAAGGGAGTATATAAGCAGGTTTTGTTTACACTTTCATGCAGGATAGTGGGACGTAGTGATCAAACAGTTGGAGATGATATGTTCTGATTATGTTAGGAGAAGTGCACAATCTAAAGCCTGTGTTCAATGATGGCCGAGATAGTACGGATACATACCTGCGATATGATTTCGAATCTTTCGACGTTCTCAAAATTGCAGTGGTCGGGGCGAGCTTCAACGTAGTGATCAGTACAACTCACATGGCGTCGCTTCTTTTCTTTCTGCTTTTATGAAGAGCATTTGTAATGACTGTTTTTCTAGCCACAGTTGATGATATTGGTGATGTTGGCTAATGTTGGTGAATGGATGTGAACCAGTATTTGTGCCAACTTCCCGGTGAGCTCTCGGTTATCCTTGAATACCTGAATAATGTTACATCCCCTCACGTACTCAAGTGCTTTTTAAACTCCATCTACACTGAATAACTATCCCGTAATTCAGAAGAATCACTCACGAGTTGTGAATGTCGGAAGTCAGTTCCGGACGGCCTATAACATGGCGGTATCATACTGTAACTCACTCAACGCCACAGCCAGAACCACATTGTGGCGCAAACTAATAATCAGCCACACATACCCATCTCCAGCTTCCTGTGGTCTTTTTACGTACCACAAGTCACATTACACAAGATATCATACAAGCCATGCCTCGCTCTTCCTCTCCCCCTCCAAAGCAAAATTCCCCATCCATCATTCCACCCCACGAAACCTCTCCCCTTATCTCCACCCACCATCATCCCCATGACCCTCCTCCCCCCCCACTTCTCCCTCTCTCCCAACCCTCATCCTCTACTTTATGACCCTCCACTTCCTCATCGCCTTCTGCGAAATGGTTCTCGTAGCCCCCTCATCTCCCTCTTCGAATCTTCCCTCTGTCACTCTTATTACAATTTTCCAGAGGTAAGCTTAAGATTAAATAATCGGGAAATCGTTTCAGAAATGTGTAAAATACCCGAGGTTCAGGGTCCGTTAGCGACGATTAGAGGATGGAAAAGTTTTGGGGATACGGTGCCTGGTATATCTTTTGTATCTTTAGAAGAGGGCAAATGCTGATAGGTATATAGTTCTACTAGTAGCGATCCCGATTGGCAATTTGGGAGATCGGTATGGAAGGAGAAAGATTATGGCGCTATCCTTAATCGGAGTCGGATTGTCTTTGGTAGAAATTTTTGTTGTTTGTATGTACTTCGTTGACTTGCTATCCATGATATCTTTGCCGAGATATGCCGCTAATATTGAGGTCTGATAAGGTGCATATCCAAAAATCTTCGATTTGCGTTGGGTATGGTTATCGTCACTGTTTCTTCTCTGTGGAGGAGGTTTATATTCAAGTGCGGCGTTCATGTGGGCGATGGCTTCCTCGCTGATATCGGAAGATAAAAGGTAAATAGTATTTATAATTGAGTGAATGTTCCGGACTGACTGGTGTTTGTAATAGGAGCTATGCGTTTTACTATATCTTCTCGGCATTCTATATTGCAGAACTCATTGGGTCATATGTAGCTTCTATCACGATAGATATTTCTCCTTGGATTGCCTGTAGTATGGCGATGGGATCTGTGATCCTAGGGTTACTTTTATTGTGGCTGGTACCATTTAGTCAACCATCTCCGCCACCAGAAGTATTATCACAACCAATCTCCTCATCTTCATCCTCAACACGACTACACCTTACTACCACCTCCAAGACCACCATTCTCGCTACCATCCGCCGCGCCGTAATTCAACCCAATGTTCTCCTCTGCATCCCAGTCTTCCTAGTCGGAACCCTCAGATACACAACTCTCAATGTCCTGATCCAATATTCCTCTGTCCGATTCGGCACCAAGATATCTAAAGGAGCAATGTTCTACACCGAAACAGCTATTATCAATATCTTCCTATTCCTTTTCCTGATCCCGAGGACAACTGTTTGGATAAAATCGAGATATCATGTGAGATCTGAGAAAATTGATTTGGCACTGATGAGGATTAGTGTATGTTTTCTTTTGATGGGTTCTCTTGCTATTGGGTTAGCAGCAACGAGTGGGTGGATTCCAGTTGGTATGATATCTCCCTCCTTGAAAATAAATTGAATATCTAACTTGAAATAGGTGTTTCTATCTTCGCTGCCGGCTGTGCGTACTATTCTCTTTGACTTCTCTAATTTCAGCATCCAAACTACTCTCCAAAACCACGGCTAAATTCTAACAAACCCTCTCAGTCGGATCCCGAGTCTCCACCCTTTCCCTAATATCCCATTTTATCCCCGCCTCCTCTCTCGCTACCCTCTATGCCTCGATAGCCGTGCTCGAAAATCTCGGCCATGCTATCAACGATCCTTCCATGCAATATATATTTGCAGCAACCTTACGCCTACCACCTGTTTGGCACGCGTTGCCCTTTTTTGTCGCTGCTGTAAGTACTCTTTTGATTATTAAATTTGCATACAAGGACAAGATTTAGAATGAAAGTGCTGATAAGCAATCACAACAGATATGTTATTTCCTGGCCGGTTTTTCTACAATCTTCATAAAGCTTGATGTTAATGGCAGGAAACTAGACGATGATGAAGGTCAGGAAGAAGATCTGTAAAGAAAATGCACATATGAATCAGGGTATTCAATGGTCCGGACTGCAGTTCAACGATGAAGATTATCAAATCCCCAAACCAATTAGAACATTCAAATTATCTGAGATATTGAATTTGCTTACAACATAGAACTATTTTCAAATTTCTAACTGCTTTTAGACATTCAAACCATCATATTGTTGGACTGCAATCTGGCCCATTGAATACTCGGATATTGTAGATACTAAAAAATACACTCTTTTAGAGAATTCTCTACTTGAAGGTCAAAATTTCATGAAAACTCGGCTATCTTCCACCACCACCTATTGTGCCGTCATCAGTCTTTGTAAAAATATATCCTGGCTTCCAGAGGATATATCAATACGTATTAATATAGTCATTATATACTTGTATTAGTCGAAACTCTATAAAACGCGTTTTTTTATACATTATACTCTTACAATTATATTTTATTATTTTAATAATACTTTCAATTTATATTATATAATATATTAGTATTGTTTTAATTAAATAATATAATATATATATCTTTTTAAAGACATTCAATCTAATATTAGTTTATTATATAATCAGATTATATAATCATTACTTATAAGCTTACAAAAGTAACTATTAATTCGAAAATAATTATTAATTCAAAAACAATCATTAATTCAAAAACAGCTATAAAATACGAAAACGATTATAAAATAAAGAAAACAAAAAGAGGCTTTATTTCGAAAGAATAAACAAATTAAAAAAAATCTATAAAAAATTAATAAAAACAAAAAAACTAAATTAATAAAAAAAAGTATAAAAAAAGATCTTTTTTCTTTTGAATATAAAATAAAAAAGATTATTATTCAATACAGATTCTTTAATATTATATATCATACTATTTATATAATTCATTTTAGTTGTTAACTAAAGCTAGCTTTCATACTATACTACTAGCCTATGACCTACGATAATTAGAGATACAAAATAATTCTTATAAATGTTTTATTTTATATTATATAGTAAAATAGTTAGTAAGGTAGAGGAAGATTTTAGTCCTTATCAAATTATAAAGAATCTCAAATTCTTTTATAGAATTATATAATATATTCTTTTATAAAATCTAGTATATAATAATAGTATATATTTATTATATGTTAGTCAATTTAAATCATATATTAAATAAAACGAATGAATACTATTATAATATATATAATTATTTTCGAAAGTTATATATAAATAGGTTATTTAAAAGGTTAGACTTAATTGTAGTATTAAAACTATTTATCGTAGGTCATAGGCTAATAATATGTAATATAGAAGCTAGCTCTAGTTAACAACTAAAATGGATTATATAAGTAGTATGATATATAATATTAAAGAATCTGTATTGAATAATAATCTTTCTTATTTTATATTCAAAATGAAAAAGACCTTTTTTTATACTTTTTTTTACTAATTTAGTTTTTCTGTTTTTGTTAATCTCTTATAAATCTTTTTCTAATTTGTTTATTCTTTCGAAATAAAGTCTCTTTTTGTTTTCTTTATTTTATAGCTATTTTCGTATTTTATAACTATTTTTGAATTAATAATTGTTTTTGAATTAATAATCATTTTCGGATTAATAGTTATTTTTGTAAGCTTATAAATAATAATTATATAATCTGATTATATAATAAGCTAATATTAGATTGAATGCCTTTAAAAAGATATATATATTATATTATTTTTTTAATTAAAACAATACTATTAAAAGGATTTTGACTAAATATAATATAATTAATTAAAGGTATAAAAAGAGATTAGAGCTTATATTAGTATATATTATTAAATAATTTAAATAATATTTAGCTTATAAAGAATTAATAATTAAAGAATAAGGCCTAATTGTATAGTCAGCTAAATACTTTATAAAATAGAGAGAAAAAAAGATTAGAATAATACTTTTATATTAATTTTCAGAAATAGAATCTAAAAATGATTGAAATATATAGTACAAATAAGAATATAAATGTATGAACGTTGATTATATAGTGAATAGCTTCAATTCATTAGCTACTATATTACAAGCCCTAAGCGAAAGCGAAAGAGACTAGCTCTTTTAGTAGATCTATATAAGACCTACTACTTCCTATACATAGCTAGCTCTTTAAACAGAATATAATATAGATATTTAGGATCTATAGTTCATAGGTACTACGTCTTTCGTATCCTTCTCAAACTAATAATAAAGATTATATACTAAAAAAGCTTTTGGAATATTGAAAGGAGTAATCTATATATAATAAATAGGGATTTTGAGAATATGAAATATAAATATAATACTAATTCTTGTCTCAAGATTCTTAAAGCTAAAATAAGCCCTATTTTCGAAAAGCTTGATTTAGAATATAAATTTATATAGAATAATACTTCTATTTATTATACCTATAAAATACAAAATTGATTTTAAAAAAAAGAGATCCCTTTATTAGAGAATTAGCCTTCTTATTTCCTTGATCTCAATCTTATAGAATATGTATAATAAACCTTAAAAATAAAAGTATATAAAATGTTTCCTAATATTATTATTAATAGAAGCAAATTAGAATATACTTATTAAAAACTAGAAAATTATTTATGAATAATTTGAATATATTAAATAAAGAATTATTTAATAATTTAGGAGTTAATATATTTTTTAGAATTGAGGCTTATATTATAGTAAATAACTAGTATATTAAATATTAATAAATTAAAAATTAATAATAGAATAATTTTTATATATATTAATAATATAAAAGTATATTATTTATTTATTCAAATTTTATAATTCTTAATTGATTTAATATTTAATATTGAAAAATGGTAATATAATATGTAACATTATAAAATAAGCGGGGGGCGGATATAAGTGGCCTAGTACTATAGCAAAGCCATAACGGAGGCCGACGCCCAAGGATTGTTGAGACTCGCGTCAACGATGCTAATACCTCGAGCAATATTCAATGCCAGGAACAAAAATATCGAGACAATGGAAAAAACGCGAGCTCCCACCGTGAAACCAAAGCTCCTATATTTAAGATGAATCCCTGTACGTTTCAAAAAAGCAAAAAGTAAAGACAACCCTGTGATCCCAGGTTCAAACTGGGTATGGAAGGATAGAATGTTCATGTGAGAACCTTCTAATAGGAATCGAACCAATATCTCCGGAATCAAAATCCGACGTGCTAACCATTACACCATAGAAGGATTCTTGGGAGTGCGTAATGGGTAGCACGTCAGTGCTACGCATTACGCATCTCCCTCCTCCGATTCCCCAACAAATAATCATTTCGAGCGGAGTAAGGATCCTGGGGGTTTGGGGGCTTGCTCCCATTAAAAAAAAAATCAAAATTCAAAAATCAAAAGAAAACCCGTGACAACACTTCGCTGACCCTCCGGGGGGCCAAGTAAAGGTAAGTAATTATCTATTGATAATCGACATTGTCAATTGATTAACTTTACAGATTTCCAAGACAGACAACAACAACAATTAAAGCATTATCGAGCAAGGTAAGAATTGAGGGTTTGAGGGTTTGAGGGTTTGAGGGCTTGAGGGCTTGAGGGCTTGCTCTTGATAATGTATATTTGATATTTTTTTATTTTTTTTAACCTCGAAGTATCTTATATCTTATCTCTATATGTGTTACTTTGTTAATCCTCTGGCAGCTACTGTCATTTCGTTAGCCTTCTGGAGATCAAGCAATTATCACTTTGTTAATTCTCCGAGGATTATCATTATTTCGGCAGTCCTCCAAGGGCTATAATTCTTTCATCAACCCCTCTGAGGACTATTGTCACTTTACCAGTCCTTTGAAGTCTATTATTGTTTCGTCTGTCCCCCAAGGAGTTATTCTTGCTTTACCAATCCTCGGAGGACTAGGCCATGATCATTTCGGCAGTCCTGTGTGAAAGCTCTTATTGCTTCGCCAATCCTTTGAGAGGCGCTACTGTGGAGATAGAACCTTTCGATAAATCGCTTTATCAACCCTCTAAGGACCGCCCATCGCTTCGCCAGCCCTTCAGGGGCTATCCAAGGATTACTAGCAATTATCTTCCAAAGGATCTATCTATACATATCGCTTCGCCAGCCCTCCAGAGGCCACTGCTATATCGGTAAACTATTTTCAAAAGTAAACATAAATTTTTATAATGATATCTTATTCATCAACAATCGACATTGTCGATTAGCTGACTTCGAAAGTTGAAGTAGATCTATATGAGAACATCTTATTCATCAACAATCGATGTTGTCATTCAAAAATTAATCTTGGTTTTGATCATTGTACAGGGACATAGTATAGTTCTATAGTTCTATACCAAAATGAAAGATTTCTTGACAGTAAGACAAGAGACGAAGTATTCTTTTAAGTTATTTTCTTATCCTAGTAAATAAGAATTTGATGAATTAGATTGAGTCTTCACCAAAACAAGCGTTCCTTTTCTTTTCATGACGGGTAAGATGAGGAAGGAGCTCCTTCCCATTTGGTGAATACAGAATCGACAGATTGATTTTTTCCTCACAAACCCATACACACACACACACACTCTCTCTCTCTCTCTCTCTCTCTCTCTCTCTCTCTCTCTCTTCTTTGCATTCCATTTCTCATGCAATGATGATTTGATGAACGTCTTCTATCGTTCGTATCACTTCATCTTTCTTATTTTAAACACTCAATCTTCCTAATGATTAAGAATTGCTTATGCTTGAGTTATTCTGGTGGAAAAGAAACCAAGACTACAACCTTTGACGTCTCTCTCTTCATATAATCGACTTGGTCGATTGTTATATCTTTCTTGACGCTCCTCCAATTCTATATCATGGATGAATTCAACTCCTCCGATATCGAATTTGATGCACCTGTAAAGAAATCGAGGCGCATATTAGGACAACGAAGTATCCAGCAGATGATAGATAAGGCGCCAGATCTTCGGATTCAAAGCAAGAAAACAGCGAAGCAATTGTCGTAAGTTTAGGCGCATTCAATCCTTCCAATTTTCAACTTTGTATGGATACTGATTCTTCCACTACATGTAGATTTGGAACTGGTCGACAGGAGACAAAGGATGCACAACTGTTGACCATTGAAAGATTCAAAACTTTTCGCACCGATGCCTTGCGACATGCCAATTTCAAAGATTCCTTTTCCGGCGATGATGCTATTCGATTCTTGGATTCGATCATTGGCATAATCATTCCAAGTCGTCGCAATAAACCAGCCCCTAACGCCTCGACAGCTATATCGATGATTAGGAGCCTTTCCCTGTATTCCATTTTCACTTACAACCATCGCTTTACCCCACAAGAGTCTGCTAGAATCAACACTTGGTTCGATGATGCAAAAAGGGCAGGAAGACTGACTGTGGGAAATTGGAGCGAACGCATCAAGGTTGGTGTATCGACGCTGTCGTATATGGTCAAGACATGGTTTAAGTACTATATCCAGAATGGAACCATTTCTTGGGATATTGTATTATACAAAGCCATGAGTGTGGTTATAGTGGGCGCACTTGCATGTCGAGTCGGCGATGTCGCGAGGTCGAGTTTATCTTATGCCATGGAGTATATTCGATATCGAGATATCGAAATTGCCATCTCATCAGCTACCTTGGAACCCGTTCAGTGGAGGGACTTGGAAGCAAAATTTACGCTTAGATTCACCAAATTTAAGAGGGATACACCGCGAGAAAATGATATAATATATCTTGCTCCTCTCGATAATGAGGAAGTCAATCACATATGCCCGTTAGCTTTGCTGATTTCACATTGTCTACGACATGGATTGGTACAGCCTGTGGGAGCAAAAAGTCTACAAGATGTGTTGGATTATGCAGTTTCGTCGGGAACACGTACAATTCAATGGGTTTATCCCGACTATCCAGTGATGGTTTCTTTAGCACATTCCAGATTGCTACTAACTATCACAGCATCGGGATTACAACTATCCAAAACTATTAAGCTGATGGGGATCATGTCTGGGGTTGTTGGAAATCTGACTGGTCACTGTTTGCGATCAGGCGCTGCCAGGGACATATCTCATCTACCTACCACCGTGTTTGACGGTGTCGGGTTGACTACACCAGCAGTAGCAGCAGTTTTGAATCACTCGGAAGCAACCTTTTCTAAGGGGACATCAAGACATTACGCTGGTGAAATGTCAGCCCTTGTGTATAATGAACGCATAAAGGTGATGCCAACTCCAAGGGGAGCACCTAAGATCACAAGTGAACCAGTATTTGATATCTATCGAGCACCTGTATCTCTTGAAGAAATTCAAATATGGCAAAAAGACAATCAATCAATCGATTCTAATCCATTATCTTTCAATTCTATACGCAAGGCACGGAAAGCGATCAGAGATGCACGCTTGAAGAATGTATGGGAAGAAAGCAAAACCTTTACTACTGCCGCCACCGAGACATCTGAGATTGTGCTCGAGGACCTATCCACCAACACAAAGGCGCTTCCTCGAAAGGATGCTTTGAGAAGTATACCAGTTTCAGATGCCGTTTCTCCACCAGTGAATCACAATGATCTAGCCTGGCATTCCAATATTGATCCTCGGCTATTATCCGATATACAAAATCCTCAATCATTATGTGTCGCTGAAGATGAAGGCTATGTAACAGGCTCGGCGTTTGACATAGATGAAGATGTTTTAGGTCAGGTTGAAGTAGCAAGCTCGGAATTAAATGCGCTTCACACTATCATCGCTCCTATGAGAATGGATGATGGACAATCGGCTGATGTAAACGACAAGGTCGATTACGTTGATGGTAATGATGATGATAATCTCGTTGTTGATCAAGAGGAATTGCTTGGGTTATTGGGGGAGGCTGAGGAAAAGCGAGGAGATTCCAGCTCGATCCACGGTTTTGTCGACAAGTGGACCAGAATCAATGCAGTCAACAACAAACGTTTTGCTGAAGCTTGGCCGCGGTATTCAGACGAGAATGTAACTTTCGAAGAATCCATCGAGCCATTTTGTGCTACGGGAAATACCAGAGACTTTCCAACGCCTTTCCTCTTCACATGCACCACTAGTGGTTGTAATTATTCGACCATCAGAAAATTCAACCTATCAAAGCACTCCGAGACATGTACTGAAGAGAGTGTGAGAGCCAGTCAGGCGGTCATACATCCCTTCTCTTGCGATCGAGTTGGCTGTGCGGCAGTCTTCACAACAAAACACAATCTACAAAATCACATCTACCATGTGCATTCCGACAGAGGCAAACCTTGCGCCAATTCAGAACAATGGGGATGTGATCCCAACACACTATACACTCCCAAAGAGCTGGCGGCCCATCGCAATACGCATGGATTTCCATGCAGCTGCGCTTTTCCTGGATGCAAGCTCAAAACCCAATTCTCTTCGAAGAATGGATACAGGGCTCACCTGAAGAAGGCCCACAAAATTTCTTCGGCAGGTTATATGCCATCACCGATTGCCAAACCGAAAGCAGGCGGACAGAACAAGAGGAAGCGACCTGGTGTGGAGGAGAAAAGTTCGGATTCTTGATCTAATCAACAAGGTCCTTTATCAATAGCTTTGCGTCATTATTATGTATGCGATAAATGATGTCTCTGGGAGAGAGATTGATGTGGTCTTTTTTGGGCTTGCTTTTATCAGATTCATTATTATTGGCCGTCTATCACTAACCATGTACCTAGCAGGAAGAGAATAAGGGAACAAAGTTGCGGAGATAGCTCAGGTCTTGATTTAATCGACAAGGTCGATACGAGAGTCGAAGGGATTTTTTTGGGACATATTCTTGTGTCGAACTTCTTAGCTATATCTCCACTCCTGTGGAATGTCGATAGATTTATTAGACACTAGCTGCTTTATATATCAAATGGCATGATTTTGACCATGTAGAAAGATTGTTAATTCTTACTTCGCCATCGCTGCTCGCGTCAACATGTGTAGCGATGAAAAAGATCAAGAAGTTGAAATCCATCGAACGCTTAATCTACTTTCTTTCTATCATTGTTTCCCCTTACCTCCCCTTCATAATCTATCTAATACGGCTTGTTTTCTTTAGGCAATACGAAGAGAGAGAGAGAGAGAGAGAGAGAGAGATAGACAAATCTGTATTCCCTTTTTATCAAAAATCCCTTCAATAACACCCTCCCTTTGGAAAGTCCACCATAACCATTTAACCTTGCTCAAATTCCTGCCTTTAAACTTCTCGTTCTTTCATGCCCTGAGCAATCGATCCAACAACGAAATCAATTCTTCCAGCATATCTCTCACTCCCCGGTTACTATCCACCAAATATATCATTAATCTCTTCACAACAGCCATGAATGCCATCTTGCTCGTATCCGTATCAACAGAATCGGCAAATTTGCCCCAAATCTCGTGTATCGAATACTCCTCAAGTGAAGTGTCTCCGCAAGCGTCGAGAATGGTTTGATCTCCGTCAATCATGGCCTTTTGTATCTCCTTGAGCTTCTTCAAAACACCTGCGAGTATAGTTCGATCTCCCTTGGTGAGAATCGACATGGTCGATTCCGGAAGCGGGATCATTCTTTGGGCAGTCAGAACAATCGCCTCCACTTGATTTGTGTGTTGTATGGCCTCCGGGGAGTCACTTTCACCGCACATCACCGTATCATTCACCTCGTCCCCTCCTTCATTCATGGTTTCATCATTGTCCTTGGAGGGCCGCTCCTCAATATCTTCTTGATATCGGAAAACATGTCCACCTTCCGCCAAAACTGCCCTGACCAACCGATATTCGAGCTCAGCTTCGAGATCAACAAGGCCTCTCTTGATTTGCCTCACGGCTTCCCATCTAATCTCACCCACCTCTGGCCACAAACTTTGAACCTCAGCAACAACGTCCTTCGCCTCCTCGATGGATAGATCTCTGTCTAGTTCACAGAAATTGCGAAGTGCGGTACAGCTAGGCGGGGGCGGTGTTGAAAGTCCGCAACCGCATCTTGCACGGATGCTTCTATATCTTGCAGAGTCACTTGGGTGGGTTGAGCCGCGAAGGTTTGTGCCAACAAGATCAAATGGTTGGCCAGAGATATTGGACGTTCAAAAACTAACTTGGATGTGGGCTTGCTTCTCTTAAAGTCAGCCTGTCTCACCGTGGGTGTTGCCAGGATATCTGGTCGCACCGCAGCAGCAAGTGCTAGTCGTCCCCACGTGGTTTTCCTTGTCTTTAGAGCTGTTTCAAGATCACGAAACTCGTGAACGAAGTAAATGTTGTCAATTTTTACTTTGTTCGGTGTGCAAATTCCGTTTTTGGGGCTCATCAAAGCATAGTACCTCATCTGATAATTGTCATCGACAGCGTCGATGACATCCGTGACCACCAAAATGGGCATTGGATTGTCATCAAATTTTCTATATCTTTCTGGTTGAGTGGCGCCAACAGGTTTTTTCTTGCTCGTTTCGGATTGGTCAAATGTTCGATTATGATCTTCCTCAAGGAGGACGTATCCTACTACAAGATACGAACTTAGACCGGGTTCCAACGGCCCCAGCTCTCTCCTACATTCGGCATAAAGTGTCAGTAATGTTTTGCGAAGTCAAATTTCAAAAGAAACACTGGAAACAAAGTTCGGATTGAGAGATGAAAGTGCTGTCTTATGCTTTGGAAAGTTGTTTTCCAGCTCTGCAAAGATCATTTGGAATGGAGGGGTAGGAGGTGAAAGCAGTGTAGTAGTGTGCAGCAATTACGAACCGTGTAAACTCTGCTTCCATTCGCAGTATCCCCTCTTCACCATTCTCTGCTCTTGTCTTCAAATCTTGAAATTGGTTCTTCTTTTCGGCACTGGCACATATCGTAGTTTTTACACCACGATCTTTGAATCCATCTTCGACAGCGAGACCTCGTACGGTGAACGCAAAACCTTTAACGGGCTCTGGGACATCTTGCTGGCGCTCAGCCCTTCTATTGGAGGACCTGGATGAAGAAGCCATACTTGCTGTTTTTGTGATGAGAATTCTTGCAAAGAATCAGAGAAGATCAGGTCGCCCGCCTTGGAATTAGGACGTAGAAGATAATTCGACGTCGTCGATTGCGAGAAGCAGGCCTCTGAGACAAATTATCAACCAAATTTATGTGAACTTGAGGTTGAAGTTTACTGCAAGTCGCACTTGAGATAAGTAATGTGAGTTTGCTTTTCAAGAGAACTGAAAGGCGAGGTTGGATATAATGTGTATTTTTAACAAGGTTTCCTGTTTGAGATTGAATGGTATCTATCCGACCTCGCTCCGAAATCGCCGCTCATCTACATACAGTATTTCAATTCACTTTCAATTCACTTTCATACATTCTTGGATTGGAACTCGCTTAATAAGTTATCATTCAATGCTTATTTCTACTGTATGATACTATCTAGAATAATGTCAATTGAGTGTGGAAAAATAGATTAAGGAAGCCCAATGAAGTTTCAAAATTAGAATCATGAATCTATCTTCAACAAGTATATTTGGAATGTTTGAGTATTCAAATTGAAAGTATACGTAGTGGTGACTGATTGAAGGATAGGATATGAGTTGGGAATAGATACAAAAGACGTGGTTGATTACACATCATCTCAATCATTTCCTTGATCATATCATTATGTCCAGAGTAACTGTTATTGTTGAAAATTTGTATACTACCTAGGCAATGTATGATATAAAAAGAACATCCCACTTCCATTGAAGCAAAGCTTAGTGCATTGGCAATAGAAGGTCCTATTCGTTCTGCTCATCCCCGCAACGATCTAGAACATGCCTGACTATATTTCACTCACTATCAAACTCTTCTGGTTTTGGCGATGGACCTGGTTAAGCTTCCCTCCGTGCAGATCGCAATGGTTCTGGGTCCCAGCCATCATCCATCTCCATCCCACGAGGATAACCATCGCCATCTCCGTGTAGCGACTCCCCGTCACTCATGAGAGCAGAATTTCCTCCATCCCTCGAGGCTCTTGAAGCTAATAACGCTCTCGTATACTCCCTATGCTCCTCTATTTCCCTCATCAACCCCTCATCGCTATCATCGCCTACAAAGCCTGAACCATCCCGCCCATCGACGACGTCGTTGTCCATGCCTTCTTCTTTCTCAAATTTCTCCTTTGCCTCATACCACTGGTCATTGTCATCGTCGTTATCATCTTCTTCTCCACCAGATCGTTCTTTTGCTTCTAATTCATCTGCTGGTCCGAACCCCAATTCACCTCCTAGTACCTCACCCTCATCAGTGCTCCTCTCACCATCTTCACTCGAATCTTCTTCACTCCTTCCAACTCCTGGCTCAACCCTGGATTCCGTATCCTCCCCATCTTCACCATCAGAAGAGGGTGGAGATTGCCCACTCTTCGAGCTGGAGACACTCGGATTATACCACGGTGATAACATGGCTGGCGGTGCTTCTTCTTCCTCATCTCTCATGTTCACATCGTTTTCGATACCTTCGAATCCATATTGCTTCTTTATATCTTTCTCGTTTTGAAAAGATACCTGACCGGGCCACTCATATTCCACTGTACTCCCGCAAGGGTCGTCGCCTTCATTGGGTCGATTTTGTGGATGCTTTGCTAGTGAACCAAGTTCTGGGACATCAAAAGATGCGTTGAATGTCTTCAGCTCCATCGGGTCTAAAGTGGATGTGAGTTAGCAAAAACAACAACAGAAGGTAACGCGGACATCTCACCGTCTTGGTAATGAACTTTGGATGGATCTGGCTGCCACATGACTTCATCACAATCGACGCTGTTGTTACCGGCCGTGATGCCCTTCCAAGCCAGATTTGCAAATTCGGTCGTATAGTCCAAAAGCTTATCTTTCATCGCTGTTGTATTCATCTCACTTGTTACCAATATTAAAATCTTGCGTAAAAGGGTTTCGCTTTCTGCTGAGACGTTCAATGTGCGATCATTGGAAGACTTTGAATTTGCGATCGTGGGCCGGACTCCAACATCAAAAAATTGCTCTGAGAGTTCTTGAATTTTTGTTTGGAGCGCCTTTTTCTCCTTCTGCACCGGTCTTCGTTTGTTTGTTTTGCTTTCTATGTCTTGCATTAACGTCTTGACTTCTGAGATCTTCGTGACGATATCATCGGCTTCAAATTCCTCCAAAAGGTCGAGGAACTTTGGCGGGTTTAACTCCTCCATAATTAAGTTGTATATGTGTTTGGAAGTTTTTATGATTGATGGAAAGAAGTATCAAGATGATCAAATCAATATTCGACTCTTGGTATGTTGAGATTGTAAAGGTGAGGTGTTTGTTATCCAAATGACGCAATATAATTCACTGCTATACACAGCCCCTCTTCCCTTCCGTATCTTCTTCTTTCAAGCTTATTTGCTATCTCTCCGATACTCGGAAAGAAAGTAAATCTCTCAACCTACACAAAACCCTTCTCTAAAAACAACAAATACTTCTCATTCTTTCAGCTTCTTTCAATTTCCCTCGATATCCTTCACTACCCTGAAACATCCTCCCTTTCACATAATCGACTACGTCGATCAGCGTAAGAATGAGTCTCTCTGAGAAACAGAAAGCGCTCTTGAAAGAGTTGAACAATATCACACTCGATGTGGACGGCATCCTTACTTCTCAGACAGTTGAAGAGGCCAGCCAGTTCTTCTTAAAAGACCTCCGACCTGGAAGAGGCTTGATTGGAAATAAATCAGAAGAAGAGAAGTTTGGAGCTCGAAGTAAATCTATAATCCTTTGCGTGGTTTCCATCTAGTGTAGCATTCAATGAATCCTCATTAACAGATCTCTATTTTTAGAAACTCCCAATGCAGGACTCTCCACAGAACCGTCCTCAAGCCATTCTGCACATAGCGATGGCGATGAAGACGATGATGCCGTCAGCGATATAGACAACATTGAACAAGGTGATAGAACTTACAAGCCCAATCGACCTCCCAGCCCGACAGAATCAGATGAAGAGGAAATCGAAGAGGAAGAAGAAGTAGAGGAATCCGATAAATTTGACGACAAATACGTCGTTATAAACGGTATTCGGTTTGGGCTCTGGGATTACTTGGGGTTTGGATACATGGACTACATCGTAAGTCTCGCATATTGACCTTGAGTCCTAGGAATCAATGGCTAATACTTTTTGCTATAGAAAACTCTTTACAATGTGGAACCAATCAAGCAGCCGGCAGATATGACTGTAGTTCTACATGATTACCAAAGGAAGATTATTGCACAATCTCTTCTTTCTTTGAACTCCCCATTCAGGGGTTTCTTAAACGGTTCTGCCATGGGCCTAGGCAAAACAATCGAGGCTATCGTCACAATGTACCTTTTCAAGAATGAGCCCGGAATGAGTTTTGTTGTCTGTCCCGCGGCGTTGTGCCCACAATGGGTAAAGGCAATCAACTCTTCATGGAAAGAAGGGCACGGCATAACAGCCTTTCATTTGCATGACAGCAGTCTTACTGCACATGACGTGCAAGGCATGGGATGTGATGTCCTAGTAAGTTATTCTACGATAGTTTCCATCGACGTGGTCGATTGTGCATGTGAACTAATAGGAACTAGGTCATGAGCTATAACTTTGTCGAGACAAATAAACGCAAATCAAGTAAATTTGCGGGAGACATCGCGCTGTATGCCAATGGCAGCAAAGCTACTCGACCAAAGAGGCCAACCATGTCCGTCCAAAGTGAAATTTGGCATGACCTGAAACTACAGCCAAAGTTACTTGTCTTAGACGAAGCTCAAATGGTGAACAAGCCGGCTTTAGCATGGGCGCGCGCGTTGATGGCTTTAAAGGCAAAGCGAGTTCTGGTAATGAGTGGAACCTTACCGCACAACCAGTGGACCAACGTCTTTGGTTACCTGAAGTTCTTGAAGGGTCATCCCTTCCACACTCAGAGTGAGTTCCTTCGTGTATTTGGGACACCTGGTGAACGAATTACCAGCGCTAGGAAATTGGCCTGCCTAGCTAGATTCATGCAAGGCTTCACCATAGCCCACCCCTCCTCAATCCTCAACTTGCCCCAAATGAACTCGTTTAGGATATCATTTAATTTGCTTCCACGGGAGGCCGTGGCAGTAGCGGAGTTTGTTTTCGAATACAAGAAATGCGTCATAGGAACACCGGACATAATAATCGACGGTGGCGATAGGGGTCAAGGCCTAGGTCTATTCACTTACGCCATTCAAGCACAGGTGAAGGCTGGGCATCCTATGATGGGCGAGTATTTGTCTGAGCGCTGGGTGCGCCTTGCTCGTTTGGATGGTATAAATTTTAGAGTCTTCTCAGGAGAGGATGTTGATGACCAGAAACCTGAAGAGAGAAAGGATTGGCTTGAAAGAGTCAAGAAAAGACCCGACATAGTAAATGAATCAGGTAGACTAAGTAAGCTGATGGAGCTTTTCCGTCATCTCACAATCACCTACCCAGAAAGAAAACTAGTCATGTTTAGCAGTTTCCTGAAATTCTTAGACATTGTAGAAGAAGGCATACTGAGGCGCTTCAAGATACAATCACTAAGGTACGATGGAACCACGCCTTCTGATGAGAGGCCGAAGATAGAAGAGGCTTTTGTTGAATCAAATAACAATGTTCCATTGTTGATGACTGCTGGATCAGGTATGCATTTCTTCTCCTGTCATATGATGAAGCATGGCTGACTCCTAGTTTTTTTTTAGGTAGCATTGGTCTGAACATCACCTCCGCCTCCATTGTTATAATATGTGAGCCCTGGTGGAATCGGAATTTAGAGAAGCAAGCAATTGCTAGAGTGTATAGACAAGGACAGGAAAAGAATGTGCTGCTATTTAAACTCTTCGGGTTAAATAGTGCTATCGACGCGGAGGTTGTCACAGTTGCTGAAGCAAAGGTAGCAATCAACGAAGACTTAATGAGAGTGTTAGTCACGAAGCACGATGAGCAGCCAAAGTTTGATGATATCCTCACGCATCCACCCGTTCCTCATGTTGAGTTCCCCGAGACAGCAGTTATCTAGAAACGAAGTTTTGAGTTTGGAGTTAGATGAGACGAGATGATGTCGTAAATGGTGGACGTCGTAGATAGGGGATGGGGGGCGGGATCGACGTGGTCGATTGTGGGGTTTAAAAGTTAGTGGTTGAATAATCGTTGATATTTTCTTATATTATGAGCAACGAGATTGTTTGGGGGAGAGAACGTCTTCGATGGGATACCAAGCCAATGATGAGTATTGGTTTTCTTTTCGCAGGGCATTCACGCTGGAAATTTAAGCAACATGACTGAACAATTTTGATTTTCAAATATGTTACTAGTGATAGATATCTTTATACCTATGATAAACTAGAGCAGTGAGCCCCCTCTCTCCTTCTCACCACGAGGCAATTATCAAATTGTAAAAAGAAAAGAAACAGATAAAAAAACCATCGTTATGGGTGAAATAGATAAAACCAACGTGGTTGATTACTGAACCAGTTATTCCCTCTGCAATTTCTTCTCCTCTCGCTCGAATCCTCTCAATACGTGCCGTGAAAAATTTCCATATCTCTATAGTAGTCTGTAATGGTGATCTTCTCTCGCTCAATTGGATAATTCCCAAACTGAAAAAGCAAAAGTATAAAACAGAATTACCCATCGCTATGAGTAAACCCTTCGATGTTGATGTTATCAACCACGTCGATTGTTGATCAACTCATTCCGTCTTGACTCTTTTTTCATCGCCCTCACCGCCTAATACATTGCCCTCTCCATACTTGAAGAAACCTCGTTTGAGCCCACTTCTATTGGATTTCAGCGGCTTATCTGGTTGAGAATAAGATCGAAAGTCCGCACGCCTCAAACATATACGACATCCGCAGGGTTTGATAGGTGCATTGTTGGTAGGGTTTTTGATCAGTCGAAATATGTCTTTGCCTTTTTTTGTCTTTTTTCCAGTTGGTTCCCACATGCCATTCGCGCACTCCTTATACTTGATCTTCCGTGTTTTTGCACTCAACGAACGCTTCCCAACATCTGACATATCTACAGCCGAGAAAGCCATACCAATATTCGCCTCCTATTCATTGCAATTAACACCCACATGAATCTTGGATAGCTTGTTAAACCAAACTTACATGCTCCTTAATTACCCGCGCAGCTCTCAACATGCCATTTTTTCCGGATTGCTCAAAGCGGTTGTCCTTTAGAACACCTTCCTTTTGTTTTTGTCTTCGAACTTGTTCCGGAATGTTCGACTTCTTTCTTGTGACCTTTTTCGTTTCGTTGTCTACAACCTCAACATAATCATTACCGATTTCCTCATCACTTTCTACTTCTTCGACTGATTCCTTATCGTCCTCTTCCTCTTCCTCTTCCCCCTCTGACTCACTAGGATCGGCATCCGCACCTTCATCTACATCTTCGTCGCAATCCGAAATGACTACTTCATTCTCGTCGAGATCAGAGGGGGAGGTGTCGCTTTCACTTGGATGGTAATCCTCATTCTGGTCAAGAACAACCTGAAAGCAATTGTCAGTTAATCATCAAGTATCTGGTTAATCGACCATGTCGATTATGACTCATACGTACCTCGTCCGAAAATAACTTTCGTCCAGGCCCAGTGAAATTTGACTTCTTTCTTCTAGCCATTGTCTCTGTGCTTTATTCTTTTGGTATTATTGTTGATTTTGCAATGATTGTATTGTTGGGAGAAGAAGTTGTGTATTGTAAAGTGGAAGAAAAGGAAACGGGATGGAAATCATATCTATCCTTTCATGGACTTGATTGTATTTTCCAAAGGTGAAATGTTTGAAAGTGAGTGCAAACTGTCACAGATCGGGGTGAATCATTCTCGCCATGTCACGTGTGTAGAATACACGTGAACTGCGCTTCGGGATCCACATTACATATTGATGGGGCAAATTATTATTTAATGTTAGATTTAACGAGTATATGTTAAGACAAGGGCAATGATGTAGGTAGCGTATAGATATTATTGTTACTGTTTATCCGAATAAAGTTTGAAAGTATCGTTATTGTTGTTGATGCTGAAGAATGGAAAGTTAGCTATTGATATGTAGAAGAAAGAGATTGAACAAGAAGAGATTGAATGGAGAGGGAGAGGTTCTATCTTGTTGTCATCAATTCGAATTTGAGGGTATCTGTGACGACTGGGTTCAAGGCATAATCAATGATTGATAACATATAACGAATTGAAGTTAACAATCTATACTAAGAGATATCAAATTATCGAATACAAGAATTAAAGATACAATGTCCTTTTATACCTTGTACTAGCAGGACCTTTTCCCCTACCCTGACAGATATAATCCTTCAATACGTTACAGTATCGTCGTCGTCGATTTCAATTAGAAGTTAGCCATAAATCCAGAGAAAAAAGAAGAAGCAATAATAGAAGTAGATAAATACTAAAATGGATATCAATATGTACATATAGCGTGAAAGTTTTTAGATGAAGGACATATAATCGTTGGCGAGTGATATGAATTTCATATTTGCTATTTTTCTCGTGAACCCCTTCGGTATTGGTGGGAGAAAACAATAACAGAACTTTAACGAACTATGCTGCAAAACAAGTACATAAACAATTGTGGAATTTGAGAGCTTGAAAAATGCCAAAAAGTGGATGCAATCCCGGGGGGATTTGCTGTACCTCCCAATAGGAATCGAACCAATATCTCCAGAATCAAAATCTAGTGTGCTAACCATTACACCATGGGAGGAGTGCTTGTTTGATGTGATAGGATTGCTTGTTTGATGTCATAGAGGTGCTTATTTGCATATGTATTGTTGTGGTGGGCGACGCATTGAAGAGATTTTTTGCGGAGTGGGGCGGGGTGGAGGGCGAAAGGACGTTCAAATAAATGGCTTGTACCCGCGACTAAGAACAAAGCAGGGATAAGGGTCATTGCGGGAGTTGAATCGGAACATTCAGTTGTAATCAAATGTTCGACATTGGCACTACCATGAAGGAAATATTGTACATAATTTTTTGCCCCGGTTACAATTGTAACAAAAATGATCGATTTATCAAACCATAGTTTGGTAAAGTATGTCCGAAACACCCCTTAAAAACGCATCATCATTTTCCAAACGAATCCCCTCCATGTCATTTTCGTCGAAGGATTCCAAAGTCTCCAAGTATATATACTACTTAGTCTAGGTAGGGATATTCAATGTGCGGACTGACAGACTAGATGGTACCAAAGTCTCAAAGTCTGGAAGCAATACAATATATAAATTGAATCCAGGATTTCGAAGTATTTGAAAGCTTTTGGTTGAATACAGAAATTGAAAGCTTCCAATTGTCGGACTGTGTGTTAAAATATCAAGAGCTTTCAATCATCGGGTCGCATGTCAAGCTTTCGAAACCTTCTTAATGCCGGATTATATCCCAAACTATTGGAAGCTTTTGATTGTTGAATTGTATTTCAAACTATTGAAATCCCTGTTAGAGTCTGGCACTCAAACAACAATGGTCTGTCTGAAAGCTACCTTGGTAGTCTATCAAGTGTCGAAATTTTGTACATCTCGCGCGCAGCAGGAAATGCTTGGATATCGATACGTATAGAGAAAGTTATAATCGCCATATCCGGCAAATGATACTAGAAGAGCGATGGGAGAATCTATGAAGTGCGTACGAGTGAGAGAGGCTAAAGCACTTGCTGTAATAGGATGATGCTGTCTCTATCATAGCGATCAAATAGAAAGAGCAATACTTTCCTTGAAAGCCATGCATTGATATAGGAAGTTGGGTTCCGCTGGCACAGTTTCTGAAAGTGTGTCTGTCAACTTGCCCTGCGACTAACAGCGTGTAGTTGAGAGTTCCTCAATCATATTCGACATCGATCGAAGGGGTTTCAATTATTGTAAAGATGCAAGCGCCTCGAAGATTATTTTATGATCAAGAGAAACATCCCGCTGAAACGATTTTGAATTTGGAGAATGTGAATGGACAGAGTAAGGTTGCCGGTACGATGTAGGGACCACCAGGACAGATGTAAGGACAAACCGAGGAAATGACACAATTCCGTCTTATCACCGAAATGTGGGGTAAGCTTATAGCTATCAAACCCCCACCCCTCCATTCATACTATTAATCATCCATCTCTTCTCTCATTTGCCTTATCTCTGACTCTTTTCTAACTGTCCCTTTCCCCATTGATCCATAGATATATCTACTGCAATTTTGCTACGTATGCCAATTCTTCAAAGATCATACTTAGTCCTACCAATTCTTAAATCCTTCTTCAAACATCCATCTCGTTATCAATCCTCTCTTCCACAACTCTACAAACGAACCATGTCCTCCGCAATGTCCAAACGTCTCGAGGGTAAAACCATTGTCATAACTGGTGCCTCATCTGGAATTGGCAGAAGTACCGCTTTGGAATTTGCGAGAACTTCTCCTAAAGATTTGAGATTGATCTTGACAGCTAGAAGGATTGATGTTTTGGAAGAAGTAAAGAAGGATATTGAGAAGGAATGTGGTAAGGGGGTTAGAGTTTTGGCTGTGAAATTGGATGTTAGTAAACCGGAGGAGGTGAAAGGTTTCGTTGGTGGATTACCGGAAGAATGGAGGGAGATTGATGTTTTGGTCAATAATGCGTGAGTTCTTCTAAACTTTGAGGGGAGAGAAACTAATTCTTTAATTCAGTGGTCTAGTCAAAGGTGTAGCACAAGCTCCATCTATCGCCGAAGAAGATATCAACATCATGTTCGCGACAAATGTAACTGGTCTCATCAACATGACTCAAGCTGTCCTCCCAATTTTCAAAGCGAGACCCGATGGTGGAAAGGGCGATATTATAAACATTGGCAGTATTGCAGGAAGAGAACCATACCAAGGAGGAAGTATCTATTGTGCCACTAAAGCAGCCATTAGAAGCTTTGGAGATTCGCTAAGGAGGGAGTTGATTGCTACAAGAATAAGAGTCATTGAAATCGATCCTGGACAAGTCGAGACCGAATTCAGTGTCGTTCGATTTTATGGCGACAAAAATAAGGCAGATGCTGTCTATGCCGGATGTGAACCATTGACTCCGGATGATATCGCTGAAGTTATTGTTTTTGCAGCTGGAAGAAGAGAGAACGTCGTTCTTGCCGATACTTTAATTTTCCCCAATCATCAGGTATGTTTGTAATTCTTTTGGTGCGAATACAGGAACTAATAGAGGTATTGGCAGGCTGCTGCCACAGTAATGCATAAGAAGTCATAAACTGACCATCCATAGGCTGGTGCTGGAGGTGCAATGTATAAGAAGAGCTGAGACATCTCCTTTCTGCGATTCATAATTATGCCAATCAAATAGACAAACAGAACAGGGGATGAAAAACACAATTTATTGCAGAGATGCAATAGATGTTCCTATCTTGTGCATCAGAATTCAAAACTTTAGCGTACCTTTTCAGAAAACTCATTTGCAATCGTTACCGTTCAGCGTTTCCTCTACTTTCGTTGTTTATTTTACTCTTCCTTTTAGTAAAGATTTAGGCTTGGCATATAGAATCATTGAAGATTTTCCTTTTGTATCCTACTAGGTAGTGAACATGAACGTTCCAGGAAAAATCAATGCTTTCCAATTTATCGCGTACGTATTTTCGTCGAATAACTGAAGAGTTTCAAATCTACACCAATCAAAGAAATTTGTTATCGTTTGTATCGATACTTGGATATCACATCTTTTGAGATATTTAAAAGGCCGGCATTCATGACGGTGCTTTGCTTTTGGGAGTACGAGCTCATTGCACTGGACTCATTCTCACTCCTGATTGTCCGCACACCATAACGAAGCCAGGTAGCTGGTAACCTCAAAAGGCTTCATGATCTGAGCCAGCAGAAATCGATGGCACCAAGGCTGTGAAAATTAATTGCATTTTTCGGCCGAACGGATATTTACCGCTAATCTCTACAAGGTAGAGCATCGAGATATTCAGGCTGTCCAACCTAAGTTGATTTTTATAGAACAACCCATCTTCCTACGATTTCACCTCATCTCGAGCGCAAAGCTGTTTGACAAAAAGTATTCGCAAAGTTTATGTCGATCAAAATCAATTCTTACCCGAAACCCCTGCACACAAAGATGCAAAAAGTTGCAACCCTGTTGTCCCAGCTTCAAACTGGGTATGGAAGATAAGAATGCTCTTTGTCAAGAACCTCCCAATAGGAATCGAACCAATATCTCCAGAATCAAAATCTAGTGTGCTAACCATTACACCATGGGAGGGTTACTGAATTGATGCTACAGCATTTGATATTTTGATATATATTATTAGCAGTAAAGTGGGACGAGAAGAGTTTTCAAAAGCCTTTGCTCTCAGTGGGGCGTTAGCGAGTCATGGACACCCAAGTTAGTATTGAAATTCTCGGGTAATTGCTTCGGAGCCTCTTGTCAACGATATGTTATCTGATAATGTGTGAGGAAAATCAAAAATTAATTATAGAAACAATATTAATAACCCAATATAGCAACATTCTATATATTAATACCTCATATATCAAAAATACTATTTCGGATTTAATATATGCTAATTTAGGTCCTTTTATTTTCTCAAATATTACTATTCTAGTTCCAATAAAATAGTAACATTTTAATTCAAGAAATTTAAAGTAAATTTGAATCTTTTAA